TAAGGGGCTACCGATCGGCAGTGATGTTCAGATAGCCCGCAGCTTTCATGGTCTACTCTACCACAGCTAAGTGTCCCAGAGCCGGCCATAAGAACGCAGCCAAAGCATAATATCCCCCCCACCAGCTGGTGTATGACCTGCTATACAGGGGAGAAGCAACTTTCGTCTGGATTGAGGGCGTATCTGACACGACCATCGACGTAATGAATGCGAAATTGTGATTCATTCGACCAGGCAACTGTCTTCCACTTATCCATGGTCCAACGCGATGTTTCTGGGCCCACTGTAGGCCTAGCTAACAATGACGCTTGGCCAACAGAGGCACAAAGTGAGGCACAAGAGTGGGGAGGTCAGCAGAGGCACAAGAGTTGCTTCCATATCCAACAGTGTTTGTTGAACTGTGTGTTCCGAAACACTTGCACTTGCATTGTATTGGGCTATCAGCTGAGCCACTGCCTGGCGCGATTTTGGTGTACCAAACACAACAGTGTCCGACGTCTTTTTTCTTTGACGACGCGTGAACCTCCAACACCTTGGCATCTACTCTGGTTTCACCTTCATTTATTCACTTTGCATTAATGCTAACGACGGCAGATCGTAAACAATCTACCAGTCGCGTAGTTTCGGAAATATTCGTTCCCAGTCTTCTGGCCATTACATTCTGCCCTCTATAAAATTCGCTTAGATCAGCAGCCTTTCCCATCACTCGCAAACGTAACTGTAAGAATGATTTCTTACCTTCACCAGCAACAGTTAAATACCATTCCCACATAATCACGTGTCATTCACGTCATCCAAATGAGTTCATTGAAAAACGTGGGGATGGTCATAATGTTTTGGTTCGTCAGTTAATGGAATGTTGCTCCACAAAAAATAACTTTCTCGAAAAAATATCAACTACATATAAGGTCTCTTTTTTATGCAAATATAGCAGTTTCCTTGAGCACCAGTTTCACATATATTAGGGAATTCATACATTATTTGATTACGGTATTCAGAAATATCTTTCAATCATTACGACGCTATAATGAAGGCTCGATAGTTGAATATCGCTGTAAATTCTGGAGGCCTTGACTGTTTCTTAGATAGCCTATAAGATCACAGGAGCGCTATGTAACTTTTCCTTTTGAAAATATGTTTAAGATGTGATACATTTGTGTCATCTTTGTCTGCAAGCTTTTGCTCAAAATATGCATTGTTACTGATAAAGATACAATAAAAAAATGATACCAAATTCAAGAGAAACACTTCAATATAAAATTTAAATTAGGAAAGGAAGAAGCTTCAGTTTTGCGTAGATCTTGAATAGAAACTCTGTCGATTTCGAGGCCTGATCGTTCTCAGAATAGAGAGGTGGTATAATTTAGAGTTTTAATAAGATTCTACGCCAAATCATGGTTGCTGTCTCATTAATTTTAAACAAATAATACATTGGACATAAAAATATGGTAAGAATTTGATTTTCATCTTCTTCGTTTGATGTTGGTGGAAGTCCTACAGAACTCGGGAAGTGAAACTTCGAGAATTTTCTTTCATTTTATGCCAGGCTATTTGAAAATTTTGGTCCGTCTCATAAATTATCAAGTCGCTGATTGTGAATAATCCTTTAATACTAAACGATTTTCTAATTTTAATATTTCATGTTGTATTTTGTAAATTTAGTAAACATAGGTTATCACACCATAGCTAGATTTCACAGGGGTTATTATTGCAGATTAGTAAAAATTAGTAATTCAAGCAAAATATTTCCCAATAAAGCTATTCCAAGGACGGGAAACATCCCACATAGAGAGATCGCTTAGAATGTTCGTTTCCAATCGAAAATTTCCTGAAAGAAAAAAAAATTACAAATTTTATTTTTTATTAAATATCACATTTAAATGTACTCCAAGATAAGGAATATGCATGCACTCAAAGATGGACTTCAATAAAAATACATTTCAAAGCATACTTTTTGAATTCCACTGTGAAATTCTCACGACTTTGCAAAATACAAAAATTTTACTTATAGTATTCAAAAGATACTAGGATCTATTCTTTGGCAGTAAAAATGTTTTGCTTATTTAAAGGAAAAGTCCTTTCAATTCAATTTTTCTACTGATACAGATTCCTTATCGGCAATTTTTCTACATGTTCCGCAGAATGCAGTCTAAACGAATTGCAGAATGTGATAAGGCACATCTCAGTTAAAATCTTCTAGAAATTCTTATTACACAACTCTGGTTGACTTTCTTCAATTCTGTTTTTATCAGTCTTGTATGACTCATTTCTATATATCTGCTCAAAAAAAAATAAAATTTTTGAGTATTTAATTTCTTAAGTATACTAAAAATATCTCAGCAAGCTGAAAAAAATAAGTCATCCATAATTAGAAATAATCGTCTCTTGTTTTACGTACATTTTTTTAAATATCTGTGTCAGAAAATTATAAATGAAAGCTTTTTTTCAAAAATTTACAAAATTAGCGAAATACAATAGATTGAGAAATTTTCAGAAAAAACAATGCGCTCCAAAGATTATGAAGTTCTTTCAACCACGTCGTGTAATGTTAAGAATCATATGAAAAGTTAAATGTCCAGATCTTTGCAACAATTCATATATTAAAGTCAAGCTATGAGAAATAGAATGACAATTTAGTAGATAGATATAAATTAATCATACTTAAACAAGCAGTAAACTGTAATCCTCAGCTTGACACTGACATGCAAAGCATTTAAGAGAACTTTAAAAGAATTTCTAAAATCGATGATAAAAATATTTGTGAGCGTAACATTTCAGAAGTTTCATTCGTCAGAACCTAGCAAAAATGTGTCAAATACTGCATACCTAACTGCAACATGCCTACTACTTTCACTTTTACACTGCAGAAGAGGACTGCTGACCCTACGGCATGCCTACTACTGTATAATATTAATCGCAATATACTTCAGCTGCTATTATGTCTAACAAAATTACCTTTTAGTCGCAAAGTTTTATTTTTATTGGGAAAAGTATAAAGGTAATATTTTAAAATTAACTTACATAAAATGTCATTGCAACTTGCTAATAAATATGAAGACTGTAATTAATACCTTACCAAGAAATCTTTGCTCTTATTTCCCATTTTGTATGTTTATATAATAAAATATTTGCTCTCATAAATAATTCTATCAGAAATGGAAATCATAAACAAGGAATATTCTGTAGCACTAAAAATATTTTATATGGTAAATATAAAATGTTAAACCAAATAACTATTTCACTGCGCTTCCTTACCCTTCCTTGATTAGACGAATTTTCGCATTCGCCTTTAGTTTAAGTTACAGTTACTCATTGTTATACTTAAAAAACACAAATAAGAAGCAAACCTTAACTAAAAGATTTAGTAAAAACTGCGTCTTGTAGTACAGCTAAAATATTAGCAACAGTTACCCACTGCTAATTTGCGGAATATCAGGAATTCGAATGTTTATGCTTAAAACAACGAACCTAACTTCTAAAGATTAATTCATTTGCCATCAGCTACCGTTATTTCTAGATCTGAGCGCTTGCAAGTATACAAGTTATTCGCCAAAACGCTGCTCGGTCATAGAAGGACATCTCAAGGATAAAAAATTGAATATAGGTACCGAAAAAGTATACGAGATGGAAAAAACGAATTAACATAAAAATAAAGTAGTAGTTAAAATAAACCTTTAACTTACACAGTCCCGTTAAATAGATTTTTATGCTACATATCTGACTTCAATTTTATGTATCCCATACGTCAATGCATAAATAATATTGATGTCAGTTGAAAAAGGAACACAAAATATAGCCCAAAAATTTATAAATTACAAATTATAACTAAATTAAAAAATTAAATTTATAAATTACCAAAAAAGCATGTAACATTCATTTGTTGCATATAAAATGCATAATTTAAATGCTATAACATAAATAATCTTGAATTATTCACTTGAATAGCGTAAATATTGAAATGTACACTGCCAAAAGCTGATGGAATAATAAAGTAGAAGCAATTTTACATGAACTTTACAAGAACTAAAATACAATATACGTTTCTTAGATGATAAATACTGTTTCCTTAATTATGGAATTTAAATGGGAAAAAACATCATACAGTCTGAAAATCAAAGTTTACGGTATTTACGATTTTTATTATAATCGTAAATACCATACCTTGTGGCACATGCTGAGAAGGGTATAGAGGAAATTCACTTCATAAGCGTAGGAACGTGAGAACATCTACTGATCAGTTATCTGATTTTCATCATTTCAGTAGAAGTACAAGTTGTGAGCCTTCTAATGTACCTGCAATAATGATATTTCATCCTTCCCAGGCATAATTCTAGATATAGGGCTATGTAAAATCATCCCCTTAAATATAAAGAATAAATGACTACAAAACAATGATTATCGAAACGAATTTTCAGTTAATCAACAATTAATTAGATTTTGCAAGAAAAATGAAACCTGCTTTTAAGGTGCATTTAAAGCGGTAGCTTTTAGGAATAAATATCTTATTAAAAATTTATCTACTCTATAATCATAATGTTTCTGTTTTTGTACAATCATGAAGTTTCTATAACTTTCTGATGAAAGATTTTATCGTTAATATCCAAACCTCGTGAAAAATCTCCTATAAATAATGTAACTAAACTTCATTGTATACATACCTTTTGGCATAAAATGCTGTTTAAGAATTTCTGCAAACTAGTAAACAATTTTTTGAAGGCATACAAAATTATTCTTTTTCATATATTCATTTAAGTATTTACGAAGTTTCATAAAAGTGAAATTCTACGTAAATTATTTCTTTTTACTTTCTTTCTTTTTATATTTCTTTCTAGCTGTTAAAAAAAAAGTTATTTAAAAATTCCGAAGCAAAAATTTCCATAGATTTTGAGGTAGACTGCTGATTATTTTTTGTATCTCTGTGTAATGTTAAATGTTTTCTGTTTTTAACTCATATTAACGGGTATATTATCTTTCATTACCATTCATTATAAAGTGTATTCTATAGTTACAAACAAAAAGTAGCAAACTATTTCAGATCGTTTTTGAAATACTGTTTTACAGATATACTTCCCCCGAAATTAATTGTCCGCTACATATAAACTAATCTGAGGATTATTCAGTAAGTTAAATAAAATAAAACAATATACAAAGCTAGAGTTTTACTATCTTTATTTTCATTAAACTAATTTATCATTGCATTCTCCTAGAACGTATGAAGATTTGTAAGGGAAAACTGCACGTTTAAGAAAAATTTAACTAGGTTTCACTGTAGGATTATTAATAAAAAAGAAACAGATTCGAAAAAATACGATTTACAAAAATCTTTAAAACGTAAAGAATAAAAATTAAGCGCTTATCTTCTAAATTTCTTCAAAGCATTTCTCATGTTTCTAATACGTTGTGAGAAATCTATTAGACTACGTGATTTTTCAGAATCTTTGATGTATTATATATCTGTGAAACAATTTTCCATATTCACATGAAAAGAATAAAGCAACTGCAGTGAAGTAAGGGTTAATGAAACTTTCTGGCTTATGCTGTGTATCAAGAAGCGATAAAAATTATTCTATTTAATAATGAAAGAAAATAAGAAAACTATTAATCTTACAATGGTTCAAAATTGTTTTTAATTCCCTTTTCCGCAATTTTAATTAATATAAACAGAACTGGAAAGAAAACTTCACCTCACAAAGTTGAAGCTCAATTTTGAAATGATATTTAAAAAATGCCTTTAAAAAGGAAGCAATATCGTCGAAAACTATTTTTTAATGTTTTTTATTATTTGATACAAGAAAGTATGAAATTTCTGTGAATCAATAATACTTCATGGTCCATGAAGGAACATTTATTACCCCAAGATATGCATCTAATCTAAAAAAAATAATTAATTAAAAATGATAACAATGAAGTAAATTAATTAATTTTTTAAAAAATGAGGTCTTTTACATATATTAGATCCTTCACTCCTTTTCTTTAATATTTTCTTATTTAACCAAACTTCGAAATAATTTCTCCTTTTCCTTCTCTATGTTTTCTCTTAATCAACTGTAAATCATAAAAAGGTAATAAAGATACTTACATAAAAATATGAAAAGGTAATAAAGATACTTACATAAAAATATGAAAAGGGAATACAAAATACATTTAAGAAGAAAAGCTTAATCAGTTAAAAGAAAATAATAAAATGAAATAACACGTTTTTGAAATATTTTAAAGCAAACTGAAAAAGAACTAAAGCGTCTTTAGTTTTTCTAAAAGAAAAGCCTTTAAAAGCACACTATTTTTAAACTGAAATGAAAGACGTTGAATAAATGCAAAAGAGGTAAGGATATAAATAGTACAGAAGATATCACAAAAGAAACTTTCTGAGATTACTGAATCTGTAGCGAAAATGATAAAAATAAAATGAATTTTTTTATTTTACTCTTAATTTTAATAAACATTGCAATATCTTTACAATAGTCGCTGGTTAAGGTGATCGCTATTGATCTCATTATTCAGATATACTATTATAGGAATCTAGGAATCCGGTCAGCTTGTATAATTGAAATTCGTGGTTAATATAAGAGGGGGTTTTGAATCAAAGTAAATTCAGAAAAAGGGTGGTTTATTCATTAAAACGACCATATGTTAAAAGTTAATCACTTTTACTCTTTTTGAGCATTTTTAAAATATGGAAGAGAACAAAATGCGTAATGATCTGAAAATATTTCAGTGATTAAAACGCTATTACATGCAATTACGTATATTATATACCTAAAAAATAGTAAATTTCTATTCTTTTTAGCAAATATTACACCTATAATTCAGACTCAGCAGAGGAAAGGATATCTTTTTGACATGAGCGTTGGAAGCTTTTATGCATGAATATAAATGTAAAAGCAAGAGAGTCAGCAAGCGAAACTATTCTCTTCACAGCAATGCATCTGCATGACATAATGCTGGCACTATCGCTGAATGAAAGCAATAAGAACTATTTTAAACATTTCAGTATTTTAGTAAATGATAAAATAGAGGAAAATGAAGAAGAAAACACAGGATTTCATCACATGAGTTTTCCAGCCTTCAGAACTGCTAACACTTGAATATCAATGAAAACGCTCAAATAGCAGCATTGGTAGCAGAGGAAGATAGTAAAAATAATGGAGAATTGTTTCTTCTAAAACGAGGTAGACGCTCCACATTTTAAAATCAGGTATATAAAATGAGTCGGGTAATTTCTGGAAACAAAATGAAATTTAATAGTTTACAGACTAAACTCTATATATATCATTGCAGACAATCTGATAATAATGATTTTTAACTTTCAGCAAAATTCACAATATGTAAAAATATGCACTTGTATGCAGATAATGCCAACTTTTTTATCACCTAATTTTAAATTAATCACCTGATTGCTAAACAGAAGAATCAGAAATTTCTTTCTTAACCGTTTTCTACTGCAAGTATTTTTACTAAGCAAATCTCAACAAGTTAATTCGTCGAATTCTGTGGCAATAACTTTGCACGATGATGTCTCATTAATGTTTCGGCCATGCATATATCTTACATACTGCACCTTTGATTTTAATTTTTTTCAGCTTTTCTTTTCCTTATCTATGCCATACCAGAATTTTTAAAAGTATTCTCAGCTGTCAATAATTAATAATGAATATTTGTAAGCAAAATTAATAAATTATAACAATAGAAAGAATAATTTCTATAAACATATTTAAAAAAATTGTGATGTCAATGTGATGGAAAATAATATTTTTGAGAGAAAGAATGTTCATTTGCCCCTTTTTAACAGAATATTCAGATGTAAATAAAACGTTGTTTTTCAAAACTAGAACAGATTGAACGACATGATAACAAAACTTTTATTTTCAACTGTAGTACAAATGAAGTTAATCATTAATTACATTGCCCTTTAAAAATGAATAGCAAACATTAATGAAAGTTGTAGTAAATTTAGAACAGGAGCATTTACGACGTTAGTGACATCGATCAAACGTATTGCATGAAATGTCACACTTTGTATTTACGCTATAACATAAACACAAATATCATATAAACATAAAAGTACTAAGGATAAGAAAGCATACGCTAAACCTAAGCACATCGATAATTTTAACATAACTTTCCTTTTTAGGATTAACTGAAGATCAGTCGCATAATCATAATTTTTACTGGTACATTATTAGTTTTGTGTATTGAACCTCATTAAAATTTTAAAGAAAATAGTAAAAACTTTATTTTATTCTAACCAATTATTTTTAGTTTTATTTTTCTTTCCCTCCTGATTTCATTTTCTTGCCGGAATGTAAATTTTTAAATGATCTAGTATGCTTATCTAAACGTGTTTCAGAAGCAGTATTTAAGCTGCGTTTGAAGAGTTCGAAAAGAGTAGTAGCGCAGTTAGTTCCGAGTTTATACTGCTCGTTCGAAATTTGCTCTCTAGTCGGTGCTTTTAGTTTATACTGATATTTCGAGGCTCGGCTTTGCTGTGTGCAGCTGATTTAGCAAGTTAGATAAGCTAAGGAGCCAGTCGTTGGCCCTTCAAATTTATTAGTGATTTGTTATATTTTTATTTTCTATTAAATTTAGGTTAGCCACAAGTGGCGGTAAACTGTCAGCACCGAGTGCATGCATCTTGTTAAATTTGGTTCGAATAAAAAGGTTCTTTAAACCTTCTCTGCAGTATTTATTCTTCAAAAACATAGCGAGTATTCGCTACTTCGTCTTCTACGTGGAGACAACAGTTTATGCTCCCAAAGTGAACACAAAGACTCTAAGCCAGCCTTATCAGCATACACGTGACTACATCGATGACTGAAAATTCTAAACTGTTTGATAACTGAATATGATTAGTCAGCCAAATTGTAATAGCTGAAAGCTAGAAAACTTGCAAAATTTCTACTTCAATTTCTACTGTTCTGCTACTCGGCTGATCCATTCTGAATGTATAGGACTTTCTAGGAAAAAACTTAAATAGGCAAAAGAAAAAAAGAAAGCGCGATATACTTTTAATACTCACTAAATATTTTTAAGTTTTCTAAAATAATCCTAATAAGAAGTCACTTATGACCAAATCTTTAAATACTAAATATTATTAAGAAAACTGAATGTACTGTTATCTAAATACCATTAAGTTGCGCAAACTCACCATTGCCATAATCAAAAAATACAAGGAATCCATTATTCTTTCGCAGGATCATCCATTTGGTATCTGGATATGCTAACCTCTTGTCCCACTAAAGTACTTACGATAACATAGGAACTTCTGATATTCATCCCCATTTAAAAGAGCAACCGGGAAGAGCCACCAAACCTAGTGGAAAAATGCAAGTACTGACTAGCTGTCTTCACCACCTTTCTAGCTCAGGCTCCTCAAAGAAATTATTAGAGTTGTCGGAGTTGGGAAGCAAGGAAAATCAACTGTGTTCCCACTATAGGGTTTCAACCCTGAATCTCCTCCTTCATACTTGTATGTAGTTTGCATTTACACTATAAAAGCATGCAAGGAGGATTTGGTAATTACTTACAAAATTACCAAATAATACTCATTAATGTTTTAATGTTTAGAGAGATTCATTTCATAAAAGAAGGCATTGTGTTATTTATTAAATATTCTACTGCATGAGATATATATGGATGCAAATATATAATACTTACCGCTAACTTTCTTTCCTTGTCCCATGTCTACTGTTCTCACTATTTGGATTTTCGGCATTTTCTATTTCACTGTGATTAGAGGTATGAGAATCAGCAGATCTGCGATTAGATAATTCTGACATAGATAGTCCACCAGATATTTCTTTTCTCCCAAAAACATCATCCTTATGCACTACTAAAGGGAAATTTTAACTATGAAAATCCGTTTGTATTTAAAACAAATGTCCCATAAAGGTTATGCAAAAGAATATATAATTTGTAACAGAATAGTTGCAACAAAGTTTTAAATATTCATAAAATTTAAAATATAAAAATATAAGCAAATTAAATTTAATAGTTTTAAGAAATAACAGTAATTTACAACATTACATAATATACATAATTTATCATTGATACAGGTATTATTTGAAATTATTACTCAAAATATTTATTTCCTATAGCAGAAGAATATAGACTTTTAGCCTTAATAATTTGCATTTAGAGCATATGATATTGAATACTTAAAAAATACGTAATAAAAATATCAAAATATTTTATAACTTTAGAATGAATTTTTCTGACAAAGTCACCATTATACCTGAAAACACAGTAGAAATCACATTATAAACTATAAAACATTACACATTAATAACATCTGCATGGTCAAGACGCTTCTCTCATTACATATAATTGTATGAATACTTTAGCAAAGAAAATCTATGGTTGCCTTTTTTATGAATAGAAGCCTGAATAGAATGGTTGCCTTTTTTATGAATCATATTATTCGTACATTTAGTTTAATTTTGTTATTACTTCATTACCTTATTTATTATATACTTAACAATGTATACCTTTTTGATTTCCTTTTAATATATTTGATTAAATATTGCCATATCATCATTTTTCCTACAATGTGTCACTTGTCAATAAAGCAGGATTTCCTGGATTCAAAACAGAAAGGTTTTAAGAGCTCTAATTCAAGGGTGAGTAAACTACGGACCTCATGCAAACCGTTTAAGTTCAAGCTCGGCATTGTTGACGAGGATTGCATTATCTTCGTACCCACCATGCTTCATCAGCTGTAGGTTTCGTGCCACCCGCGGTAAATTCAAAGAGATGCGAGACCTAAATATATACTGGTCGTACTCCTCAGGGAATCAGCCGTCTATCTATCTGTTAGTCATTACATAATTTATCAGAAGAATCACTGCATAAAAACTCTAAATATGCTAAATGTCACGACGCCGGCAATAAAACTTTTTTATTTTCTCAAATCTACAGCATAAATCTTCGCTAATTCAAAAAATGTTTAAGAGATTTGCTTTTGTGAATATGATGCTTAATTTAAAACACAAAAATATCCCAGTTGATTAGAGGTGTTTTACTAAAAAGAGTATATAAGTGAAAAAATGAATTGAACTGTTTGAGGAGATAAAAGAATATCCATTTCTAGTTTAACGATTAAGCATGAATGTATGATTTGGCTTTTCTCGTCGATATAATTCAGTACCTGAATGACTTAAATATGGAACTACAAAAACAAAGGTAGTTTATACGCAACATGCTTGAGAAAACGCAACATGCTTGATAAAACGCAACATACATGATGAAATCAAACTTATAATTTGGAACAAAAACTGCTTTCAGACAACGCGTGACGTTTACCATACTTGAGAAAAGAAACACCTTCAAAATCACTAAAATATAGCCCACCAGCGGCCGAGCGGTAAAGTCGCTAAACACTGGTAGTTCGGTCAGAGGTTCAAATCCCGCAAACGGGCTGGCTGCATGTGCGTTTTCGTGGTTTTTCCCATGTGTAACGGCGGCCGAGCGGTAAAGTCGCTGAACACTGGTAGTTCGGTCCGAGGTTCGCATCCCGCGAACGGGCTGGCTGCATGGGCGTTTTCGTGGTTTTCCCCATGTGTGACGTGTATACGAGCCAGTTTTCTTAGAAGTCTCCACGAAAGGCATCCCTCCTCTTAGGCAGATAGCCCTAGTGTGCTTTGCCATAATTAAACACACCACACCACACCACACACCCATGTGTAACGTGTATACGAGCCATTTTCCCTTAGAAAGTCCTCCACGAAGGCATCCCTACCTTTAGGCACCCCCCCGGGGGTCGACGTAGAGAACTCTGCGAAGCTACTGGCTAGGATCTGTACCTAGGCAGTCTCGGCCACGGGGGTATAAAATTTATGAACTTGGTGGTTCTGAAGGCTCTGGGAAAGGTCACTTATTGGCCGGCCCCGGAGTCTGGCACGTCCTAGCGCGGCGTGGTTCTAGTAACCCGGGGTCTCCCCGGGGTCGCTGGGTAATGTCCCGCTGCGACGGGCTCGCCCATGCGACTGGTAGGAGCATTAGACGACCGGTGCTGCCTGGTGTCATCCAGGTGGTGCGCTGCTCTCTTGGAGGGTAATAGTGGAGGTTGAACTTCCACGATGTGCCCAAAGGGGGAGTGGACCTGCAGTGGAATTGAGTTCTGGGAGCAGGGAAGCCCAAACTTATCTTATCTTATCTCCCTTTAGGCAGATAGCCCTCGTGTGCTTAATCTTAGGTCATAATTAAAATACACCAACGACAACACCAACACCCAACAAAATATAAAACTTACTAACCGTATTTGGATCGCAATTTCAAATATTTAGATCAGGAAAAACGGTTCGTAATTTTAATATTTGTTCTTCGTCATTAAATAGAGACGTAGAAACAGATCCATAAGACTTATAAATGGAATTGCTAACCTGATTTGAGAAATAAATTTCAGAATATGGACATACAAAAATTTTATCAGAATTGCGCGATTTTTCGAAAAATTTCCGGAATTAGTGATGCATGCAAGGCAAGTCATGACACTTACGGAAAGTACTTATTATATTAGCGGGCTATGATTTTCCGCAATGAAAATAATTAAGAGCGACGACCGATCAAGGCTAAATGACATAAGACCTAGCGTACGAAAATTTTTAGAGTCGGCTTTTTGTGTAAAAGAAGATTTCTCACACTGTCTCTAATTATATGGGAGATATTTGCTCATTCTCCCTTTCTCTTTCCATGTAGGAAATTTTAAAGCAAGCTAAAAGATATTATTTGCTTTTAAATGGCATTTAAAATAAATATCCGTTTTTGTTGATAATTGGCCTATTGCAGTAATAATTAAGATATAATGCAGAACTATTTACCATAAATGATTAATTGAATTTCATAACACAATATTTTCTAAAACTTAAAATTAGAAAAATACGGAAATATCGCCACGTTTTCCTCACGCGCTTCAAATATTTTATGAGTCTCCTGTTGGTTAATACAATAAATATGCAAGCGGTAGTTTAATTTGTTTCCATACCTCTTGTGCTTGAATGAATGTCTTGTAACCAATGGAGCATACGAGGACATCTGTAATTTTCTAAAACCTTTTAATAGCTTTTTGGTCTCTTTCATGCATCAACTATTATTGCGCGTTCAATGTTACTACAGTATTTGGAAATCTAGTGTGTTTTTCAGTAGCCTGTGTATGTGCAATTGAATTTGAGTTTAACATTACTTTAACAGCTAAAAGTTGCATCTAGTAAATTAATTGAAAAGAGAATAAATAAAAATTAAAAAATTGAAATAAATAATACCAGATTACTGGCGGATCTGTGTTAAAGGAATGTACAAATAAACCATTAATAAAAACAAGATTTAAATGTTGAAATAAGCAGGTAAAACAACCTTGAAGATGTAAGTTAATAAAAGCAAAAGAAAATCAGACACTTAAAAGTAATTGTAATATTATATATTAAGACATTAGCTTCAAACTTTGGCATTAAATGAAATACTGAAAATTAGAAAGCTACGAAGCTGTGACTCTTTTTTTCTAACCAAGAAAAGTAGTCTAACAAAGAAATTTATTTTATTCTATTTTATTTGAAGAGTAGTTGTTTTCCCTTGTGTACTTAAATATTTATTAACTGCTGTTTCAATTATATATATTTATCAATTTGTTTTCGTTTTTATGTAAATTTCTAATCGTTTTTGTAATTTCAACTAATTTTTCATTTTTAATACTGTATTATAAATATGTTTGATAACAGTTACGAAAGAGAAAGGTAAACTCCAAAGGCTGAATGAAAAATTTTAAAATTGCCTCTGTTTCGTCTTACTATTATTAGATTTTACACTGATACCCAAAATTTGTAAACATGCTGCTGGAAACCTTCATTATTTAGTCTCAAGGAGATATATTTTATCTTTGTAAGTGAGTAAAACGTTTTATATCTGTAACTGAATTTTGTGTTGAATTATTATATACCGTATAATAAATCGTATATATACCATATTTCATACCGTATTATGAACTTATATATGTACCCTTGCACTATATATCCCATAACAGTTTAAGAGTTTCATTATGACTTGCGGAACTCTTGAATTCTTATGGTAAGGTCTTCAATTCTTACGGTACATATACGGCGATAAACTATGGAGCCATGCTTCAATATTTCAATGATGGCGATAAAACGCGAGTAAAGACGAAGAAAATTCTGGTGAGTAATCCACTGAAATTAAGGATGATAACATTGTATACCCAGTGGCATATAATAAAAGGACTATTACCTAAACATCTTAAAAAAACATTTGCGGAGAAGGAAGGAAAGAGTTGATTTGCTTTAAAAAGAGTGGTTTTGTTGCAAGTTGCTGCTGTTGCACTGCCAGCATTGTCGAACTTTCAACATAGCCAAAGATTATTTGATATGTGATCTGTGAATGTTGTCAAAACTGGAAGTACAACTATGCAAGAAAATATTCTTTTCAGGTGAGAAAATGAAATCCACCACACTAGTAATGCTTGAGGTGATACTGCGAAAGAATGTTTCGCGTGTTTTGATTGTTTATAAAACACTGTGAATACTGTAATGTAATGTGAATCCTGAATAAAAGAATCTGTGTTAAAACATTTTAGTCAATCTACATTTGTTAATTTACTCACACGTCTTAATATCTTTAGTACCAGAATTTGCTTCTCTTGGAAAACGGTCATTTTCATCTCGATTATATATTCCAGAATTATTAATTATGACGACAAGTTCTACAGGCTTTTCTGGAAGATGGTCAGCCTGAAGTAAATACGGAAAACAAACTTCTGGTGCTTTTTCTTGCAGAGAATGCTTTTCAATTTGCACATTCAACTTAATATTATTTATTTCAGCAATTTTTTGCAGAAGATACATCTTTATTGGCACTTCACAAGAAATAAACAGGTCTTTAAGATACGCCATTGCAGACATTGCTTTTTCAGGAAGCCTACTGAAGAAATAAAAAGTATATAAGACTATTAAATATTAATTTTCACTTAAAATATTTTAAAAAGTCAAAATATATTTATTTAAAAATATCCTGCTAAGTATGTATTAATTGGAAGCTGAAGTTTTAAACTGTTTTATAATCATTCTGACTAAATAATTAAAACTATAAATCATTAGCATTTCTAATTTCATTTAAAACTTTTAAATCATTATTAACAAACAAACATTAATAAATTTCAAAAATCTTTCCATTTAAATTATTTAGAGCTTTTGAGTCGTTATATTAATAATGACTTAACTTTTAAGTCGATATTAATGTAACGACTTAGCCGTCATTAGCGTTTTTATGAATGAGTCTTGAAATTTATTAAAAGTTTCAAGCCTCAGTCATAAATCTAGTTGAATTGCATGCAATAGTTCTAGAATTATCAACAATTTAAAATTTTAGTGCGGCTAAGCTGATTTTTAAGCCTGATAACACCGAAAAATCTGCATTCCTGCTTGCTGGCTGAGTTGCTTTTTTTTGCGTAGAAACTTTAATTTTAATTGTAAATTTTTTTAAAATTATTTTAACTGTGTTTGATGTTTTATATTTTTCAATTTTTAAGCCTTTTTGAGGTTTTATGTATTTTTGCCTTGCCGCGAAGTGATAACTGAATTAATTGAATGAGGAATATATCTTTAATGAAATTCAAGGAAATATGTTAAGTGAAATGCAGCAAAAAATGCGTATAATTTAATATTCCACACAAAGGAGTAACTTGATGTACTCATCAGATTTTTTAATCTACATTATTATATATTGTTGACAACAAAGAGCATTAGTCTAAAAACTAAGATTTTGTGATATCTCATTAAAGACGCTACATAATGAGTTGCACTTTCTCAAACTTCAGCTCAGGAATTTTTTCTGGAATAATTGGAAATTGGCGTGGAGAAGTCAATCATTTGCTCTCTTTTAGTATTTCCATTAAATTTATTTTTTCCCGGTTATAACAGGCTTAAAATTTCTTCTTGAATTTTTTTGCTTTAATGAAATTCTGCACTAAAACAGTTTTTAGGTATAGAAACAGACGTTTGTTATAAGTTAATCAAATGAAAGAATTTTTGAAAAATTATTTATTATCTAAAATTAAAAACATTAGCAACGATAGATTAGATTTCCTAAATTAATGTAAATATTTGTTTGCATTTTGCCTTTTTTTTCCGGGGGGGTTGCATTATTGCACATTTAAATGCAATGCAGTTGGTTGTCCTTTTTTCTTTTTAATATGTGTTTGCATTTTATGTAACTCTAAATCTTTGCTCATTTGCATTGTATTTTGAGTTATTTTAAATTTATATATTATAATTCAGCACTTTTATGAATAATTAGCCGTACTTATGCGAATAATTTGATTCACATGATGCCTGCAGTTTGATGCTATCTAAGAGTTTTCGCCCTCTTTCTACTAATCGTAATCTCTTTAAAGAACTTATAGGGTTTCTCACTTTTATTCTGTTAAATTATGTATACAATTATGTGATCCTAGTGAACTGCTAAGCGAATAATCGCTTACGTCCAAGAACAGAAAACATAAAACTTAAGAAATCATTCTTGAGTTTGATGGTTATTCACTCCAACATAAGATTGAACAGTCCGCTCCTTTTTTAGAGCGTACAGCAAAGCCTCCACTTGGGCTTAACCCTTTGCGACACGCATATTTAAAATATATTTTAATCTTAAAAAAAATGCCTTAGAATAAGTCAGATGGACTTACTTAAGTGCCTTTAAGGCTTGAAAAAAATTCTGCGCTTTTATTTTTACGGGGGGGGTGGGATACCATTGTCCCACCATCAACTAGCACATGTATTATAGCATATTGTGTATAGCAGGAAAAAAAATCATATGTGGATGAATAAACAAATAAGCGTGCATTCTAAATATTCATAATAAACACACTAAAAAGCATTTGTACTTATTGCATATATGCATGACTTGTAAATTTTGAATATGCACGTTTTGCATATATATATTTTAAATTTTAAATTTTAAGAACAAAAGAAAGAATTTTTGAAAATATATTATCTAAAATTAAAAACATTAGAACGATAGATTAGATTTCCTAAATAATGTAATATTTGTTTGCATTTTGCCTTTTTTTTCCGGGGGGGTTGCATTATTGCACATTTAATGCAATGCAGTTGGTTGTCCTTTTTCTTTTTAATAGGTGTGGCATTTTATGTAACTCTAAATCTTTGCTCATTTGCATTGTATTTTGATTTTTAAATTTATATATTATAATTCAGCACTTTTAGAATAATTAGCCGTACTTATGCGAATAATTGATTCACATGATGCTGCAGTTTGATGCTATCTAAGAGTTTTCGCCCTCTTTCTACTATCGCATCCTTAAAGAACTATAGGGTTCCTTTATTCTGTTAATTATGTATACAATTAGTGTCCTAGTACGCTAAGGAATACGCTGTCAAGAACAGAAAAATAAAACTTAGAAACCATTCTGAGTTGATGGTTATTCACTCAAATAGATTAACAGTCCGCTCCTTTTAGGCGTACAGAAGCCTCCCGGGAACCTTTGCGACACGCATATTTAAAATATATTTTAATCTTTAAAAAAATGCCTTAGAATAAGTCAGATGGACTTACTTAAGTGCCTTTAAGGCTTGAAAAAAATTCTGCGCTTTTATTTTTTACGGGGGGGGAAGGTGGGATACCGTTTGTCCCACCATGCAACTAGCACATGTCTTATAGCATATTGGTGTATAGGGAAAAAAAAATCATATGTGGAATGAATAAACAAAATAAAGCGTGCATTCTAAAATATTCATAATAAACACACTAAAATGCATTTTGTACTTATTGCATATATGCATGACTTGTAAAATTTTGCATATGCACATTTTGCATATATATATTTAATATTTTTAAATTTTAGGAACAAAAGAAAATATTTTCTTGAATATTATTTTAAGATTAAAATTTGATACTCGTACATATGATACTAAATAAAATATTAAAATTGGCACTTGATTCAAAAACATTTATATATGATTAAAATTGAAAAAAAGTCATTTTTCATGAAACTTTGAAAAACATGTTGTTTCATTCTTTTGTAAGCATAGAGGCACTTCACATGTTTCACACATCCAAAATGTTCGTCGTTCTTCTTTCGATGTGCTGCAATATGCACATCTTCTCCTGCTCGTTATCTTTGGCGTGTGACTTACATTTTTTAGTCTCTTTTCTGGTTGTACGAACGGGTTTTTAGTTTTTATTTGAACTGGGGATTTCAGTTTTCTTTTCAGCTCTTTCTTGCCTGCAAGTGCCATTAGACCTTCTATAACTGAGAGAAGAAAATCTTTCATTGTTTTTACATCATGATCGGGTTCGCGAACAAACTTAAATAGAATAAATGCGTTTACTATACTCGCATCTAAAAAGTAAAAAAAAAAAAAAAAAATCATGTGCCACCATTTCTTGCTTTTGCGGTCTATTTCATATAGTCCTTTCAGTTGATCAATCAGTCGACATATCCCATATTCTTATTGTATGAAATAATGCTGTTTGGGCACAGTACTTTTTTTTTTTTTTTGTCTTTCCATCTCGTTCTTTTCTATTAATTTCTTTCATTTCAGTTGCCTTTTCCAAGCAAGACAGGATAGAAACGGATCTTTTATCCTTCCATTTTATGCAATAAATTGAATCATCGCTAACTGAAAAGTCTATATATTTCTCTTGACATTTTAAATTTTGTGGGTAGATACTTCCGATTCATATTTACAGTGCCACATGCATAGATGGCAGCCACATGCATAGATGGGTCTGTGTCTTTAAAAAGCGAAACAAATTATAACTACTTCCCTTTCTTCTTCAGCAATAACTTCAACCTCAGTTATTCTCCTTGGATTTCAATTTCATCTGAATCAGAACTGACATCTGAAGCATTTGAGTCGCAATCGGATGGCAATTCAGCAAAAAGATCCAAAGCTTCCTGAGTTGTTAATTTTTTTCTAGACATTTTAGCACATCAGAGCATACAACGGATGTAAAAGCGCGCGCAATCACGAAAAAAGTAGATGCAAAAAAGAAAAGAAAAAAATAATCGTGAGTGCTGCCATCTATTGAGCGGAAATTCAAGTGTGTGGTGGGACAAATTTTAACCCACTTATTTCAACTGCAAAATTAATGTTATAAAATATTGAATCCAATTAAGATTTTTGAAAATAAAATACCTTTGAATATTAAAAAGAATCATACATATCATAAATTGTATACCAAAATTTTTAAAATATTGAAAAATGCGAGATACATGGATATCACTCTTGTGATCCTATTTTGAATATTTTTTGCTTATAAACTTAAGCCCTGGTATAGTAGTAACATCTACTGAGAAAAATAATAACTAAAATAGATTATTTTTAAAAGATTAGAAAATTTCTAACGGAAATTGCTAACTGAGAAAATAAATATTAATTAGGTGGGACATATATTGACCCACCATGCCGCAAAGGGTTAAAGCAATTTATTATAGAATTATCTAAAATTTTTAATAACACAAAAGCTAATTATAGACAGCGACTATTAAAGGCACGTCACCGGAGCTAACCGAGAACCTCAAGCCAAATTTCTGGATCTCTCTTCTTGTCGAATTTACTAAACTATTCTCCTTCTCATTTGCATTTAACGCGATTCTAAAACCTTATTCTAGTAGGGAGTTGTAAATTGAAGTTACATGAGATAGGAAAGATGCATTAACTTAAAATAACTATTATAAAATTAAAACATACCTCGCAAATTTTTGAACAGACAATGATATGAATTCATAACGGTATACGTCGTACTGGCATGCGTGTTCATATTGACATACGTGTCACTGATACGTGCATAATTTGTTCTATAAAGTTATTAAAAACTGCAGATATACATTTGATTTTCTTAATAAGATATTTCGATTTATCTATGGCAATTTTCAGCCAAAGTTCCTTCTTAATTATGCCATTTGTGTTGTTTTATCATTGCACTGCACTTAACGTATCAATACGGTACACCGAATTAACTCCAGGAGAAGCATATTTTGTTTTACACTATTCTTGAATTCCGAACTTCTAATATCGCTATACCACCTCAGCTCTAAAGTTCTATAAAATGTGTATTGAGTAATAATTCCTATATTAAGTTAAACAAAATGCAAAAGCATTATATGATAATTTTATACGCTATTTTATAAAATCTTGAATGAAACTCTTCTCTAGACTTCCGACTTCCTTATATGGATATGAATAATAATTATATGCATATGTTAATATAATAATAATATGCAATTTTATAATTTATACAAATTTTCAAATTTTTTTTGGTTTTTGCATACAATTTGAAGCCAGAATTTCCCACTTGTCTAACGAAGGTTTCATGAAAAGCTCTAAGAAATCCAGGCATAATTTTATCAGCATTTTTGAAATCAATGGTAGAAAGGCAATTCTGAATAGCTGCAATAGGTGGCCCAAATTCTCCTAAAAACAAATATAAATGCATAACAAAAACAAGCACTTGAATAGAAAAATACAAGAATTTGAGGTAAAGCATAGACACAGAAAATTATTTGAATTTTACCCGTGAAACATTAAATTTTAAAGAAAAGAAAAAAATATTTTATATGTTTTTCCGTATGTATAAACGACAGTGCCCATATCAGGATTTACATAATAATTTGTGGCAAGATAAACCAATAAAACTATAAACACAATTCACAATAAACCATACTTAATATCTGATGTTTAATTAAACTTGCTTATATTTATTAAAAAGCTCGCAAATTAATTCATCACATGTTAGCCTAGCATTCGAAAGTTATTATAGATTTATTTATGACATAATGAGAAATTTTTACATTTTATAAAAATATCGCAGGCCTTTTATACGTGCATGTAATTAAAATCATTAAACTGCCTACGTTAAAAAGAAAAACAATTGTAGTGTTATATCACAAAAGCAGTTTTAATAATCTTTGAACAGCTGAAAGGAAACAATATGTAAATGAAAAATAAATATTTCCATCTCCTATTCATAACAAAACTTAAGTTGATTTCTTTATTATATTTAGGTTCGATTAAAAATACATAAATTTCTGCTTTAAAATTCACCTGCTTTCTTTTTTGTAACTTGAAACTTGAATTTCGAAATGAAATTTCGAATTTTGAAACGTGAAATATATTTTTACAGGGACATATACCTATTCTTCAGTTGGTGAGAAGCGTTCGTCCACCTGTAACATCATTTATTGAGCTCCAGTTCGACCAAAATAAATTATTGCTGGAAAATGTTTTTATTTTCCTAAAATGCGATTTTCTATCGGCACGAATTCGTGAAATAATAAGTGTAATACGTCATTAAGGCGTCATAGAACTAGTTATCAATTAAATAATATTTTAAAATACGAATTAATAATGCTAAAGCATAATCACCGAAGGAAACTTAAATTTTAATAATCAATTTATATAAAAATGACTAGAATTTAATATAACTAATAGGATTTATCAGCTCTAAAAAATACTTTGGTGGTTCAAACCCACAGTTGAAATAAACGTGCATTTTAATTTGCAATATACATTAATTATACTTGAAACAATATCATTTCTTCATCGCTCACACATTTTTAATCAAGTTACTTAAAATTAATGAAAAATATTCAGTTACATCCTGACTCATAGATAATATTTAATTCCTGTTCTCCATATAATTTACTCATTCATGTAAGTCGTATTTCTCTCTAGTCTACCATACTCTCTAAGATATGCTTTTATTGTATAACGGCAGCTTAACAGTAAACTAAGAGTTTTGAAAAGAGGATCTGAGCTACTGCAGGACCAAGAGATTTTAGAGTTTTCTATTCTCTAATTTCTGAATTTTCTTACACAGGCTGTACCAGTAATCGCAACTCTCTATAACTATTTACAGCTTCTTCACTACTAGAAGAGACTTATTTATTTATAGAGACTTTTATATTTTATATAATAAATGTTTTTCAAAGTTTTCGTATGTTTCTCATTCATTTCGTTCAAAACATTTGGCTTCAAATAACTGACATCTTACTTCATTTGTTTTTCCAAGTCTTTTGTCAAAAGTAATGTAGATTAAAGAAAAATTCTGTATAAATTGTATATCTTATTTCTTTTTTCATGATTTTAATAGCTGTATATTATACTGATTCTACGTAGTCTACTCAGCATTAGAAGCAACAGTTATAATCGTCAATTTCTGACCTACCGCTTTAATATGCATAATCATTTTCAATAGAAGCTACAAAATTTCTAACAACGGGCATTCAAAGTGATCCTCCTTATAAAACCAATTGTGATGTACAAGGATCCTTCAGTAACCATTTGGACCAAGACGAATAAAAACGATAGAACATAATTCTCGGACTGCATATATGAATATTACAAGTAATTCCCATATAATTGATGCAGCGTTCTCATGTCCCAGGACGTTGCGGAATGGCTGCTGAAAACCATTCTTTAAGAAACTCATATTTAGTCTGTCGAAAACTCATATTTAGTCTGTTGCAGTTTCGCCTTACTAACAAATGTCAACTACTCAAGGTGCTTCTTTATCTTGTAGAAAAGTGCATTGTTCAATGTAATAATTCCTAGCACATTATCCCACATTATTGATTACGAAAATCAGTGAGATTGTGGGCCATATACTGACCCCAAGGTATAGTCATTTTCAGATTTGCACTATTGGGTAGAGTGTTCTGAGAATACCTGTTTCATATTAAGAATTGCATTCATCGAATGAAATGCCTAGTTATGTCAGTATCAAGTTGGAAACCTGTTGTATAATAGCTAATGCACGCCTCTTTACTGATTTACCAACGCTGATTCTTTTTACTACACTTTCTCATGTTAATGTTCCTAATACAGTTAAGAACAGAGTTTCGGGCAAAATTTTGCTCATCATATATAGCCATTAATCACCTGTGAATTTGTGTAACTGGCTGTCCCTCCTTCTGAAGAAATCATACTATCTGCGTTTGACCAGGCACATCACCTTCTACTGAAATACATATACACTTGTCCACGGTTTTTTTCATTGTGATTCACGTTATAACTCACTACTGCTCTTATACTGGGAATAGACAAGCTGTTACGGAGGAATGTTGAACTCACATTACTATCTGAAACAAACATCCACCCACGACGTTAAAATCTTTCTTGTACTAGAACAGCAGCATGAGTACAAATTATATCGAACGCATTCCTATGATCATGGTTCACGTTTTATCTCACACCTAAGCACAAGAAGCACAATAAAAAACTTTTGACTGTTAAGTAGCTGGCCAACTAATTTACTGCTGCTAATAAAATTTAAATTTACTGTCACTGAGGGTAACAGCGAAATTCTTTCGATAAACAGGAACAATTTATGAAAGTTAGTTCCAAAATATATATGATCACTGAAGGAAAGATAATTTAAAATTAGAACTCAAACTAAAATTCGACACTATCAAGCTGGACCAAAATATATGTCAAAATATCAGTTTCAAGTATATGATCACAGAAGATAATTTAAAATTCTAGCTCTGAATAAAATTCGGATTAAAAAAGCAGAAATAAAACAAATATTTTTCTCTACTTTTTTTAAACTCTTGTGTAAATCAGTGGCTATTCTACTCTGCCCCTTGCCAATGCATGTTCTTTTGAAGTTTCTCCGTTGTAAGAAGAAAAAGGTTTTATGAGTTTTCCCGTAAATGCCTTCCTGTTAACTTCAAATCTTCCAAGCAAAACTTTTAGCCTCTTCTAGCCACTAAATTTGGAGCTATTTCAAAAAGACTATAACTGAAAGTCTAATGCAATTATTCACGAAACTTCCACAGACTATACACACAGTATTTTCACGATAAAATATTCTAAAATAATTGTACGTAATCAGTTAATTATGCACATTTCTTATAAATACAAAATACAAAGGCATATATATTAACTAAAGATACCAAATAAGAAAGATACCTAATCCACATTAATGCAAAATGCAATATTTTCATTAATTTTCAAAAATAAGATAAAGAATATACCTTGCTAAAATTAAGTCTTTTAATTTTTGTTGCACTCAAAAATATAAGAGAAAGAGATTACTACAACAACAGAAAGATTCAAAAGTTTTTTCAGTATAGAAGCAGTAATATAAGAAAGCAAAAATTTTCTCTGAGTTTTCTATGTTTTTTACATTAGTTTAGGATTCTGAAATGAAAACCTTGATCAGCAGTCTTAAATAATGAATTTTTTATGTTTTTGAAAATTGAGCAGAGTGACATGGGGAGAGGGAATGTTTTCAAATGTCCAAACTGAAAGTTTGATAAAAATTGAGAGTTGACGCTTTGAATATTAAGTATATAATTCATTTATTATGATTAAATGCTTTTCTGAACACTAAAAAGTACTATTTTTAAAAAACTTCTGTTCAGTGAAGTAACACAGTTTTCTTTAATTTTGATCATTAAATAAATTAATGTCAACATAATAAATACTCTGGATATCTCTAGAATTCTAAATAGAAATTACGAATCCTAACATAATAATATGATATAAATTTAGCACTATAGAGGGATTAATTTAATTACCCGTAAAGCCTTCAGGAGCATCTAGAAGAGGTATAACAACGTCAAGTCGTGCATAATCGTATATTAAATCTTTAATTAAAAGACGAGACATGTAAGAGCACTGGGCAAAATTACTTTCTAAACAATTGTGTTCTACAGTTTTCCTAAAACAATGAAAATATATAAAATAAGTAAAAAATATCTCCTAATTTCTCAAATATACATATATAAAAAATACAAATAAAAAACAACTTACAAAGCTACAATATTTAATGGAAGATTATCTTCTGCCAGATCTTTGATAACATTATACAATCCTGGAGTACAAGAATCCAAGTTATCTTGATGTAATGTTTTAAAGCACTGTTGGACATACTGTTGATCAACAATAGAATGCTCATGAACTCCTATAAAATAAAATTTTAAAATATCTAAATAAATGACTTTTTGATAAAATATTCAAAAACATTTATAGAAGAATTAATGCAGAATTATCTTTCAAGTCTAGAGCTCTGGCTCGGACTGTGGAAGATCAAAATTAAAATGTCGCTAAATGTGCTGCCACTTTATTTATCCGAAGTATTTTCCCAAATTTACCTAACATGCAGTTCTTCGGAGTTCTTCTTAATTTCCTGGGTTCCTAATTATAAGTGTCTAGGAGTGATACTTGATTCAAAATTAACCTGGCAAACTCACATCCAAAAAACGATTTCCAATGCGGAGGTTATGAAAACCTAATTACTGCCTTTCTTCGCTAGAAATAGCGACCTGTCCACGAGAAACAGGATTTTACTCTATAAATCAATGATAAAGCCAATTCTGACATATGCTAGTCCCGTATGGGGCGCAGAAGCAGTTACTAATAGGAAACATATCCAAATTTTTTAGAATATTATGCTACTGCAAATTTATAAAGTTCCTTGGTTTGTTACGAACGAGGACATTCATAATGCAGCCAAAATTCTCCCTGTGAATCGCTTTATGCAGCGACTTTCGGCTAATTTTTCCAAAAGATTCCTTCGATCGAAAACCCCGTACTCCACTGCCTGCCTGTTAATCATCCGGGAATTGCATCATCAAGAAAGAGACAAACGCATATAATGCGCTTCCTGATCCCAAGAGGCGTTGCTATGGAGACGAGGCGCCTCGAAGGTTTCACTACACTCGTTCGCGTGACCCCCCCTCCCCGCCTGAGTGAATTCGCTGAACTTTCAGCTTCCCTCAGGGTCACTCTCTCTTTGTCCCGTAATTGGGCAATCTTACTTCTTTCAACCGTAAGCGGTTGTTAACTGACTTTAAGCACGCTTTTTTTCGCTTCTTAAAAGGGTTCTAGTGCATTGATTATTATTTTTATTCAATTTTAACTTTAAATCAAACTCGCCTAACGAATTCCCGCTTCTCCTTCCCCTCCCAGACCCCAAGCACTTGCGACATGAAATTTTTCGCGAGTGTTTCCGCTCTCGTGTTGTTAACACCACATGACCACTGATCAAGGAAACGTCGATGCTATTCAAAATTCATGATGTAACCCCCTCAAAATTGATTCTGGCCCTTTTTCGACACAAAAAAATTACTAAATTAAGTCCTTCAGTGTTTTTACTTTTTCTCACTGTGGAATGCACATACTCTTTTGTTAAATTTAACATTTGGCACTAAATTTTACCTCTTTGTGGAACCCTCTTTTTGGCGATAAAAAATAATTCTTTGATGATGTGGGGATAAAGGCTATAAGCCTAAGTGCCTCGTAATAGAACCCTTTCTTGGTCCTTGGTAGAAGTGGAAACGGGCTTTTAGAACAGCGAAGTAAGGAAGGTGGTATTTTTCTTGAGATGAGCCAGGACTTTTCTGCGAGAGCTATGGGCATATTAGCCCGCTAGAACTACCACTCCTCGTGTATAATGTTAGTAGCGATAGCGCATTCTTCCTGTTAACACGGGACTGAATGTATCCAAGTCCCACATCGTCATGATTTGGAATTGTTAATGTTTTTGTTTTATTAAAATTCATGTTATTGTTGGAAGTTCATTTCAACTCTGTATTACAACCCAGGGTTTGTGTAGCGGTTTCGGCCACTACACCACATAATACACACACAGCAAATTTGGCATTATAATTGATTAATTTTTGCATAAGGATAACATTTAAACTTGAGAAATATTTTTGCTAAATTTTATTTCAAAAAACACAAGTCTTTTCGAGAGAAAATTATTAACAGATTTCTTTTGGTTATTCGCCGTGTTTTTTAACAGTATATAACAATATTTTAAACTATTTTTGTATTCTTATGTCAAGAACAACTGTATAAAAAATTTATGCGATGCATACAGTTTTGTGTAAATGTACATTTGCTTTTGTACCTTTGATTACATATAAAAATTAACATATTTCTTAACTGCAGGGCTTTTAATATAATTTAATAAGCTGAGACAAATTTAAATAGAAAAGGAAAACCATGGCAAGTCATTCAGATAGCAAATGAAATCTCCACGAGTAGAGATGGAAATATGCATGGACGTTTGATCTCATTCTGCGAATACAAGTGGTTAAACGTGTAGCCATTTCAGCGGCGGCGCCAAACAGGCGATACAGACTCAAAATCTCTAGAGAAAACCGCCAATTGGCGAAACAGTAAACAAAGAAAGTAAATCTCTATGGCACCCCTACGAGCTGACGAAAAGAGACGAGTTTTCCTCCGGCAGGTCTAATCTGTGCCTCCATCGGAGATGTGTAAACTTCGGCATCCGTGTCTGTGTTGGTGCCGTGCTCTTTCTTAAGTCGTTACGATATATCCATGTCACCTTTCCTTATTAAATTACATTATTAATTGTATATGCCTATCTCAATTACGATTGCTGTTTTTCTAGGTTATGTTATCAATACTTTTGTAGGCACATGTTACTCGCGCGTACCTCACCATTATGGCAAAGGGAATTAACGTTATGCCTCTGAAAACCAAATTCTTCAAACTACTCTGCTTTTCTGGGCTCTTAGCGAATACTTCTGCTATCGTTATTGATGTTGCTGCTTCGATGCTATTGCAAGTTTTTCAAGTATTCCTCATTTCTGGATATTTCCAGTCGTAAGCAGTCTTTTCTCCATTTTCTCCCAGTTTACACTAAAACCACATCTTGTCAGACTCATGGCATCACGATCATACTTCTATGATGGCTGCAACTGGAACTGGCTGCTGCGTGTTCAATATCATCTAGACGTAAGTGCTGGAAAGCAATTTAATGTGAAAAGATGGGGTGTGGGCTTAGTTTAAAATTTTAAAATTCGTTTCTCAAAAAATTTTTAAATGCGATTGAAAGATCTAATACAGCATTCAGCATTTTATTCAATAATATACGTAAAGCACTATTTTTTATCTCAGATTTGTAGCCAAAATTTTAGCTCATCCTTGATTTATTGCAATAGATAAATGAAAAACTTGTTTTTGAAGTCATTGCGCCCTTTTGACTGGAGGTCTAATACAGTTCACATAGCAAGCCAGACGTATGGGCTTTTTGCTAATATCTTTTGCTGTATATACATACACTCATACATTTTGAAGTTAAATTATGGAATAGAATATGATAAGTAATTTTTATATCGTATTGGATTCATAAGAAAAACAATACCTGCATCATCCATAGCATATGCGTCAAGCACTTCATTTACTAAAGAACCGACATAATGTAAATTTATTTGTCTCAAGAATTCATCAATCAAAATCAGATCAGATGCAATGCAATTTTTAAAGACATCTTTGATGCAAGTTGGCTTATATGTGTCTTGGCTAGAAAGCAACAAAAACCTTTTATTAAAACTAGAGGGAAAAAATTAAAAACATTTAAATAAAAACTGCTTTATTTTTAAAACAAAATTATTGTTATGAAACGTGTAAAGTGAAACGTTTTACCTTTTTCATATTTATCATATATGAAATTCATATTTATAATACACAAAAGTATAAAGCGTTTTAGCTTCTTCATATTTATAACACATATAAATATGTAATGAAGCAGACTTAGCTCTTATAAGTAGTTTAACGACATATTATAAACGAATATTTTTTCTATTAGTATAATTAATGTTTCCATTTCATAATAGGGATTCAATAAATAAGATCTTGTTTTCAAATATTTTTCTGTTACAATGCATAAAAATTTTAGCTAGATATTTGTTTCCTATAAGAGCTCTTATGCAATCATGAAATAAACAAAAAGAAAAAGAAATGGAAATATGTTATCTATACATCCTCGAAATTTGATGAAATTTTTAGAGCATGAATTTTATGAAAATGTGATGTGAAAATGCAAACTTAAAGTAATTATAATACATTTTTCCTGTAACTGTTCATAATCTGCCATTGGAAATAATAAAAAAAATTAATTATAATACAATAATTTCTAGCAACACAAAAAAAATGCTAGTAATAACAATATTATGATAAAATAAGCATTTTAAGTAATAACACAAATATTTACAGCATTTTTTTGCCACGGTTAATTATTATACTAAATGACCTCCTAAATTCAGTGAGATACTGAGACTTGTTCCTGCAAACACAACATTTTTACTTCTCGCCAATCTCTCACTCTCTCTATATATAATTCATTGCAACTAAATTTGCTTATGTTGAAGTTTTCGCGGAGCCACAGATTTTAGCAACTTTTTAGCGTGCGTACTAAAATTTATCTTCTAATTTCCTTAATTTTGCAGCACAATGCGCAAAATTTTTGACCACATAGGTCTTTTATCGTTTGTTCTTACTACTTTACTTTAAATTATATATATATAGAAGAGGGAGGTCCAAAAATTTGATAGAGAGTTTTCCGTGAATAAACACGAATTAGGGTCCCCATACCATGTTTCTGTTATTTTAAAAACAATATCTGTCTATCTGTGGGTGTGTGATCATTTTTTTCGTCCACAATACCTCTTGTATGATATATGACTCTTCCAAATATTTCCATTTCCGTTATTTAAGTTTTTTTTCTCTTTTTTTTTTTTTTTTTTTTTTTTTTTTTTTTTTTTTTTTTTGTTCATATCAAAAGTTGATTAGATTTTTGATAAAAGTGGATAACTGGAATTAGTATTTCACATGAAGCTTATAACAGTCTTTAACAGACAAAGAAAAGTGAAGCTTTACTTGAAGCCCGTAATAGTTTTAATAGACAACTATATTAAAATATAATCGAGAACTTTTCGCTTACAGTTTTTATGCCAAAAGAAGCAATATGGCCAGCGGGCAGGATGATAGAGTTTTTGGTGCACAAAATTTAAAGTTACCTTTTAGTGACATTGGGCAAAAGAACACTGAAGTTGGTACACCAACTAGCTTAATTCATTGTTCTGCTAAGAGTTTCAAATGTAAATAAATGACAGCCTCGTAATGTTTAGTGACACATTAAAACTGTTGATAAATCTTCAACTATTGCATGCAGATTAAGTAAAAGCATATAAATCGTAAACGGAACATAAGAATAATATAATTCAATCACTTTTAATGCAAAAAATGTACAATTATCCATTATATAAGAATAAAAATTAAGCTCACCAAGCCGGTTAACAGTGCAGCAGTATTATATATATATATATATATAAAGTTTATATTGATAGATAGATAGATATACACATACGCACACACATACGTTTAGTGCAGCCAGATTGCAACGAAAAACGGAGGTGCACGACTACGTGTTATAGCAATTCCATATACAAAATTTCAACGTCTTACAGCTACACATTTTGGAGTTATGCAACATACATACATACGTACAAAAAAAAAAAATAATAATAACGGGATAGTTCCATCTTCCGTTGTACTTGGCAGATTGACGATATTCAACTTGCTTCTTTTCATGTCTCGAAAGCGCTTCTTAGGACATGTACATAGATACATAGCATTTATACATAGGATTTATACATAGCATTGTTCTAATTTAGGTATTTTGACATAAAATCAGACTTTTTTTGAAATGACATGCCAATTTTTTTCCATATTTCGTTTCTACTACTCAAGTAATGCCAAATTGCGAAGTTTTGCAAAAATCACACAAGTGGTTTTTAAAACATTAGCTCTTAAAATTTTAGCGCCTCACTGTAAATTAAATTTGATATATATTTGTTAATATCTTTTTTTTTTTAACTTACTTTATTCCTTCTTCCAGAAATCGAAATTTAAGTTCATTCCAAATACAATTCGCCTATTTTTTATGATTTATTTTTTTAATTTGTATTTTTAAATAATTTTTATAAATGTTTCGAAAAAAAATTTCAATTATAACCTATGAAATTTTTACCATCATCTGAAAGTAAGTGTATTTCTAAGCATACCTGCAGAGAAATAGAGTTTTTATTCAGAATTTCCTAGGATATACGTGAATTTACATATTGTCGCGTTCTGAAATTTGGCATGTTTGTAATGAGCGATAATAACGCCAAATGTGGTTTGCGCACTTTGTTAAAATTATTTGCAATAATGAACAATGACATTTTCCCCCCGCTCGTTTACATTAAAAAAAGGAAAGGAAAATATATTGCTATAAATTAAGAAGTTTTCCAAGTGAATTATTCTTGGCGCAAACTGAAAAAAATGCGCCAAGGAAATGTTTTGAATTTCTCCGTAAATTTCGCACGAAATTTTACAAAATTAATATTTAGGCATAATTTAAGTCGTAGAATTGAAATATGGAAAAAATATTGGCATCTCATTTCAGGAAAAGTCCGATTTCGAGTCAAAATACCTGTATTAGAACAATGCTATATATAAATCAAATATATATCCTATGTCGCGGTTTCCAGACATGAAAAACGCAATTTGAATTTCATCAATCGGGCCAGTAGAGCGCGTAATATAGAACTGCCCCCCCTTTTCGTTTCAGTGTACATGAGCCTTTATATCATTATATCATGTCCGTTGCATGGAAGAATAAAAGAAGGAAAAAATTAGTAGTGTTTATAATTAACATTGAGGTATACAGTTTATAACACATAAGACTTTATTTACAAGCGATCAACCGGAAGTGATAGCCAAATTAATGGTCGTTACTCAATGTGTTAACATGGAATTGGCGGAAAGACTCTACGTAAAACTTTGACCGCATTAAATTTTTATATATGGGCTACACGCAATTCAAGATCAAGACTTCAGTGGTGATATTTTTAAATTCTTGATAGGAGGCACAAAAGAGAAGTTTTGTTCACAAAATGTATGTTGCACCAAATGATAAAAGAATGTTATAGCTTTTTCGCCGATGAATTTAAACTAATTTTTTAAATTGCCCAGAATAGGAATGGAACATCCTGAAACTTCGCTTCAAATATTCAATCCTGTTTAAAGTCTAACAAATCCTGCTTCAGTTTCATTCACAAATCGAATTACATGTGATCTAATGAACTAATTTGTTTGTCTTCATTAAATCAAAAAAGTGACGAAGCTTTCTCTTAAGCATTCGTAGGTGATGATCTACAAGTTCTAGCAGCTCATTTTCAGGTTTCCAATTGCAGCATCGACTGAGCATTCTAAGGGAACCATTTTTCGTCACATCTTTTCAAAAGAGAATTTTGTTTTTGAATCCATTAATTTGTTAGTGCAAGATAATACAGTGGCTCACATTTGTTTTCGAACAATTGTACTTTTGAAATTTATTTCCGTAGATCTTGTACTAAATTCTGAAATACAGACTCAAAATATTCTCTTAATACATTATTCTTTTCTCTAATTTAAAACTGGCTTGTTATAAAATTAGTATCACCAAAATATTCTCTATAATAAAATAATTTATTGCAAAAGTGTTAATCAGTAGCTGACATACTAATTCGCAAACTCGAAAGTTTTGTTGAGCTATTTTGCAAGACGATGTTTTTTTCCATAGATTTTTTGTTTTAAATAAAATTATATCGCAAGAATTGTCCTATACATTATCATCATCGCAAGGATTGTATCGTTGGAAAATATTGTTTGTTAAGCAAAGTATATAAACATTTCTATATCTGAATGAACATGGCAATATGCTACAAATTAAAACCTAATTCTGTTAGAAATTTAATACTTCGTCTCTCAAAATATAATAAAAGTATTTGAAATATCAATCAATCCTTTATGTAAAGCGTTTAACTATCTTTTATACTGTAAAGCAATGTAGACTACTTGGTAGTGCTGAAAAGGCACTGAAGTCTGGACAACATTCCATGCTCACGCGAAGGAATCGGAAATATGTCCTATGAAAAATCAAACAAAATCCAAAAATAATACTATAAAACAGGGGTTCTCAACCGGTGGTACGCGTACAACTGGTGGTACGCAAGAGAAAAATAGGTGGTACGCAAAGAAGCAAAGTATTTTTAACTATTAAATTCAAAAATTAAAACCCAACATCCTATTGTTGTTTTTTCCTCTAACACTCGTAAATTTATGCAATCTGAACTTGGTTCAAGGTAGTAGATAATAAGGTTCAAGGTAGTAGTAATCAATAAATTTCAGTGTGACAAGTAGTATATATGAGCCAAATAACTTTTATTTCAAGTATATATTCAAGGTAATGTGATGTTTCTTTATTTAAAATAACCAGTTGTTTTATATTTGGAATCTATATTCTTACTTCTCTCTTTCCATTTTCCTGCCAGAATGCAAATGAGTTCGCATGTATTTAAAGTGAGGTTTTCAGATTGTTAAGACAGAGCGTCTTCTGCCTATGGAAGGCCAAGTCCCTAAGTTTGCTATTTTAAAATAAGAGTTCCAGTCATGGGCGTTGCATTATACTTGTCGATAGTTAAATTCACGCCGGTGAATCCGAACTAACTTCGCGTTAAATTGCTTTGAGAAGCCTTTGGCTACTAGGTATTTAAATTTAGCTTTATATTTGCATTTCTACTTTGCGTTTCTCGCCATAAATGCTGGAAGACTTGTAAGTACCAGGCTTGTCTTCTCTTCATCTTATTAAGTTTTAAATAAAGGGTCTTTTACACACTTAGCAAGTCTCTGTTGTATTTCAGACATAGCGATAAGTCGCTTAACATCTACAGAAAAGATTGTTACAGTTTTCATTAGTGAAAGACTTAAAACGTTATATGTACATAACACCCAAAATAAAATTCACGAATTAATGAACCAAAAGTAACGCATACATTTTAAGTATATGTTCTGGAGGTGGAAGTATGCCTTCTGAAAACATTCTTAAGGCTTCATAAAGTCCTTGAATGCAGTTATCAGCTGTTATCTTTTCAATAGTTTGGAAACATCCCTGAACTCTTTTTTCCATTCCAGCTGTAGAAATATCAAATGCAAAATATAAATCGCAAGACAAAATTCCGTAATATTATACTGGGAATTGGCAAGATGTGGTTACAGATTTTATTTCTTTCAATGCTAATTTTAGACGTGCATTTCATTTGCAAAGTTTCTAAAATACAGCCTTCATCCTTTCCGTCGGGAGAATCCTAAAAATATTAAAGTTTCTTAAAATAAATATATGTGAACCTCTTAAAATAAAAATTCTGATCAGTGATATAGTATGTTTACTGGATGAAAAATCATCTCATTTTGATCATTTTAATGCCTATCACAGATAAAGATTTAAAATGTTTCAACTAAATTCAAGAAACAACTACAAAACAAAAATTGTCTGTTTCGATTATTAACTGTTGCACATTGATTTTAATGGTATTCGTTGTTAAATTTCTTGCTGGTATATGAAAAAATATTAATTTCTCTATTTCTACAAATTTTAAACATACAAGCGGGGAATGTTTTGCATTTTATTTAATAAAGTGAGTTGAATATTTTCCTAAACTGAATTCATATTTATTAAGAACACACGAAAAGTTAGATTTTTATTTCTAAAGTATCCTTCTATTCACAGGATTGAAACATTTTCTTGAAATTCACTACTGTATTTTAAGAAACTCTGCAACTGAAAATACAAATCTATAATCTAATATTTCAGTACGTAAAGCTCTTAGCTCATTTTCGAACTTCCTGTATACTGAAATTTTTACGTGCCAATTCAGTCTATGCATTACAAAAGACATACACACAAGGTGCGTCAAATACCAAGATTACAGTTTTGTAGGAGGTGTAGGATGCACCCAGATTACTCGAAATCGCGTTGCAGTGCAGGGTCTGAAATGCTTTCCTGACGTAGCAGATGGCAAATGAACGTTCTTACAGGGAAGCTTAGCTTCATTTCACAGAGGTATGACGGTATGTGATATTACGAACACGAAGCTAGCTGACGTGCATCTGGTATAAGGGGCTGCGGAGTATAATGACCCAGCGATACAGCTATTGTAAGAAGAATGTTATCCGATGACAACGTGCTACGCCATAAACTCTTTTTACCCCTGCACTATAAGTTAGCCGATACGGGTTCTTTTCACACAGCTAATATGAGTCAGGAACGCTTGGCACGAACTCCGGATATTGAGTAGACTGTGCTATATCATGTATAGGAAATTCCAAGCTCGAGGACACGAATGTAGCGCATGAACTCCAGGTTTCCAGTAGCAGCATCTGGAGGATACTCAGAGCAAACGAAACACATCCTTACCAAGTGCAACGCATCCATACATTTCAAACAGATGACTATGTACCTCGAATTGCTTTTATACAATAGCTGCTGCAACGGTGCGCTATAAATCCCCTTTCCTTTGCTTCTGTGTTGTTCACTGATAAGTCGCGCTTCACAAGGGAAGGGGTCTTTCATTCCTATAACGCCAATGCTTAGGCAGTGGTGAACCCCCCATGGCAAAGACGTTATGCTGCAAATGTTTGGGCCAACACTACGGTATCACCTGATCGTATCCCACTACCGCTGCCTTTTTGGCTGACAGTAGCAACTACTTGACATTTCTAAATTTCTGCACATATTGCAATAACTTTTAAATGGCGAACAGCTTTCTGCATCGGTATAGAGATCCTTCATTATGGTTCTAGCACGATGGAGCTTCTGTCCGTTTCAGCCACTACCTTGATAAAACTTAGACGTTACATTCGGCTAAGAGCGTATCGAGCGTAATGTTTCAGTGTTTGGCTTCCCGATGTCTTACTTCTTCTGGGAGCATACGAAAACATTGGTGTGTGACACCTACACCTCGGCGCTGGTGTATTAACAGCGCCGAGATATTCGTCACAAGCATCGCAATAGCTGCTAAAGAAGTCCGGGATATGCCCAAAATTTTCCAAAATATTAGTAATTCAGTGTACTAGAGCTGTGAGGCCTGCATTTGCAGCTAGTAGAGGACACTTCAAACACCTTCTTTGATCTCTTACTTTTGTGAATCCACAGAATGAATTTATCTGACTGTTACTTTTTTGTGAATGCACTGTTATCAAAAAAATGCATATTCACCTATGTCGGGGGTCCTGTCACTTCTGGTATGTTTGTGTACACTTTGACATGCACATGTCATTCCGTTCTAACATTGCTATGTAAATTCACATTGTCTGGATGCACCCTACACCTTCTTCAAGCTAGTATTTCTGCTACTGAGATACTACATTCTATTAGAACTGTACAGTAAAGTGCAGTAAAGGCAGAGCTAAAAGTGCAGTAAAGGAAATAAAAATGTTAAAAATAGCAATTTTTAAGTTTACGTACATTTAAACATTAAAATATCCTTTAAACAATTTTAAATGAGTAATTTAGAAGCTTCTAATTTACTGTTCTTGATTAATTGCATACACTAGTTTAATTTTAACGACAGATGAAAGACGATTCACATTTTATCGAATAATATTCAAAAGCAATAAAATTGGTTAAAAGAGAATTAAAAATTACTTACACTGTATTTTCCTTTCACTTGAAGCGGCAAAAAGGAAATTCACAAAATTTCCCGTATAATTAAGAAGAATTTCTGTTATTAACATACGTGCGTCAGGAGAACATGAAGAAATTGTACTCTCCAAGCAGGTTAGATTTTGTATAGTTGGACTAAATAAATAAAAGTTATAAAGCGTATAAAAATAAAATAAGTTAAATATTAAAATTTTCAAATATTTCATGGCATATATATCTTAAGGAAACATTGTAGTATCTTCGAAACATCAAGATTTATTTTAAAGAGATATGCAGAACGCCAACTGGCACTAAAACATTTTTGATTGAAAAATTTACTCAATTAAAATGCAAAATCAATAACACTAATGCAGGCTCGTACATACGGAATATCGCTCATGTCAGGAACTTGACCTCTATATATTTCATTCATTACATATGAATAACCAGGTAAGCATTTATCGATGACATCATTTGGTACTGTTTTCCCAATGCAGGACTCTATCGCAGAAATTTCAGGCTCTGAAAAGGAATCAATATCTTATTCATTAAAATGTTCACGTCTTATTTGATAAAATCAATTCGCAAATCACACATTTGAAATTAATGAACGTCAAAGAGAATATTACAATGTACAGAAGTGTCGGTTATAAAGCTGTAGAAAACAGAAACAGCTGTTTGAAACTGCAGAAGTGCGCATTCAAAACTTAAGTTGAGGATTAAATCTTCACCTTTGAAAATGTAGTAAAATAACTGTCTCTGTTTCTGGGCTAATAAACAACAAATTGCATTTTCTTCCGAATCGCTGCATACTGTAGAACTTTATAGTTTTTATATTCATCATACTAATGTGAATTTTTCCTTTATAAGCCTCATTTTTAAACTGACAAAAAAATTTTCATCTGTAATAATAAAGCAGAAAAGCTTGTATACATACGAGTGTGCGTGTGTACCTCATACCTCAGAAACGAACAGGTCCAAAGCTATGAGAAGTGTGGTGCACACGTTGTCCGAATCATGGAGGTAGGAAGTAAGATGGAGTCGCCCTAAACAAGTTTCTGCCGTACCCTGCTCTGAAGCACCGGCGATCCCTACGTGGTGACCAAAACATTGGGTCATTTACCATTGAGTTCTATGGGATTTGACGCGTTCGGAGGTAAATATTTTGTAATTACGTCGTAAATATACATATAAATGTATATATTTCTTTTTCTACACACTTCAGAGTCCTAAGTATGTGAAAACAACATATTTTTAAACAACATTTCATTTTGAAGGGAATAAATGCTATAACTTTTCACAGACAGTTTTCTCAGAATGGTTTAATTGAATGAAATATTTTTCACAAGTTTTCGTTAATTACATTAGAAAAAAATTAAGGTAATTCGATTTTATTCGGCTAAGGTACAAAAATTAAGATCAAAGTTTATTGTATTATTATATTAAAATTATGCATTATTTCTTTTCTATTTATAGAGCTTTCTTCTTCCTAAAATCTTTCTTAAACATGACATGATTTTTGGCTTCTGAGGCATCTTTTAAATCGAAAAATGTAAGTCAATTTTAATTAATGCTCTATTCGGTTCATTTAAATTATAGAATTATTAGGAATTAGCGAAATACTTTAAATAGTAACTTGACTTTCTCTGAACATTTCTGAAAGGGAATAAAATAAGTTTTTTTTTTTTTATTATTATTTAAAACTTGTAACTGAGTTATTATAAATGTAAGGGAATAATTCTTTAATTTACTTTCAGATTTTTTTTTTTACCCTTCATTTCAACAATACATATTCCAAAACTCTTTATTACGTTCTTAAGTGCGCATCTCATAGCATTTGCTTTACAATACCTTTTTAACAGATTGCTTTCCAATACAACAATTCTTGCTTAAATAGTTTATATAACGTTTTGTCAACAGGATTTCAATTTATGTTTACAATTCATATTAAGGTTATTAATATACATAGATAACATTTATAATCATATAAATTAGATACATTTAATCATTAGATTTCTTCACAGTACTTTCACAGTTGTTTATAAGTGAATAAATTCTTCATTTCAAATACATTTTGTAATAATGAATATTTAAGTCTGTTTTACAATAATAGTTTTTTTTTTTTTTTTTTTCTTTTTTTTTTTTTTTTTTTTTTTTTTTTTTTGTTTTTTTTTTTTTTTTTTTTTTTTTTTTTTTTATTTTTTTTTTTTTTTTTTGTTGGTTTTTTTTGTTGTGTTTGATGAATATTTAAGTATTTTGTCAAAGGCAGATACATGCTTTTTGCAAGCACATGCATAAATACCCATACATATTTCCTATTTTTCATTTCCGGCATGTGCAAATCTTTAATTTCTGTGCATTCACTATATTTTTCATGTAAGGTAATTTACACTAATTTAGCATACACCCGAAAGTTTTGCATAAAAAATATTGATAATAATTTGAATGAAAATTATAAGTATTATTTTTAAATTATAAGTATTCTTTAAGCATAACATTTTTCTTAAAATCTATATTTTTGTAGTGCAACAGCTTAGAATTTTATAAAACAAATTCATAATCAAAATCGCTGTTGTTAGTTATCGAAAAATAACCAAGATGTGATTTTTGCGTAAATGTCACTAAACTATACAAATTGCTATTATCCATCACACTATAAATGTTTCTTTCATGCGAAAGTGTCTCTTTTTCGATTTCTATGGAACTGTCGTGTGTCGAAATACTATCAGAATCTTGTCAAGCGAGCTTCTGAATGTAAACAAAGAACACCCCATCTGGTGACCCAAGCTTCAAAGCAGTGCTTCACTTTTAGCGCGGATTGGCCCCTCCTCCCTTTCCTACCTCCATGGTCCGAATGATGAAGAGAAGCAAAATTGGGTTTATCTATATTTATTCAAAAAGCCGCTTACGCGACCAGCCGCCTAAAGTAGTTATAAAAAATACATAATTATTTTAATGAGTTCAGCTAATCTAATTTCATAGGTCCAGGTAGTAATTAATAACAATAGAGATGAAAAATTGCATTTATTGCTTCTAAATCGCTTAATTTGTTAATTAATAACAGGAAAATTAATTTAAAAGAAAAATTAAATATATTATGCTTTGCCGAACTGCAATACACTGGCTTGTTGGAGTATAAAAATATTTTATTTATAGCAATGGCAACACATTTCCTATAAACCATTGCATTTTCATATTAATTTTGAAACATAAATATCTAATACTTTGTCGAAGGGCAAAATACTGCTTGCTTTTAAATTGCTGATTTTTGTTAATAAAAATATCATTAAAAAGCCGCTCAGCCAGCTGCTTAAAATAATTATTATAAAAAAAGAAAAAATATGCTACGATATTAATGAGCCCAGCTAGCATAATTCCACGTCTTCAGTTAGCAATTAATAATTATAAAGATAAATAACTGCTTTTATTGCTTTTACAAAGTTAACAATATTTTATTTCGGACAATGGTAACACATTTCTGTTAAATCGTCGAGTTTTCTGATTAAACTCAAAACTTATATACCTTATGCTTTGCCAATCGGCAATTTTTAAATCTTCAATTTTTTTTAATCAAAATGTTATTAAATTCGCATAAACTATGTAATAAATAAAGAAACAAACTTAAATTTAAAAATTAAGGTGCAAATGTTGCGGTGAATTTCTGGTAAGTGTCGTTCAACATTTGGTACACCGTTTTTACAATGCGAAAAACATGTATAACATTCGCATATACATACAGATTCTTCACGATTTGAAAACATGGACTAGTAAAATTGGAATGAGTCTTTGTTATGAAATTCGTTCCAAATTTTTAAAATAATTTAATCAAATTTTGTTTTTTAATAATCTTTTGATTTCTTCGAAATATAAAATATTGTTACTTTCACAGATTATAAAACCAAAATATCGCCCTCTTTTAAAACAGGAATGGTAAGAAAATATTAAATAGCCTTTTATTTTTCTCGCTATACCGCTTAACAATTTCTCATAAGGGAACTTCAAATGAAGCCTTTCATTTTTACCCTAGCACCTAATCTCCAAAGAAATGCCTGCAAGTTTGGTTGTGTGATTAAAAGTAAACCCGTGAGGCAACCGTATCGGGGTATTAGCAGAGTTTCAAGAAATAGCAAAGCTGTAAGCGTAGAAATGACGAGTACTAAAGATAATTATGTATAATTCAATTAGAATTTCCTTGTACAACTTTAGTTTCCTGTTTTGAAATCGATTCTTATTAACCAGCCACAATTCCATTTTAGTGATATACGACTAAGAATATTGTCTTGGCTAAAATAAAGTTATTTTGCACTTTTTATGTATTTTGCTAGAACCGATAAAATGTTTTATATATTTTTTATTATTTACTTTATTTTGTAATATCTATTTTATTTGCATAACATTGCACTAAGAAAAAAAGAGTAAAAATAAGCTTTAAAAATAGTTAAGAATTAAAATAATATAGAATTTATAAAATAATCTAAACTCAGTATTTAATATTTATCTAATTTAGTTTATGAGCTTGAGTACTAAACAACAAATCTGCGATTAACACGTGTACGAATTTTACTTTTTAAAAAATATTTCTGTAAAGCATTTTTTATTTAACATTAAAAAAGTTAATTTGGGGACCAGTAATTGTTCCACATATCTTTCACTATATACATTTATTTCCAGTGAGTAAATTCGGTGAGTATTTTGCTAACTGTTAATTTGGTTCCAAAGGGACCGCATAAACTTTCAGACTTTTTATTTACAGAAATCTGTCATTTAGTGACCTGAAATGGTTTTGCTGGAGTTTTCTTCCCTGTTTCTAGAAATTTTATAGTTATAAATATTTTATAGTTATAAAAGTTTAGGTTAAGTATTAAAGATCAATAAAATGAATTTCATAAATATCCCACTCAATGATTCTTGAGAATTAGTACGCTCAATGAACACAGCAACAGCAAGATAAATGTACAATTATCATAATGTCGTTTCTTCAACATTCTTGCATAGAACAGATGCTGTCATTTGAATATTTTGTGATGACACATTTAATAAAAAAAATTCTTTATAAGTGTTAGATTTAAATGTGTTTTTAAAGCTACATTAATAAAATATTATTAGTAAAATAATGCAATATAAAGAATCAAGATGAATCATATCCTAAGATTTCTGCTATAATTTTTGGGAAAAAATTATATAAAAAGCATATAAAGGCCAAATATACTTTAACATTTTAGTAAATTCAGTTATATATAAATAAATATAAATTTTTTTGTTTATAACTTCGTCATACGATGACTAGCATTTTATACAATACCAAAAACATATTTAACTTTTCTTAACTGATATATAACATAAACATGAAATTTAAATTTTATTTTATACAGAAATGAATAAGTTAACATAAATCAGATACATAATAAACATACCATATATATTTCTGTGGATTCTATTTTTAAGTCTCAAAGGTATATCAATTACAATGCCGGTAGCAAATTTAACTACATCCATGATTAACAAACGAGATCGGACGGAGCAGTGCTTGAACATGTTTTCCAAGCAATGCCGGTTAAGTTTCCTAAAAAATGTTAAGTATAATTGAATCATAAGCACAAAAAAATTCTCACTTATTAAAACACGTATGCCTATAACAAGTAACAAATTTTACCTAAACATAAAAAAGGAATAGTCTAAATTAATTCGTACATATTATGATCATCATCAGAAAAGTAAAGCTTAGATATGTAACTTAATTACGAATAATTAAATACAGTCGAAATCATCAGAAAATCAAAGAAAAATTAAATAATAAATCAAATTAAATGATATTGTAAATTAGTTCGGAGCAATAATAATTATTTTTATTTTTGTGCAATTAAAATTTCTTAATTAAATTTTAAATTTTAATTTATATTTTGCTTTATACGAATAGAGAATATTTGTTAAATTCAAATTTCATTCCTTGCAGCAATGACGCAAGAGAATTATTTAAGTTTAATTTAACTTAATAATTATTTTTATTTTTTTGCAATTAAAATTTCTTAATTAAATTTTAAATTTTAATTTTATATTTGCTTTATACGAATAGAGAATATTTGTTAAATTCAAATTTCATTCCTTGCAGCAATGACGCAAGAGAATTATTTAAGTTTAATTTAACTTTACTATTTTCTTAAGAAAATCAAAGGTCATGTATGTAACTTAATTTAGATTTTAAACAGCCAGTCTCTGTATTTCATTGGAGTACTATAGATACCTCTTGTGTGCTTTGCCATATTTAAATAATCCAATCCAATCCAACCCTCTTGGAAGACCCCTTGAGTGATTTTGCCACATTTGAATAACTTAATCTAACCTGTTAATTTCAAAAAGGAGTTTTTCTGCAGTAACTAAATACTACTTAGTAGTCTAAAAAGTCTTGTTTAAAATCTGAAATATAGCTACTTTCATTTTAAAATTCAAAATGATTCAGTTTTTTAGGTGGTTATATTATTTTTATTTCTTTCATTTGTATCAAAGAGTTTAGCAACAAATTTCCTGAAAATAAAGCAACCTTTTCGTGTTTCGTGTTTGGAAGGACTTTTATTCGTAAATATTTTGAGACTTTTATTGCATTCTTAGACTTTTAACCAGTTCCTAAAACCATAAAATGTTACATCAAAAGTCACGCCTATTAAGTTTCCACCTCTTTAGTTGATATTAAGCACTTTATGTTTTGTTTCAATCAGTTACATTCTTATAACTAAGTTTAAAATCTAAATTAGTCTATAAAAAAACGTTGCATTTTTAAAGAAAACATTGAAAAATAATTTTGAGGGTACTGTGAAAAATAATCAAATTAATTAAAGTACACTATTTAAATTTCATCAGCTATGTATAAAGCACTTACAAGGATTGTTGAAACACTGTCGCATAGCCTTTTGCTATCTGGGATAGTATGAGAGATAAACCAGGTTCACAAGCATCAATTTCATCTTCATTTTGAGAAGCAAGACAAGTTTGAAGTTCAAGCATTTCATCGTCTGAATGGAAATTAGATACAAATATATAACTTCAATTATTATGTGATAAAGTGCTTACTTAAAGATTATATATATATATATGCTCCGCACATGAGTGTAGGCCTATCTTGTACCATAAGAAAGTTGAAAGACAATCCTGAATTTTAACAGATGCAGAAAAAATAAAATTTTTAAAGAAATGATTATGAAAAAATAAAGCTTAACAATCTGGTAAGATTTTGTTACTAACATTTACATTACGCTGCAATGAAACGTCTCGAACCCTATTTCCAAACTCCGTTCTGGCGTACTCAATTTTGGCTTTTTTCTACGAAAGACTACTCCGATAAGTATATGATGAATCATTCACGCTTCCTTTTAATCTGTCAACTGTATAAATGAAATATTTTTTTACTTCTCGTTATTTCGAATGAAGTGCTAGGTTGTGTATGATATGCGTTTGTGTAAATAAATGTATTTCCTTTTTGCGTCACTATTTTAAATTTTCGAGATTTTAACTATTAGCTAATGTATTCGTTTTTCCCTTGCAAGATATAAGAGATTCTCAAATGGAAGTAGTGGAATGATAAACAAAACCAATATTATCTCTCAAAATATGCATATTACAGTATTACACACCTATTAAAAAAGGGTTAAATTTTTAAATTATGAACATTTACAAATCAAAGAAAACTATCTCATTTTAACACTCAGAAGTTATTTGTTAATCGCTAATTATGTTTAATTTTTAAAAGTGCACTCATTATTTAAATTAAACCTTATATTTGGAATTGAATTTTAATATGAATTATTGAATATGTTTGTAAATATTATTAATACACAATTTGAATACTAATACAGAGTTTGACTAATGTGTTCTTTTTATATTGTTACGCATTTAAAGACCTTCCTTTAAATACTTTAAATAAATATAAAAATATTTTCATGTAAAATGTGTTTTAATGTTATGAACTTGCCTGTCGCTTTACAAGAAATGCTAAACATTGTTAAATACTGTGACCTATTACCAAACTTTAGTAATACTAAAATTTAGTGCATAAATGTGTTTTTGAACTTATTGAATCTTAACAAGATTTGCTTTTGCTTGTAAAGTAATTTATCACTGCAAAATATATTTTAGTCAATTTGTATCATAAAATCTCCATCAAACTACTATATTAAGAATTTGAATAACTTCAGTGAGAAACTTCAGACTGTTGGTTTTCTCTCAGAATACTCACTGTTAATTTTTTAATGCTTTTAAAATATACTTTCCAAAATTTAAAAAACTTACTTCCACTGAAAATGTGTAAAACTGCTAGCCAAGTTCCCTTTATATTACTCATTATAACTATTTATTTTCAAAAGCATGTGCATTCATATTTGTCAAAAGATCACTTCACATAAAATGTTTTATTGTTTATAAAACAAGAAAATGAAAACGCTTTACTTCTGTAATTAAAATTTACCAACCGTGCATTTCATAGATACGAATATTGAATTCAAAGCTTTCTTAGTCATATATTGGGCATTTTTTTTAATTAAAGTAGAATTAGTGACATAGACATTACAGACTCAAAAAGAAATTTCTCACGTTAATTTAATAGCTTTGGCTATAAAATATTTCTGATTCAGTGAGAAATAGAACCTGGTGACACGGAAGGTATCTAAGTTAGGCAAGGCTGATTGTCAGACATTTCTGCTCGGATCGAATCTTGAATAAGTTTACATTTTGTGACCATATAGAATCCTTGCGGAAGAAAAACAACAAAACTCTTTCGATCTTCTTAAAAAGTACTTCAGAGATTTGTGCTAGGAAGAGAACTGTATCAGGTCAGATTTCATTTTCCTGCTTGCTGAGTATGAAAACTGGGTTCAAGCTAGTCAAATAATTCTCTCACAGTTTCCCAACATCTTTGGCCGATGACAAAGCAAGCTATGGTCCTAATTGTGAACATTCATGACATCATTTTGATAACTTTACTGTAGGACACGGATAGGTCAGGAAAATGTTATTTAAATAAAGCTCATCTTCTTAAATCCAAGTTTTAATAGAGAGCCACCCCAGATAGTCGGATAAAAAAATAATAATCTAAAATAAAGTAATGAAGAAAAGAATAATTGTACTGTTTAACAACAAGGCAAAATAAAGACGTTCAATGCAAAAATTAATACGTAAGCAATTATGCAGTTTATTGACTGCAGTCTCGTCGCAATCCAGTCTAACTTTATCGAAGTGTGACTAAGCTAGAAATTGAGAGGCTTTACGCAATAGTCCAGCTTCTGCATTTACGTATTAAGACTTCTAATGTGCTTGCCATGACAGCAACACTTTGATAAAGTTGGAATTAATAGAATGACATTGGACGCAGTGATAATTTCTTATTTATTTGCGCTACATTTTATGCTTAACTTCATTTGTTTATTATTAAACTACAAAAGATTTTAGTGAGAAATTGGAAGATGCACTAGATCGCAAAATTTATAAGGGAAGTTAAAAAGATAGGTAACCCACAACTGCGCATTAATGAGTAATTTCATAACAAGAACTTTATTGAAATGAATTTATTAGGATCATTTATGATACATTTTAAATCAATCAACATTTTGAGTGAAATGTAGGACATGAATAACTTAAATAATATCCATATCCTGATATCTTCGATATAGCAAGAAAAGAAAGAAATAGTTTTACTTTTAAAACAGGGCATTATGTTAGAATGAAATCCAGCTTTATTAATGAATTTCAAAAAGTATTTAACCAATTTAGAAATCAAAAGAGTTCCAAAATTTAACATTAAAACACTGATAGCAAAAAATACAGATTTATAACTTATGTAAAAGAAGTATATTATGTTCGACAAGCGTTCCACACTAGTTCACGCAAATTCCTTAGTATTAATGAGTCATGAATGTTTTATATTTAGACAATTTTAACAATAACAAAATGAATTGTTATGATTCTTAACTTAATATTAAAAATGTTAATTCAAAATGATTCTTTTGCTCTACTTATTGAATTGAAAGAGTTATCTATAACAATACGTAAACTTATGCCTCAGTCTGAATTAAAAATACATACTGGGTAGCATTTCCATGATATTTATGGGTGCTGATTCATAAAAAAGAGGTATGTCCAATATAATTCCAAGATGGTCAAAAGCAATCGTTGAAATAAGAAGTCTAGCTTTCATGGAACAAACTTTAAAAACTTCTTTTAAATGGTTATCTCTAGAAGCTCCTGCGATTCTGAAATGAATAAATTTAAAAATGACATTAAGATAAAGAATGTTCCATTTATATGGAACTTCAGAAAAAAATAATAAAATAGCTTACGTCTTGCTTTTGCTTTGTTCCGATTCTAAAATCTCTATGATCTTATCGAAAACATATTCGAAAAAATTATCCAATTTTTCAGCCATTATTCTCTTCAAGCAAGTCTTAACACTTGCTTTGGATGCATCTAAAGTTAAAAGAAAGGAAAGATTATAATCAAGGAATATTTTTAAAAGAAACGTAGGAACGCAATAATTATGTATTTTATACTATACATTACGCAGCTGCGGGTTCATAGAAATTTTCTTAAATAATTTAGTGAGAGGAACTGGGAAAATTTAAAGTTTCATTCTAATGTTCTTATGGAGAAGATAAACAGGTATAGAGAGCTTACAGAGAGAGCATAAATGCGCTAGGAGTTTGGGAATTTTTTTTCACGGATTTTCAAGTGTTTTCTTCCATCTAATATTTTTGAAAGATAAATTTACTGAAACGATAAATTTAAGCGTTTTAACATACTTCAAAGAAAACTGGAAAGAATCTCTCTTAGTTCATTTAAATTTCTCCTCTACTAATAATGATTAAACTTTTAACAAAGAGTTCGAACTTAATCTTGTAAAACAAAATGAATTAAACAGCTTATCAACATTTTCTATAGAAACAGAAAATACAAATAATTTTACATGAACAAGAAAATTTTAAGTTTTAAAATTAAAACGTTTAAAAATAAAATGAAGTGTAAAGTGTTAAGTTTAAAGCAAAGAGTTAATTTCAAATTTTAAGTTCTTAATTTGGAAAAATAAAAAAATGTCAAAATATACCACAGAAATTACATATATTATAAAGCAGTTATTTGCTTTATTATTATATTATTAAAATGTATTCATTACGTTACTATTATAAAGTAATGAATAAATTTAATTCTGATTCATAATTTATGAAGTTATCGCCTATTATTTTCTTCTCTGATTTAATTTTCTCTTCTAGGGGGCTCCATCGCCAAGCGATAGTTTTTAAATGCTTTTCCCCTAAATTTTAAGAAAATATTATCTTAATTGGTATCTTTTAGTGAAACATTATATGGACAAGATTATCTCATCCTCTTGATGTTAAAAATTTGATAATTAACAATAAATATATTGACAACAGATGGCATTTTCTAACACCTATTTATACTTTAGGTATTTCACAGAACGTACGCAGACAAGATTCTAATTCTTGGGAACAGAAAGAAAGAAGAGAGAGTATGATTATGATATGCAAGATATATGTTTTTATTAGAATCTGTAAACAAACAAGCAAACAGAAAACAAGAAGCTTGCAAATTAGAGACAAATTTAACAAAGGGCTTGTGCAAGCTTCCTAAAAATATACAGAGATTTAAACAAAATGATACTTATTTAGTTTTAAAAATTGCCTCAATAAAGGAATCACGAAACTAATGAAGAATAGGTTCAAAATGAAAAACGCCTTTTTTTTTTTTTTTTTTTTTTGTATGTATTATACAGACACGGACTGAGCAGCACAAGTAAAACAGATGACAAATTGGTATCAATTAAAATAAAAACAATATTTCAACATCAATAAATCCGATAGCGGACTCTAAGTCTACTACTAGTCGATGGTATTTTACATAGACAATTGTTTTTGCATATGGCATGCGACCGTATGTAAAACGTAATAATAATAAAAATAAAATAAAAAAATAATAATAATAAAATAATAAAAATGTAGCCATGCTTCATAACTCAAAAACAGATACACACATACACATATATATATAATATACACACATATACACATACACATATACTCGTATATTATATTTAATAAAAAAGGATTTGAAAAATTTCAAATTAAGGTGATGATTGATAAATATTATAAAAGTCGCGTAGTATGCTATGAAATTCATTAATTAATCAAGAGAAATTAAATAATGAAAGGCGGGCTACTCACTAAAAGGAAATACTCAGATTAAAACAAAGCTATAAACGTTTCAAAATACAAAACAATTCAAAACATTTTTTAAATTATAAAATATAAACAATATGAAATTTCAAAGAACTGTTGAAAATCCTTATCTTTTTCAAGCAGCAGTGGAAGAATTTTTCAATAAAGTCAAGTTTCTGAATTATATTTATATGGTTATTAATAGAAAATGCCAATAAAGAAATTTATAGGAAAAGTCAATGAAAACTTCTAGTTTGAATTAAGATAACTAATGTGTTTTAAAAGGACAACAATGTATGTTTTTAACTTTTTAATTTAATAATTGTCAAAATATAACCTTCTCCGACGTGATCAGATTACTTTTATTTAATCAATGGTTTTTGTAGTTTCTTATTCAAGAATTTATCTTTTTAATTTTTGGTGTCATGTCGGAGAAGGTTATATCTCGATGATTATAAAATTAAAGAATGTACCTTGTTTTACATTTAAAGCACTAATTAATTCAAATTAGACGTTATTAAGTTATCTTAAGTCCAATTAAATTTTTTTTTGTTGCTCTATAAATTTTCTATATACAATCATTTAGATATAATTTGAAAACCTGGCTCTGTTGAAATTTCTTCGGCTACTCTTTGAAAAAGACCAAGAAATTTTTAACAGTTTTTTATAACTTTATATTTTTATATTTTATAAATTTTAAAAGTTCTCTTGAATTGTTTTTATGTTTTGAAATGTTTGTATTTTTTTTAGATTATGTATTTCCTTTTAGGGAATAATCCACCTTTCTTTATTTAATTTCGATTTAATTTTATCTTTTAATTATATGTAAATAAATGTAGATATATTTTCCTCTTCTTATTGTAAATAAATTAAATAAATTTCCTCGTCTTTAAAAAAGTAAGTGGCCTGCAATTTATGTCGGTGCCTCTGTTAGGCACGGTTGCCCTTATTACATCCATACGCAATTGAAAATCCTTTCATACATTTGTAATCGGGAAATAAAAACTCTTATGCACACCTGGACTTCCTACTGAACATTTAATGACTCATTTTGTTCGCAATGATAACCTGCAACACATTTTTATTTTCATTCTCTCTAAACATTGGTATTTCTTTGGTATATTTATAATATTAGTAGAATTTATTATTTTTAACATCAAAGCAAAATCCATGTTTTTTCAAGTGAAGTCTGCGTATGCATAGACATGTTAAGAGCAACGAAACTGTGCATCTTTATATAAACATTTATTTCTCAGTATATTTATATTTTCTTTTCATTAACCTGTCTGAAGAAGCTGCTTCCCTTTCTTTAGAAGGCCACAGAGTACAAATTTTTAACCAGGGTAGAATTTTTCCTGGGGAGAGGGGGGTAATTTCATAGTTTAAGGGGGGAATACAGTAATCCTTTTAATTAGCTACTGAGTATTTTGCTTTAGTTTACACATATAAAAAAAACTATTTTTATTCAAGTTTTAGTATTTATCGACATTTTCTGCACTTTTGGTTATTCAATTTATAAAACATATTAAAAAATAATCCAAATATAAATAAATACATTCCTATGCATTTTTTGGAGTTTTGAAAAGAAGCGAATTAATATTTCCCATCAGTGATGACAGTGATGCATGAGGCAAAACAAGATCAAAATCAATACCATCGAAGGCAGAAGAACATGGAAAGGGGAAAAAAGCTCTTTTTTAGGATCTCTGAAGAGACTTCTTATATTTCCCGTCAATTGAATTTACAGAAATAAAAGGGTGCAGAGGTAAGAACTCAAATTCATATATCTATCAATATTTCATTAAGTCAGTATTATTTTTAAAGCACATATCATAAGATGCAATGTAATATACGAGAGTGCTGCAATCCTCCTGGTCGATAATAAACAAATCATGAGATATTAAATTAAATACGCTAAACCCAAATACTAGTTGTTTTTAAAAGACTTGACCTATACATGAAAGATTTTAGTACTTTATATCGGACGATTGTTTAATTTAAATTCACTGTAAATAATTCAGCTTTGAATTTTCTTCTAAAATTAGATTACATAAAAGAAAAAAAAAAGGTATACATTGAAGTGTACCTTTCTTCACGTTTACTTAGTTGGAAATACTTATAACATATTTTTATCTATAGACAGAAATAGAAATTAATAACCTACCATCAATTCGACTCATTGAAACAATTTTCTGTCTTGAAGGAATAATCACATCAAAACCATTAACAAAGGGTTTTAGAACATTGTTTATAACTAAAACCGAACTTGAGTAACATGGCTGGAAGGCACTTCTCAGGCATAATCTGATATCTTGCGCATGCCTATCACAAATGAGAAGGCATTTACTTCAAACTATTGAATTTCTATGAACTCAGAGTTGTTATAGTTATATATAATACAAATGTCCATAGAAAAATAAAATTAATTAATTTTTTTACTAGAAACAAAATGAATAAAAACGACTTACACAGGACCAAGAGGAGAAGGTCTTAGCCCATAGCTTATAGAAATCATAAAATCATACATTCCTTCCCAGCAGCTATCCAGAAGTTTCTTCTCCATTAAATACATGCATACTCTAATTTGTTCGCTTAAAAATGCTAAGGAAAACAAATTGCAATTACACACTAAAAAACTTGAAACAAATAAGATTCCCTATTTCTAATCACAGTATATATATATATATATATGCACAGAAGAAAAATTAAATAAAGTCTTTAATTTATGATAAATATACAGGGAACCCTCTCTTAGATGACTATCCATGGTTTGAAATTATTTTTACTTCCTTGTACGAAGTAAAAGGGAAGTATTGTAATCGCGAAAAGTTTCAGGCAGCATATTTCAACGAAAATATCCATTTTGACTCCTATCGAATGCAATTGAACGATGTTTTTGCGTGATATCTGTACGTAAGGGACAGAATAAAAGACTCGTTTCCTCCAAAAAAAATTATAAAACTGCTTTAAAATTAATTCTGAAGAGAATTTTTCGTGGCGTCTTCTGTACGAATGTATGTACGTACGTGCGTACGTAGGTACGTATCTCACATAACTAAAAAACGAGTAGCCTGAGAACGTTGAAATTTTGTATATAGGACTGCTATAACATATAGATGTGCAAATTGTATTTTGGTTACAATCGGCCGCACCAAACGTATATATATATATATATATTTATATATATATCCACTCTGTTACCCGGCACAGTGATCTCAGTTTCTTTACTCTTATATGTTTGTAAACTGTACATTTTTTGCTTTAAAAATGATTGAATTATGTTGTTTTTATCTTCTGGTTAAGGTTCTTATGCCTTTATTAAATCTGTGTGTGCAATATTTTTAGAATTATCAAAAATTTTAAAGTTGTTTAAGTGCCGCTATTGTTGATAATTAAAAAGGCTTGTTTTGACGGCGGCCATTGATTGTTTACATGTGAAACAGCAGACTAGTGGATTTGTTGACAATCTAGAGAAACTTAGCTTCGCAACAACAAAGATAACGCCTTCATTTATTATTGGCAATTAAATCATGCTTAATCCTTTCTGGAATATCTATATTAAAATTTATAAATATCTATATTAAAATTTACTTCGTAATTTTTAATACAGACATTGAGTTTCTATGTATTTTTACCTTCTCGCGAAGTGAGAACTGAATTAATTGAATGAGAAATACTCAATCGTCTGTGGAAAACTGGTCCTTTTTCTTTTGTTTGCTTAATTTCTTTTATACATCGTTCTAGCTTTATTATAGTATTTGAATAGAACATGTGGCAAGGATTAGATAATTCTATTCTTTAAATGATATAAATTTTGTGCATTGTGAGCTATAATATGAACGAAATATAATTCTGTTAAGTGAATCTAGCGCCAGAGTGTCGCTATGGTAAACAAATACTAGAGTGAATTTTAAAGAATGCATTTATTCTATTGTGGTTTATGCGCTGCAGGCGAAGTAGATTTAATTCAATCCAATATATTTAAATGAAACGCAAGGAAAAATGCGTATAATTTAATATTCCGTACAAGGAAGTCATGTGGTGTACACATCAGATTTGTTTCTTCTATGGAGACTGTCATCTGATAAAAATAATCATATTTGCCAATATTCATTAATGTTCTCAGCCTTATGGGATCAATTTCAAAGGTGATTTCTTTAGAGGTATGGTTCCGGAAAGAGATTCACTGCATAAATATAAATATTTAAAAACTTAGATTCTTCAACAAGTGCGCGCAGCTAAATTTCTGCTGAACCATTCGACTGGTAGACTGCTGAACCACCGATTCAGTTTCACGAACGAATCAAATAAAATAAGTTTCCCAATTATGATAATTTTAGTCATATGCCACTTTTAATAAAAATATACGTAATTTAAGACTTATGCGAATTCTTTATAGTGAAAGTTCCAACTACCTAATCGTTCTTTACTTTACTAAAACTTTCTAAACACACCATTCTTAATATCCTCTAATGGTACTAAAAATGTTATATGGCTTGAACTATGCTTGCCAGCATTAGTGATTGCTTTAGAGCTTCATTTTTATGTCATTTTAAGTCATTTTTATGGATGTCATAAGTGTCAATTACGTTATATCAAAGTCTTCGAATTGCACCTTTACTGAAAATGAGTATTTAAAGCTTCTGCTTACATAATTATGCTTTCCTGATATAAAAGATATCTTTCAGAAATTCGTAATCGGAAATTTAAATACTTAACTTTCTTGAGCAATACCTATAAACGGTCCCCAAAACATTTTGACTAAAGATATCTTAGACGATTTTAATTACATGAGGAGACCATATTTTTATGTTATTTTAGGTTGTTAAAATAATCTGGCTATGCGAAACCTTTCCGTCATTGACACCCTTTATGTTTTCCACAGTACATACAAAAAACTTTAATTTCCCACATGTTTATTGTAAGGTATTAAATGACCATAATTACAGCAGTCTACAAAGATCATCTTACTTTATTTACTATTTTAGTTATACCTGCTGCCCTAAGACTAATCGTTCAAGCGGTAACAATAGTGCAATTTAATTTTGTTAAAACACCATATATATATATATGCAAGCTAAATATAGTAAATGGAAAAATTAATGTTAAATGTCTTTTTTCCATGTAGAGTAAGAAATTGAAAATATGCGAAGGCTTCAAATACTATAGTGTACAAATAAAGCGTTTTTTTTTTTCTTAAAATTTTAAGCTGGTTGCCAGCTGGCGACAGCAGGTTCCTCAAAGCAGTTTTATCTGCCTTAGTATCAACCGGATGTCTGCTTTTGGCTATTTAAAACTGACTTAGACAATAAATTAGGATTATTGCGCCATATTTAAGTTTATTTTGCGAAAAGAGGAACTTACTTTTGCGTACCTTTCAAATACGTTTTTGTTCTTCCATTTTAATATAGTAGATAGGTGGATAGAAACAGAATAAACAGAATAAAGATTCTTGAACTTAACAATCGCACATCCATAATCCTAAGAAATATTATTTCCGCAGCTGGTGCTGGAAAATCGAGTATTTCTTGAATTCTGAGGCGATAAAATAAAACTAGATCATTTTTTTTTCAGAAAGGAAGGAAAAATATGGAACGAACGGAAACACAACTCTAAAATCTAACCGGTTCCTTTTCCGTAATGGCATTATTCATCCAACAAAAACTAACAAAGACCTTAAAAGAGATCTGTTGTATAATGTTATTGACAGTCATCCTTCAAACGTGCCGCGTAGACTTCTCGCTGTTGGTCGGAAGTTGTTGGTCGGAAGACTATTAAAAAACAACTTTTGACGCAGCAAATGAAACAAGGGGATTCTTGTGGACCGAAACATACAAATCGTGGACAATAAATGACAGAAGATATGCCCTTTACAGCGATGAGACTCATGTATGTGTTCTCTGTTATACATCTAATGTTGCTACATGAGGCATAGATTTAATCAATAAGACCTCAACATATCCAAATCGTTAACTGCCTAAAAAACAAAATTTGAGGGTTTTTTCATTGAGTAGGCACTGGAAATCCAGTTCCTATTGACAGAATGATGAATTCCTTGAAGTATATAAAAATTTTAAAACATAGGATGTATGTGCCATTCTCGAAAACCTTTACAGGGACATTTCAACTTGCTTTGTTTCCATGCTAAAATTGACCTGAATTCAAATTCCGGTTAACGGGCTCAAATCCCAGCCAATGCAAAAGACTTCTTATTGGTTTCCCATGAGCAGCATAAATAAGAGGTAGTTTCCATTCGAAAAGACAACTCTTCCTTTAAGCAGACACCTCTCGAGTACTTTGCTCTAATTCAAGTAATCCAATCCAGTCCTTCTCCTTCTCTCTTGTCTCCTCTCAAGGCACAACTGATGTTAGGCTGAAGCACAACATAGCATCAACCATAACGCAATATTATGAGAAAATTAAAATCTCCTACAAAACTTGTCAGATTTAAATGAGAGATCGGCTGACAAAAAAAGCTGCACATTCTCAAAAAAGGTGAAATGATATGATTTTTAATGTTTCGAAATGTTATGTACAAATTAAATGAAAATTGACATTGCCAAAAATGGAAGAGCCTAGTGCCACTGGGGAACAATTTTAGTCTTCCTAGCAAGCTAAACGGCGCGCACTACTATGGAAAATATATTGTTACGTTTTTCTTTTCTGACACCAGTTGTTACGTTATATTGCTCCTTCACGTTCGGTAGGGTATGGTATATTGAGATTACGGCAAAGCACACTAGGGCTATCTGCCTAAGGGGGGATGCCTTCGGGGAGGACTTTCTAAGGGAAACTGGCTCGTATACACGTTACCCATGGGGAAAACCACGAAAACGCCCATGTAGCCAGCCCGTTCGCGAGATTCGAACCTCGGACCGAATTACCAGTGTTCTCGGCCGCTGGTGGGCTCCTTCACGTTCGCACGGGGTTCGTGTGGATTTGGAGTGAATAACGACGACACTTGATGAAGTATCGAAACACACTTTATTGGACGGTATTAATCAGGACAACTCCAAAATCTCGTTTTTACAGTCGTCGAACTGTTATAAACCCGCTGACCCGATCAGCGACACAGCTTTCATGTTATCAGGCTATCACGGTGGAGACAGCTTCACGGCAAAGCACCAGAGTACAGCTTCCGACTCTGCTTGGTCGTTCTCGGAACTCCATGTAGTCTCGAGACTCTCCACTCTGCAACTCGTGATGCTCTCAACGAAACACAGAGCTCCCGACTCTTCCGATCAGTCGTTCCCAGAGCTAAACACACTCTCTCGACGATGCACTAACCACGATACATTACGAGACTCTTTCGGTGCACTCGACGACCCATTCGGCACTCGCTGTCCGACTGTCAACTTGATCGACTCCGCAGGGATTGACTCGAGACGAGACACCAACTCGATACTAACTGCCAGCTAGCTACTCGATACTTACTGCGGACCAACAGGGTTTATAGAGCTTTCGGCTTGTGTTCGAGAACATTCTGGGCTAAACCGGTAAGAATTCGTTCCAGGAGGTTCTCCATCCGTCCATGGTATATCGCCAATTTTGTCGCAAAATGTCACCAAATGGGCGATTTCTCGTCAAATGTGGCAACCCTGCCTTCCCTTGCCATTTTATGGCAACCCTAAAACTGCTTTGCTGGGAAGCCATTTTACCACGCCTGTACATTTTGTAACAATATCATAGGTTGGAAATATCAAATTGTTTATTTGAATATAGAAAGAGCTCTCTGCTTGAGAAGAAGGTCGGCTTCAAGGATGACGTTCTAATGGAAACTGGCTTGTACTCAGGTTACGCATGGAAAAACGTACAAACAACTCATACTTTGAACCCGGGACAAATTACCAGTATTCAGGAAGTCTTTAACAGGTCGGTCTCTGGTAGGGCTCTAAGTATTAAAAGAAGAAAACCTGATATAGACATCACATGACTTTCTTGTACGGCCTTAAATTATTCACATTTTTTGCATTTCATTTAAACTTATTTCCTCGAATTTCATTAGAGATATATTTCTCTTAATTCAGTTCTCACTTCGCGGCGAAACAAAAATACTTGAATACTCAAACCATCTTCATTAAAATTTGAAAAATATAGCAAGACATAAAATACCAAACACAGTTAAAATGGTTGGAAAAAAATTGTTTTTGCTATTAAAATTAGAGTTTCTACGCACAAGCCACTCGGCCAGTGGATAAAAAGGTAGATTTTTCGGTGCACAAAACTAAAAGTTTACTTTTGGTCCCCTCGGCACGAAATGCTATTCTAATTTTTTATTCACTAATTCACTATTCTGCTAAGATTCAAATGTAAACAAATGGCTGCTGCGTTAGGCTTACTCGCATTTAAACAAGTTTTAAATTGTTGATAATTCTCCAACTATGACATGCAGATTAACTAAAGGCTTGAAAACCTTAACATAAGAACAACATAATTCAGGTACTTTTTAACAAAAATGTACAAAAAAAAAAAAAAAAAACCTAAGCTCACCGAGCTGAGTAACAGAATAGGTATATATGGCCGATTGCAAACAACTTCATGTTATAGCAGTCCCATATAAAAATTTCCGCGTTCTGAGGCTACTCGTACTTGAGTTACGCTAGATAGATACATACGTCTAGTTACGTACGGACGTCACGAAAAAAATCTCTTCTTAATGCGTTTTAAATTCATTTTAATACGTTTTGTTAAAAAGAGACCTTTATTCTATCCATACATACTGATGTTAAACAAAAACATCGTTCAGATGGATCGAGAGCGGTGAATATGAATATTTTCGTTAAAATATGATACCCGAATTTTTCGCGATTGCAATACTTCCTTTATTTCGTACAAGGAAGTAAAATGTTGCATATTAGATGTAATACAGCTATTTGTTTTTACTTTTCGAACCCTTAATAACAACAAGTATTTATACTCTGACACAGCCTAAGCAGCTATGTTGCAGTATGTCTATTTTCTTTTCATGCAAAGAAGCTTTATTTAGCAATGTGTGGTGTACTTTTCATTTGTTTTCCGGTATGCATGGGTGGATTTTAAAGTATTGAACTAAATTTTACCTTTTCTTGGGCCATAAAGTACAATGAACTTTATGAACTTTACTTAATTAACATATGCCGTCCCCCAAAAAAATTTTATGATATAAGTATAAATGACATACTTACAATGACATATTCATTGATGATAACTGTTATACCACGTATTCAAACGTATTGGGAAAAAAGTAAACTAAGAAAATTTGTATTAATGAAATACTTACAGGGTATAAATATAATCCTCCCTTGTGGATTTGAACTGAATACTTGAGCAGTTCCTATTTGTGAGAACGTGGAACTCCCACTTAAATTATTTGCACTTCTATGCGAAATAAAATGAAGATTTTTTCCTTCAGTCAGAGCAGCAGCATATCGATTTTGATATAGCAGGATGTTTGATGGGGCTTGGGCTGTAAAATCAGCGGGACTTTAATTTCTATATTGTATAAATAAAATAAATTGCCATCAACTCTAGATGATGTAAAGGAAACAAAACTAACACAAAGACATAAATTTGTACGTATTTTTTGCGTTACATTAATTTTACAAATTTTAAAAAATGCTTATAATTGTTCACTAATAATGTGGTAAGATTAAGGACTAAATTAGTTTTACAGAGTTCTAAAACTGAAATATGAAAAGTGTTTTAATCGTATTAAAATTGAAACCGTTCTGTTCTTTTTTTCCCATAAGAATATTCCAAAATAAATTATCAAATCTGTAAAAAGATTATTTTAAGGGATACTATGAACATTTTTGCCTCAGCCTAAAAAATGCTATACCGCAGAAAATCCTCTAGAGTCGCCCTATATTTAAAGTTAATCTTCATAAACTATTTTTAAATATACTTTTACGTTTATTTAACTTTTATTTGGTACTTCCTTCTTGAAGTAGTCATCACGCTCAGTCGCCAAAATCTTTAATCCGCAAATTTGAAATACTCAAAGCTTATGCAATTTCCGCGTTAACAAAAAAGTATTCTTAATTTCAAAGGTTTTATGTATTAATTAATATAATAATCACGAATAATGCGTTTGGTTTGAATCATTCTTTAAAGAAGCTTTATGTATACTTTAGCTCCAAAAACACACCTTAAGTCGAAATAAAAGAAGTTTTCAAGTAACTTTAATACTTCATACCTAATTTCAGAGTTAAATTTTATTACAAAGAAAATGCAAACATATATGTGTTTACATATGAAATCCATGATTCAAGATTTCAATTTATTACAAAATGCCTTGTTTCCTTAAGATTTATTTCTTGGATCCATAAAGGATGCTGTAAGCCGGAATAGTTGGGAACTAAACTTAAGTTTCAACGAATCCTCATAGATCAACTTCCAATGAATTGTCCAGCAGTCAGAAAATCAAAATTTAGAGAACAATTCTTGAAAGCATTAGTGTATTTTACTCGAACAACGATAATTTAATCGATAGTTAGATAGACAAAGATGAAAGTACACTCATTGATAAGCAAATTTAACATGCACTCCTGCACTAAGCTTAATTTCACTATAAAATAAAACTAGTAAATTGTATTTCTTTTATGACTGGCATACGTTTCTTCCATAATAAAGAATGCGTTCTAAAAATTCCAGAGCGAAAGTTTTAATTTCACTAAAAGTTTATTGAAATTTATTTTCCAACTGCGAAAAATAATTTCCTAAAATTACTTTAAATATCTTTATTTTTAGAGATTTCATGACTTATATTTTTGCTTGCTGTTATCTGTTTTGCAACTATTTCACCCTGCTAAAACTATTTTAAGCAAATTCTGGTGTTTGGGAAATTTTTCCATAAATATTTATGACGTTTGCAATAACTTTAATAACTTCCTTCCAATCATCTTATAGAGTTTGTTCTGTGGTATCATAAACTAATATCAGACACAAAGTGAATTATCTCTGTGTCTGGAATAAAAACAGAGTCCTTCAAAAGATTTTAAAACAAACCTTATATTAAATCAGAACTTCTTTAACATAAACACATGATTTGTGATCAACAAACAACCACCACTTGGCTATGAAACTTATAGTAACAGTAAATAATTGAAATTTGAAACTAAGCCTAGTAGCCAAAGACTACACATTTGATTAAACGCTAAGTTGGCTCAAAATTTCTCACTGGTCTGACAATTTAAACGTCGGCAGCAAATAATGCAAAGCCGAAGAATTACAATCTTATTAGAGATAGCGAAACTTTGTAACGTGGCCTCGAGCTGTAAAAACACAGTTTTACATTCTAAAACCATCGACTTAAACACTGTTAACATGATTTGTATTCGGAAGCAAACGGAAAGGAGAAGTGGTAGTACAGTCTGAAATAATTATAAATTACCTGTTAAATAAAATAATAATAACCCTGTAATCTTATAAAACTTTTGATTGTTTTCCTTCATGGAACGAACGTGTAGAATTGAGAAATGAGCTCTGATACATCTTGCATTGTTTAAAATATGAAAATGAGAGTTTTGTTTCTGCTCATAATGTTGGCATTTATGAGAATGTGATGATCACTCTAAAATAAACCTAACATCTTATAAAACATTTGGTTTCTTTTCTTTCTAGAAGGAACATGTAGAGTTAAGAAATGTGCTCTTATACATTTTCCATTGCTTAGGATATGAACATGAGAGTTTTGTTTCTGCCTAAAATGTTAACTCATTTGTTTTAAATATAGGAAGATCTTTTTAGTTTGATGCATCCTTTTCCCCATCCATATGAATGTTTCCTGTTGCAGTCGTACTCACGTTCCATTCAACTGAGGATAAACAAAGTTACTTCTGAATGCATGAGTGCCCAACTTCGGCTGCCAGAAACTCCAGGGCTTAGAACTGGAATTTGGTAAGAAGAATGAAACAGAAACTGGTGTAAGACCTTGTGTGAAGAATCACATCATAGTTTACCCAAGATTAATGCATGTTAGTATAGCTTTTAGAAATGGTGTTGTTTTTATAAGAGGTATAAGCACGAATAAAACATTTAAGTTTGTGTAGCATATATAATTTTGAAACTGCTATGCTAAACGGAGGAATGAGTAAAAATCAATAAACAGAAGTTTTAGCATGGCCGACAGCTGTCTTTAAAACTTAAGTAAGACTTCAAATACATGCAAAACCTCATCTGTGTGAACTTGGACAGAAGCATGTATCATTATCCTTTCTGAAGGTAATCTATAATAAGGCGTGAAAAGGATGAAACGGTATTATATAAAACCATAAATATCGAAGGTCAAGAATTCAGTATATTCATCGCTTCTCTTGTGTCTGTCTGCAGCTCCTAAATATCAGAGATCATCTGCTTAAGATTTTCTCCAAAAATGTTTTGAGAGATTGAACCATATGTTACCAGAATCTGAGCAACCAAGCCAAATTTTCATTTCACAACATATTTAAAGGATCCATCTTGAATTTTGCTATCTTTCATAATCTGGATTAATGAATCTAATTCTTTCTCTACTATTTTAAGTTTCCCCATATGGACCGCTTTGCCTATTTGTCTTCTCTGAAAATGCGGTTGAATGAGAGTAAGAACGTTTCTGTTGATAGATCTGCTGTTAGTTCTAAACGCACTGCTCTAGTTACATCACAGCTAAACAATTAATCATATGTTTTCGATATTCTATGACGTCACCGCAAGATAAATGCACATTTTTAACGAAAGACCCGGATTCGATTTCCAGAGAAGGCCTGGATTTTTATAAATGTATAGTGTCTGTGCGGCGGCACTGGAATACTCTGAATATGCGGCAAGCCGAAATTCCTTTCGAGAAGTTGATGATAGTTTGCGAAAGAGAAGGACCTCGGACCGTGGAAAAGAGGATTGGGAAGTGGGAGAACCTCGAACTGTCTCCCGGGGAATTCTCTCGAAATTGGGGGCGGAACTGAGCTAACGTCAGGCTGTCACCTATATGAAGCTCGAGGCTCTGCCAAAGACAGGCGTATATGACCCCTTGCCATGATGAATGTCGTGAGCTTCTACTGGTCTTTGTGAGACAAGTGAAATTGGTAACAACAACAACATTTTGTTTAATGGAGTTACCAGTAGATCGCTGAAGAAGCGAAAAGACAAAATGTGCTGTGCTGTGTATTTGGAAAGTTTCATTAAACATACTGTAAAACGTAATAAGGCCTAACAATTAATCGAAATGTGATCCTTTATGTAATGTACATTTGCGAATGATCTCATTAAATGTTGCTTTGCGTTTTGAGTTTATTAAAGAAATTATTTCCACTCGATTCCAGAAGATTTACCCTGTTGACAAAGAATCCATAAAAAAGATAGGCAAATTATTTTGCTTATCTTTCATTCAGTTTTGAAATATCACGTCCTGTCTTGAACACAGCTTAGGTATCTGTTGCATGCACAAAGGCTAACAAATTCACTTAGAAAAATACTGTAACAGCAACTTGATGCGAAAATATATAAATGCGTGTGAAAAACTATGTGACTACAGTAATATAAATAACGTAACTGAAAGGGAAAAAGAAGAAGGTTACATAGTTCAGTGCAAGATTATATTACACTGAAATGGTGTAAATTTCAAAGTGTGTTTCATGTTCAGTTTATTCGTACATGATAGCATATATTCATGGAAAAATTCTTAACATTCTCATACGCTTAAAAATGCATAAATCTTCAAGGGCACTACGAAAGAAATGGAGAAATTTAAATAGGTAAACAGTTGCATAATAGTATATTAATTATCTTTAAGCAACTAGGAAGAAAAGCAGTTTTCGTAATTAAGATGCATACCTTCTTCATATACTTTAATGGCGAATGCTACGAAAGCTTGAAGTAGTACTGCTGATTTTGACTCACAAGCATCTGTAGTATGCAGTAAACATTCGTACTTGCAACTCCTAAAATGAAAAGATATATTGGGAAAAGCTGAATATTTATAAATTTCAGTTCAAACCGTTAAAATTGAAACTAATACTTACTTGGGTATAAGACAATCCAAGGAAAGTGATTCATTAGACTTGTATGCGTTAATAACACGAAGAATTCCTGGGCAACATGTCTCAATCGCATTTGGATTTATAGTCTCAATGCATGAATCTAGCTTTTGAAATATGCTCGCTACAAATGCAGGGAGGAAAAAATGAATTCAGAAGCTTTTATTTTTAATATTTAACAGTAGTAAATAAAATATAGCTTTAGTTAAACTTATGCAATTTAATTCCTTTAAAGTAATCATATTAAACTGATGTATTAAGTTACATTTATTTTAATTCTCTAGCTCTAATTTTAACTTATTTTTATGCATATAATTTTCTCATATTAATATGGTATTTGAATTTATATCAAAATTTGTTTAATATGAGTTAAATTCTATTCAAACAGTTGCTTTTGATGTTATCATTAATTTGAAATTTTTTTGTCAATTTAAAATTACATTTTAAATTCTTAATTTAATATGTAAAAAATTACATATTAAATCCTTTTACCAATTAAAAAGTCAAGAAACAATTTTCATGGGTGACAGTGTTGATAGTGTAAACTAACTAAAGTTTTATACTAGACTGTCTTATGGAGATTGTTATCTTTATATTCTTTAAGAAAATAATGAAAGTCACAGTTTAATAATACATGATTTTAACATCTTAGCAAATGATGAGGTCGTCTTTCAAGAAGATAGCGTTATTGTACATATAGATAAAAAATTTTATGTTACTTTTCATTGTGTTTTAAGAGGAAGTGTTACTTCTAAAAATTTATGGGCACCCGCCTTCCAGAGCTACTCATTAATATGCACTTACTGAAATAATACTGCAATTATTGTGTACGGAAGAAACTTCTCAGAGACTGTTTACAGAACGTTTCTAAAAATAAAATTAATTGAGGCAGATGACGACTGTAGGCATCATTTCTGACTTTAAGTCAAACTTACGTATGCAGTGCTTTACCGAACACTCTACATTCTGTTAGCATAATTTTAATGAAAAACATATATTTATTACTCTCATTATTTAAACATTTTAGTGCACTATTTAAACATTTTTATACTATTTAAACATAGTATACATGTATTAGCGCGTAATTCCACCCTTAGCAATATTTTAAGAGAAAAAATAAATGCTTTTCCTTTTCAGTATAATGTTAAACACTCACATGATACAAAATATTAAATCTAAATGATGAAATCACTTACTTGGTAGAGCATATGGTGGAGTTTTAGAAAAATATGGAACATTCAGTGCTGTAAGAAATAAAATAACATTTTAGAAGTTAATTTAAATACACCTAAAGTTCTAAATAAAAATGGAGAAAGTAAGTATACATTAAAATATATGATATATGTATTCACTTACTTTTACTTTGAAACAAATTTTTTATTTACTCATTAGAGGAAATGAAAAGGAAGATTACTGTCAGAATAAGCACCTGATAGTTGTATTACACCTATCTGATATACCACAGTTACATATTAAAGATAAAAACAATCTAATATCTAATTTAATACTCGAAGTAGATAATAATTGAGCAGTCAGTTTTTTCATGAAAATAAATTACTAATTCAAATAATAATTTCTTGCAACTTCTTGAAATTTGATATGGAGATTGGTCAGAAGAAAAGTAATTAAAATTTATATCGATAAAATTTGCAAAGAATTATGAAAGTGGGTATTAAATGCGAGTACAGTAATCATCCGAAATACGTAAGTAATGTATTCCATAAATATTTAAGCGACTTTAAATTTACGTAAGTCAAGTTTGTAAAATGTTAATATTAACTTCTAACTTTTTAATATTAACAATTAAACCGCTATATTAAGTAAGAAACCACAATGTTAATTTTTATGGTGCTACTTTGGTAGACGGTTGCACGTATTTTGGCGATTTTTTGGCGATTTTTTTTGGCGAGCGATACGACTTTTGGTAAACCCATTGCTAGACAAGTTATTTATGGTAACCGATACTTTGTTGTCATTTTATTTTTAAAATAATGCGTTTTATTATGCATAAATTCCATGTTTTAAATATTATTTATGACTTCTAAATAATAAAAATAAATTTAATTTTGCATTTTTATTTTAAATAAAAATTTTATTGTTTATGATATTTTATGGAATTTTATGTTGTGAATGATGTAATGAATGACGTCACATTATTTTAAAAGTAAGTGGTTTTAATATATATAAATTTAATCTAATATTTTAAACATTATTTATGGCTGTTAAATATTAAAATACAATTTAATTTTACATTTTATAAATATGATTATATTATGAATGATTATTTAAATAATTTTAATTCTAGGCGTGATGTAATCAGCTTCCTGGTTGGTTACTGAATATTTCTGCATTACCGCGCCATTTTAAAATTTTATTATTCATCTCTTCGAATTCCTCAGATTTCAGAGCGAATGGATGTCTCCGTTGTTGTTATTGGTAATTACCAAGAATTATTGGTATCGGCATAAAAAAATTGTCGTTTGAGACCTTATTTTGGCCAACCTGGATTTCCTAATCAAAGATTTATTTATTGTTACAAGGGTCAGAGGAAATTTATTTAAAATTTTTGGAGGAAACCTCGCTAATTGCTTCTTCAATGAAGTGCGAGAGATGTGGATGTGAGATGAAGATTTTTTTTCGGTACTTATCAAAATACGACAGGTAAAATACTTTAAAAAAATGTAAGTACATATTTTTATTTTACTTTATAATTGTATACTTCAATTTTTATTTAAAAATTAATACATTGTTTTCAAAAATTCCTGAGATATTTATTGCCACATATGTTTTAATGTTAAATAATTATATCCTATAAAACTTATTTTAAAGTATTTGAATTTAACTAATATTTTAATTTTTTTAAACGTTGGCATGATGTTTTTAATTCGATATTCAATTTAAGTAATATTTTAATCCAATTAAATGTTGACGCAATGTTTTTTATAGCGGTGTTTTTATTCTATTATATGAAAGTAATAATTTAACCTTACTTTAGCATTTTACACTCTTAGTAAATGTATTTATTTATATTTGCCAGCCATCTTAAAAAATAACAACGTTTTCAACAAAAAATTAATCCATTATTTTTAACGATATTTATTTTTTTAAAGTTTCGAATACTTTACTATGCGTGAAATACGTAAAAACAGCTTTTTACTTCCTTGTACGAAGTAAAAAGGAAGTATTGTAATCGCAAAAAGTTTCAGGCAGCATATTTCAACGAAAATATCCATTTTGACCGCTATCGAATGCAATTTAACGATGTTTTTGCGTGATATCTGTACGAGAGGACAGAATAAAAGACTCGTTTCCTCCAAAAAAATTATAAAACTGGTTTAAAATTAATTCTGAAGAGAATTTATCGTGGCGTCTGTACGAACGTATGTACGTACGTGTGTACGTACGTATCTCGCATAACTCAAAAACGAGTAGCCTCAGAAAGTTGAAATTTTGTATATAGGACTGCTATAACATGTAGATGTGCACCTCGTATTTTGGTTGCAATCGGCCGCACCAAACGTATATAAATACTATATTTATATACATATATCCCCTCTGTTACACGGCACAGTGATTTCAGTTTCTTTACTCTTATATGTTTGTAAATTGTACATTTTTTGCTTTAAAAATGATTGAATTATGTTGTTCTTATCTTCCGGTTAAGGTTTTTATGTCTTTCGGAATTCTGGAAGCAATATTTGTACAATTATCAACAATTTAAAAGCTGTTTAAGTGCGGTTAAGTTTTAAATAACATGGCGGGCATATTTGTTTACATTTGAAACAGCAGAATTGTAGATTTGTTGCCAATCTGGAGAAACTAAGCTTCGCAACAACAAAAATAACGCCTTCATTTATTATTGCGAATTAAATCATGCTTAATCCTTTCTGGAATTTTTTCGAGGAAATAAGTGTTTAAGATTTACTTCGTAATTTTTAATACAGATATTTTGAGTTTTTATGTATTTTTGCCTTGTCGCGAAGTGAGAACTGAATTAATTGAATGAGAAAGAAATACTAAATCGTCTGTGAAAAACTGTTTCTTTTCTGTTTTGTTTTCTTAATTTCTTTCATACATCGTTCTAGCTTTATTAACGTATTTGAATAGAACATGTGGCAACGATAAGATAATTCTTCAAATGATGTAAATTTTATGCATTCAGAGTAAACAAATATAGTGAATTTTAAAGAGTGCATTTATTCTATTGTGGTTTATGCGCTGTCGACGAAGTAGATTTTATTCAATCCAATCAATTTAAATGAAATTCAAGAAAAAAATGCGTATAATTTAATATTCCGTACAAGGAAGTCATGTGGTGTACATATCAGATTTTTTCAAGATGGCTGACGACTGTAAAAACCGCGCCAACAATTGCGCCAATGTAAATCGCCAAAAATCCGTGCAACCGTCTACCAAAGTAGTACAATTTTTATTATACGTATGTATGTATATATATTATTTATGTAGTATTATTTTATAAACGAAGCATCATTTGATTTCTCATTTCGATTCAATATTAAGGACAGATAGAATCAATATTATGGACAGATATAGACACACACACAGGGATTATCTATAACACAAAACTATTAATACCTCTAAGATTCATGAAATACATAAGTAATATGGGATCTTTACGAATGTTAGAATTTGCGCATGTGTTGACATAATTAGGTTTCACAAAACAAGAGCAATGCAAAGAACAAATGAGCAGTTTCATTTGAAAGTGTTTAAGTCCATTTTATATTATATGGATATAATTAAGGGTTTGTATTTGATTTGAAAAATATTGCTATATGTTAATACGTTTATTATATGTTTTCTAAATATTATATTGATTTTATTTTCTAATTTGATCGTTTTTATAGTTAACAAAACTTATACTTTTGAGGACTTAAATGGACTTAAATGGACCTCAAATGGGGGGGGGGACTGTTTATAAATAAAAAGCTCATAACAAATTGCATTCATTGTTGTCATTAACTAATTTGTTAAAAATTGACGTACGTAAATTAAATTCATAGTATACATGTTTTAAACGAGGAAATTTTCTCCAATTTTTTAACAAGTTGAAAAATCTCCAATTTTATTTTCTTGCATCAAATTATTTAACAATTATTTTCAAATTATTGTATATAATAACCCTCAGGTAACCTAGATTTTATACCTTTGCATACAATCCTATGCAACTGAACGTGCACAAAAAGTTATAACGACTAATAAATGCCGTTATGGAAAAATTCGCAAAAAAAAAAAAAAAATAAAATAAATAAATAAATAAATAAATAAAATAAAACTCGTTCGTACCTTGTGGAAAAAGTTTGTCCTGATAGATAGGACTATGCATAATCAATTATCTGTGAATAGGATATGCCTGCTTAGTAAAAATAAGTACATAGTTGTGGAGACAGCGTTATTTCAAGGGCAACTTTTTTTTCAGTTTTATTACAAGAATATGCTTCAAAATGCTCTGAAGTGCCTAAAAAATGCCCTAAAAAAACCCCAAAATATTCTAAAAATTAAAAAAATGCTTTAAAAAAAGAAAATGTTCAAAAACTGAAAAAAAATTAACATGTCATCAAAATCTTGGTCTTGTTTGTAACTATTTAAGTAATAAAATTTGAATATCGTAATCAAAGTAAATAATTTCTAGGAATATTTCTTGAATATAATATTAGTTTGTTTGCTGAAGTTAATATTAAATTTTTCCTGAAGTTAATATTAAAATTTTATAAAAATTCTCATTATAGTCTCAACAAAATTCACTTAAGTTATTTAGATGTTTTTTGGACATAATATTGAGGAAAAGTTTTTTCATACTTGAAAGTTTGTCATATGCTTCCTTTATACCAAAGATTAACTTTTCTATCCATATTCTAGCAGCTTCAGAGCACCGATAAATGCTTTTCTTAATGCAATGTTGCATACATTTCCTAGCAAAGATTATAACCTGATTAAAATATTTAGCAAAATATTTGTTAACTTTATTTGAAGAAAATTATATCAAGTTACCTTTTCTTTTGAAAAGGAAATGGCAAGCTTTCATCCCTAAGAACTTTTACTATTGCGTCAACTAATTGTCCGCAGCAGTCTTCTAAAATGTATCCATCTGATTGAAGGCATATGCTAATTTCTTTCAAAATAATAGCTAAAATGATAAAAGATAAATTACGCATCTGGAATTTAATTTAATTCTTTTAAATAAAATATTTAGTAAAACATTTGTAATCATAAAAACATTCCTAGAAGCGTTAAAAGTTTAAAAAATTTTAACTTCCATTTGCCAGACAACCGGAATTTTAACATATTTCACCAAATATATATTTTAAAACAATGATTCTAATTATCTTCTATGCCGTTATTTTGTTTTTAAAATCTGTTAGATGACCTATGAACTAACCAGTGATTTAATAAGATTTTTTAACTATTTTTAATAATAAAAGAATAAACGGGAGAAGAGTTAAAAAAGCAACTGAATTCAAAAAATAACTTTCAGACTGCGAAAAAGTTCTGTCGAGTTGAGCAGACATGCCAAAAAACTGCCTATGAAAACTATTAGCAGTTTGGTTTTTTACAAACGATATTTATTTAAAGTGCGAAAACAACGTCACAACAAAATAATGAAGGAAAATAAGCAAAATTACATTTTTAATCATTTATCATTAAATTGACAATACTGGTGACATTCATCAATATTATATCGCAATTTGAGAATGAGCATATTTATTTATATATTTTGTACATTTTTTATTTCTGAAATTTTCGTCTATTTTTCTAAGCAATTGTTGTCAGTTGGTAGAATTAAACTCATTCTCAGTTCAAAATCCTATGTTCTACATCTTTAATTTCTTCAGGACTAATTCTTAAATTTGTCAGCCTATCTTAATTAATTAAATTTTTCATGTGATGAATTGAAACTTATATACCAAAATCAGACTGCAGTTTTCTTTTTGTTTTATTAGTCCTATATATTTTATTTTTTAATGCTTTGATAATATTTAATATATGTTTAAAAATAATAATTTTATTAAAAATTATAATAATGTTCAATAAATTATTGATTATTTTTAACTTTTTGAAACTTTATTGGTAAAATCTTCGAGGTATTTGTCTATAATATGACGTTGCCAGATTAAAGATTTTTTTTTTCATTCTGAGTTGGAATTTGCTTTGAGCTGGTTGCCTTTTTAATCGCGTCCAGATCGGGTTTTTCAACGCATCGTCTGCGCATCCATTTGGATATTTTTGCTTTTCTTTGGAGTAAGCCTTCCGGTATTTCACCGAAGCTGCTGCTCTGGATTTAGGTAAGATATTTTTGCTTTTTGATTCCCTCGCTATGCTTTACCTCGGTGAAATATGAGTGAGTGTCAGCCATCCGCAAATTTAGATAATGAAATCTCAGCCGCCGAACAAGCCTTCGGTAGAATTAATATACACTTAGAGAGAGCTAATCTCCCACCCAATGTTAGCTCTTACACAACCCTAAAAAAGCAAGCTATTGCTGATCTCCTTAAATTCAACTCAGTTGAAAACAAAACTAGCGATGATCTCAAACGTATAGCGGAACTTGAACGCATCATTCAAGATTACGACGCATTCTTAAATCTGGCCGTCATGCATAAAAATCAAACAAACAATTCCATTATGGAAAATAACAACGAAAGCGATGCTATGTTAAAGGCAAAAGCATCTAATAAAACACAAAAAAAGCGATGCAAAAAATATAGAGCGTTCGACTATATCTAAGAATAAGAAAAAGAAAATTACTACTGACAGCGACGGGTTTAAAACCCCCCGCATCACGCATAAACGAACGCATTCAAATTCATCGGAAGCTGAACTACCCGTACAGAAAAATAAGTTCAAGTGACCTACAGGACGATGACCGCATGGAGCAGGAATCGAACTCAGAGTCCGCAGGATTTACTCTCGCCAAAAAAAGCACTGGACATATTCCCCCAATTGTTCTCTCAGATTTTACAGCCAACTGGGATACGTTAAAAGAGGAAATCGAAAATTTAGGAGTAAAAAAAAGTCAAAGGCAATCTCACAGGAGATACACTCAACATCAAAGTCTGGGATAAAGATGACTATCGCGCAATCACGGAGTTTCTGGCCAAACGAGGTGTGCAATTCCACACATACAAAATTAATTCCGAAAAACCAATCAAAGTAGTAATTAAGAAACTGCCTAGAAACTCAAACGTGGAAATAATTCACAAAGAACTCACTGAACACGGAATTCCTGTAGAAAAGATACGTCAGCTCGAAAGATTCCGAGAAGGAAAAATTGTTAAACTACCTATATTCTTAGTCGAGGTCAAAAGAAACAAAAGAAACGAAAAGGGTAAACAAATCTACCAAATAAAGCAACTTCGTGGATTAGACGTCATAGTCCGTGCTTACAAATCCAGACCTGGCCCTGTGCAATGCCACAGGTGCCAGAGATACGGACACACTCGAGATCTATGTCATTACAAACCTAGGTGTCTTAAATGCGCCGAACCGCACGAAACTTACACCTGTAAGAAGAACAAGGACAAAACTACCAGCGCTCTGCGTTCTGTGCGGCGATTGCCACCCGAGCAACTCGAAGGAATGTAAATACCATCCGGATAACCTACCCAAAAGAGTCTTCAATAAGAGCAATCAAAACGAGAGAAAAGCATGAACAGGAAACAATTTCAATTAAATAAAGAAGATTTTCCTACCCTCCCTGGAGCTACGGAAAACGAAAATACTAAAAATCAACCAAGCTGGACAACTCAAAAGGAAAACAAAAATAAACAAGAAAGCGAAAGCTAAAGAAGTTTCATTTTTTGAGTGGATAAAAAACCCAACTCCTAAAAGCGAAAGAATTCTTTACAGAATTTAAAAAAGCAAAAAACATCATGGGTAAACTCGAGGTCGGAATGGCCGCAATTGAATATTTCACTTCTTTAGACTATGACTTTTAGACCTCATAGCAATATAAACGCGATGATTTCAGCTACCAATAGCTTCTTAAAAATTTCCTATTTCAATGCGAACGGTGTCATAAAACAATATCAAGAAATTAAAGATTACTTGGATAAGTACAACATTGATGTCATGATGATAGGTGAAACTCACCTTAAAGCTTGCGATAAATTTAAAATAAACGGCTACAATATTATAAGGAAAGACAGAACCCGAAGTAGATGGGGTGGTACTGCAATTATCATTAAAAATCACTTAAAGCATACTGAATATGATCTTCCTCACAATAGTCTGCTCGAATTTACTTCAGCTATCATTTATACTGCTTTAAATGAAGCCTACCTATTTATTTCTATTTACAATCCTCCTAATAATCTGATGACTAATAATGACCTGGATATCTTAACCTCCACCAACTTCCCGACTATCATCGCAGGGGACTTGAATGCAAAGCATAATGCTTGGAATTCTAGAGGATCTAATAGCAATGGAAACATTTTACATAACTATTTAATTAGCAACGACCTCAATTTTGCTGCTCCCACTTCTCCAACAAGATTTGGTGCTAACGGAAACGGCGAAGTTTTGGACATTGTACTTCTTAAAAATATTCCTCATACCCCTCTCTTAGAAGTAATAACGGACTTAAATTCTGATCATCTTCCAGTGAACTTCGACTTTTATGGCTTTTATCCCCCGTTAAAGAAACACAGAACTAAGATAAATTGGACCCAATTCTCTGATACTATGAAAGACTATAATTGCAGAAATAATTATAATCATTGCGGTGATATCGAAGATGAAATTTATAAATTCACCACTAAAATGAAAGATGCAATCAATAATGCGACTTATCCCTGCAAAAGCACTAATTTTCTCTCCCTTCCTAAATATATAAAAGATATTATTTACAGAGAAGAATAGAAAACATAAGGAATGGCAGCGGTCCGCAGACCCTCGTGCCAAAAGGCACATCAACTTTTTAAACAGGAAAATCAAGCAGGAAATTATGGAATTCAGAAACAAAAAATGGGACTTTCTCCTATCAAACCTGGATCCTCAAGATCAAGCAGTATGGAAAATTGCTAAATCTCTAAGAAATAGCAGACCAAATCAAACTCATGCAATTCATCACATGGGAATCTCCTATCAATCTGAGGACGAGATTGCTAATATAATGGCTAATGAATTAGAGAAAATATTTCAACCTCACCCGCCTGAGAATAACTCCCAAGAAGAAGAAGTTAATTTTACCATTGACAGTATTAACAATTATCCTATAACAAATTTCATTCCCTTTACTTCACCAAGAGAAGTAAGAGAAATTATTCACAAACTCAAGCCAAGGAAAGCCAAAGGCTATGATCAAATTAGCAATGAAGCACTTAAAGCCTCTTCCTAGACGTTGTATTACTAACATAGTCAATATTTTTAATGCCTGCATCCGAAATAATTATTTCCCTCAGCAATGGAAACACTCAATAATAGTCAATATCTTAAAACCAAAGAAAGATCCTAAACTCGTCACTTCCTACAGACCTATCAGTCTTTTACCTTCATTAGGAAAAGTATTTGAGAAAATCCTCTGCTCAAGGCTCACTAACCATCTCGAAAGACTCAATTTAATAGATGATCTGCAATTCGGCTTCCGCAGTGGACACTGCACGACTCATCAAATTCTCAATTTGGTGGAATTTGTTTCGCAAGCCTTTACTAAGAAAAACGGGGTGGCTGCATGCTATCTCGACTTCGAAAAGGCCTTTGATAGAGTGTGGCATGCAGGCCTCCTGCATAAATTGAATAATTTTATGCTTCCAAACAGTTTCGTAAAACTCATTAGTTCCTATCTGAAAAACAGGACTTTCAAATTTTAAAAAATAATATATATATATAACGTTTGGTGAGGTTGTTTGCAACAAAAAAGGTATGTGCACAGCTACATGTCATAGAAGTTCCACATATAAGATTTCAACGTTCTACGACTAATCGAGTTTGAGATAAGCGAGATATGTACATACGTACGTACAAACGTTGACGAAAAATTCCCTTCTGAATTCATTTTACAATCCGTTTGGAGAAGGAATAGTCCGTTATTCTGTCTCTATGTCATGCAAAAAAAAAGGGTCTAAATGGGTTCGAGAATGATCAAAATTGATATTTTTGTTGAAATATGATACCCAAAATTTTTCGCGATTACAGTAGTTCCTTTACTTCGTGCAAAGAAGAAAAAATCGTTTAACATTAAATTTTAAAACAAATCTAAATCGGCCTTTGAGAAAATTGCTTCATTGTATTACATTGTTATTGAAAAACAGGGTGTGCACAAACTTTGAATTCAATAGCTTAGCTGGAAATATGTTAAAAATCGATGACTAAAGTGCGACCATGTAGAACGTCATGAATGAACTAAATAACAGTTTTATAACAACCGATAATCTGAATGAATGAATTGTTAAAAAGATGTACATAAAATTACTTAACTACACAAATTCCTAAAATAAGTCTGAAAACAAAAATCTGAAAATTTTTCATTTAAAATGAAAAAATACGAAGACTATTGATACTATGCTTAAACTACTATAGTCACTATATTCCATTCAAATGGCATAACTGTCTTCTTTTTGATTTTTGGTATTATGTTTGTATCTTGCATCTTTACGTTTAAAATAATCTTTTTTTTTAATAATATTGAAATATAATCGTTATTGCTTTTTTCACATGTATTTTATTGTGAATTTATTGCACAAAAAATAGCTATATCACTAACACTAAAATATAATAGGATATATATATATGTGTAGGATATTTAGGATTAATATACATTCATACTCAAATGGTGTAATTTCTAATTACTGATACAGTGACAAATAGTAAAGAAATTGTACAATTATTGGACATTCAAAATCTATACAAACGGGTAATTTATAGTAATTCTGTGGTCCCAGCTCGGCAGAGAATCATCTGTAATAGGCATTTATCTGAATGTTTTTAAATTATTCTTCGTCCTGCATTTTTCTATTTTTGGTTTGGCAGTCTAATTTTCATTAAATTTGGTCAAAATGGTGTTTCGATTCCAGCTTGTAGAGGTTAAGATTCTAGATGCATAATTCGATTTAATTTATAATAATTATATGTTTTCTGATGTAATCTATCTGAAAGCAGTTAATCCTTTTTTGATTTCAGAAATTAATTTTGGTTTATTTATAATATAATCGAAATAGTATAATATAATATATTTATTTATAATATTAACCGAAAGTTTTATTTTATATGACAATAGCATGAAATTAAAATGACAAGCATATTTAGAACTTTTAATCTATTTCTGCTCTTATCTTCTTTCTTCCAGATGAGTTTTTAGTAATTTTTACTGTAGTTTGCAATAAGTTGTCAACATATCCGAAATGGGGAAAAAATCTCTTACCAGGTACAGAATAAGGCGGAAACAATATTTCAAAGGCTTGTTCTTCATAATACCCTATGAAATTTCAAAATATATTTAAACTAACGCAGTTTTAAAAGTCTACAGTTTAATATTATATACACATATTATCCAAAATTAATTAGAAAGGAAAAAAAATAAATATCAAATTATTTCAAATAACTGTAATATATACATACTATAGTAAAATAATTTGGACAAATGTAACAGTGTAAGTACAATAAATTTAGAAAAAGGCCTTCTAAACTCCCGAATACACTAGTCGATATTTTATGAGTACTCTTTATACATAAAAACTTAAATTACTTATTTCTTTCTATATATATATATATATATATATATATATATATATTATTTATTTACTAAAGAAATATTGATTATACTCGTATTAATCTCCTAAGATAAATTTAGTAAAATGTATCAAAATGAGGGAACCCAGAAGTAGGAAGTTTAATTCCGAAAAATTGGTTTTTAAAAGTAACTTGAATGTAAATCATGCGGGGGGGACTTTTTATGAAAGGAACGTGAATATAAATCACGAAAAAACTTTTTATAAAGGGAACTTGAATGTAAATCATGAAAAAAACTTTTTATTATATATATATATATATATATATATATATAAGACATAATAAAATATGATTGCTACGTTAACAAATGATTGGCGAGCTCAAAACTGACTATCTAAATTTGATGTTCTCCCCTAAGTTTATCTCTTCTCCCAGATTCGAGATCTTTCCAAATTATATAACGCTGCCTGCAAAGGGAACTAAAACCTAAAATTAACCAATAGCGGCTTGACTATGCATATGCACCTACCTAGTATAAATACTGCTTCGCGAGCAATCATGTCACTTCTTTCTCTTAATTTCTGCCCTGCAAACATCTCTGCGCTGCTATGCTTGCTTGTCTAGGATGACGTCGTATTCTTTCAACTGGTGTACATAAAAATTGTCATATTTAACAATGATTGAAAACATATCTTGTCTACAAAAATAATCTGATGTGAATTATAATGGATTAAAATTATGTTTCCAAACGTCCACATCTGGAAGTTTTCGGTTTTTTTAACTAGGCAGTAAAATTTCTTCAAGTTATAATGCAGAGAACCGTCGCCAAACCGTTGCAGCTTTCTTTCACTCGGTCATCTTATTACAATAATGGCGCAGTGTTATATAGAGAGAGGCAAAGATTCGCGTTTTCGTATTTTTAAATTTTAAAAAATTAATTTTGTATAAAAATACGAATCCTAAATTTTTATGCGTTACTTCGGTTTGTATACTTATATTTATGCCCTTTCGCTTTAGGAGATTATAAGACTTCTGTTGTCATTCCTTTCTTTCCATCGATTTGCTATGAAAGGGCACGTATTTAACAGAAATTCAACTTTCGGTTCAATTCCTCTTCTGTCAATAAAATTTGTAGTTCTATACTTAACGGCCACATTCCGAATCTAAACTTCTAGATAGATACAGGATTTCTTGCCAATTTGGTTTAATTCATACTGGTTAGACTAAAAAGTCTTGAAATTTCCCGTTAAATAGCATGAGGTATATAAAAGGAAAAAACGCAAAAATCCTCTGTTCCCCAAGACTGTTGGACAGAAATCACATTTCCATTTTCCTGTAGTCACAATTATTCAAACAACATTTTCCGTTGGCGAATTATGTTTTCTAGAATCGCTTCACATTCTTAAAATCCTCCAGTTCTAGCTAACGTCCCTTATATTCCAATCATTTTTACCTTTAACTTTTAAGGAAGTTATATCATAGTTCTTTTCAATTTTCATCAATAGGTGGCGCAGGTACCTTGACTTCCTCTCAGTTTTACTGCTTTATCTTATCACTAGCTTTTTTTTCTTCATTTACACTTCTGCAACTGAAGAAGTAGGTTCAATATTTAAACCTTCGAAACTAGTCCTGCAAATTTATGAATATTACGCTGATTCTTGTTGCTTTAACTCCTCCAATAATCATTGTTCGGTGTGTAATTTTAACTGAATCTTTTAATTACTTTCGTTAATGAGCACTTTCTCCACTTTTTTGTTTTTCTGCTGCGTTTGCTAATATGTGCTGCCATCTCCCCGTTACCTCGTCCATTGTCTAAAGGTGTAATAAACTATATAAAATTGTGGGGTGCATAGCACACCCTTAACGATGATGGAGCGCCCGACATGGATAGTGGTTAGTGACGCTGATTACCACACTAAAGGGCACTGGCTCGAATCCCAAAGAAGGCACAGTTATTCGTAAATGTATAGTGTCTATGCGGCATGGGGGCACTCTAAATACGCGGTGAACCAAAAATCCTCTCTAGAGGTTTGGGGGACAGGAGTGCTCTTCATCAGAATTGGGGGCTGATTTGAGCAAAACTGTACTGTCAGCTGTATGGTATTCAAAGCCTTTGCAAAACGACAAGAGCAATCTTGCACTCCTTGCAACAAGGAATTTCGTAAGTTTTTTCTGATGTTACCAAGACAAGTGAGATAAGTCACAACAACGCATAATGATGATGGGTAAAGGCCTGTCCACACGAGGACGCTCCCAACGTAGTTGACGTAACTTTTTTGACGCCGGCGTAAATTCGCAGGACGCAGAAGACGTAAAACTGAGTACGCTCCTGTTCAGCTTTTTCGCCCGCGACGCGCGCGTATAGCCAATAGCCGACCGAGTTCTTATCACGTGTCATAATCAGAAAACCTTATTGCTTACCCGTTTCAATATGGCGTCAGAGCCACACAGAGATGAGTTTTTGCTTAGAAATATAACTGTATACAGCAATAAAATAATCAGCATTGTTCACGCCATCTTCAGATTTCTCAAACCGTACATATTAGTGTACATTTAAAATTTTCATTAAAGGGAAAAACTGTATACTTATAAAGCAATGATCCGACCAGTATATCCATATGCTTCATCTATTTATAACACCGTAAGTAATAGGAACCTAAATAAATTACAGTTTCTACGAAATCAAAGTTTCTGCCTTACAAAATTCTCCTTAATTATTATAAATATTGGCTATATCATGTGTAATAAAAAGCTCTATAAATATCCCAATATTAAATACACCAAAAACTAACTTCAGCAATATAATAACTTCTAAAATAAAGCAGTTGACTGTGAAAGAGTATTCAATAAAATACAATTACGAAATTTTGGAGGAAAGTTACAACTTGTCTCATACAGCAATCATCATTTATTGAAGTTTAATTAAATTACCTTTGCAGCGACTTCTACTTGTTACATTATTTTTCACAAACACTGCTATCACAGATAGCTGAGTGGTCAACGCGCTGCTTTAGTGGCGGAGGAGTGGAAAGGTGGCAGGCAAGTTCGTACCTCACCCGTAGGCGGTATAATTGAGTTAGCTTTTTCTCATTTTGAAACGTGTTTCTTATATTTAATCATGAATCATTATATTCTTATTTTACCTATATTTTATTATTTGTTTTCATTTCTTATTTTTATTCATTATTATTATTGTTTTTAATTTAGTTTAAAAATGTGCAGTGCAAATAGAAATCCTTATGTAAAAATATATCAGCATCTCTTTATCATATATCATCTATAAATTCTCTCTTTATTTTTACTTTATTGCATATTTTATCATGCACATAATTTCTCATAAACTGTCCCAAAGTTTGAACCTCATTCTAAATTCAAAATAAATAAAAAGAAAACAAAAGAAGAGGGAGGGAGAGCGAGTTAAAAAAATATGAAATTGGTTTTATTATATGGTGGATGGTGTATATAAAGAGAAATTAAGTAATTTAATTCTCTTTTATATACTGTATTCCAAACAAATTTTATAAATCCTAATTTTCATACGATATAGAATCTGCAAGTCTGTCAAACAGGTCGATACTCATCCTGAAGGAATTAAAAAACAAGTAATATACCCCCTACCCCAAAAAAATGAAGTCAATTCCTACTTAGGTCCACAAAGAAAAGTTTTAAAATACAAAAATAAATAAATAAATAAATAAAAATACAAACATAATTTTTTTAATTAAAAATTAAAAAAATTTTAATATGTGAAAAAGCTGTATTAAATTCAAGTGTCATTCACTGCAAGTTTAAAAAATTGTATTTGAACTTGAGTGGATGAATAAAAAGCATTTTATGTACTGAAAATTTGAACAAGATATAGGGAGAGTGTGAGCTAACAGTAGGAATTTAATAATTCCAGATATTCCTTTCGCAAACAAGGCAGTAAAAAAACAGGTCGCTCTAAATAAATCTTTCGGACCCATTCTTGCCATTTTTTGCGGTTTTGCCTCTGCTTAATAATTGCACATAATAGTAAAGTTTCAGCTACAAAAAAAAAAAAAAAAAAAAAAAAAAAAATCATCTGATTCGGACAACTTGCCGCAAACATACAGAAGAACAGCGAAGTAATAAGATACAGCTCTGTTGACGCTATATCACAGCGTCACGTGATTTTTGCGCAAAATAATTCTATTGGTTAAACGCAGTCTTCGCAAGCGTACTCGTTTGGACGCTTTTACGCTGGTAACGTAACAGCGCGTTCGTCAGCTACGTTTCGAGCGTACTCGTGTGGACGGGCCTTAAAGAGGAATATGCGTTCTAAGAATTAGTTCTCAAGGAGTGGCGAATTTACAGCCACGTTTGTCTTCAAGTGTCATTCTTCTAACTACGCAGTATAGCCTCTCCAAATTATTACAACACAAAAAGCCGTCGCCAGTCCATTCCAGCTATTCCCAAATCATTATATTATATATATATATGATTATTAGAATGCATATGTATGTAAAGTAAAAACATTTATATCCAATATATATTCAACCTGGAGGAGGCTAATACAAAAAATGCAGTGAACAGCTGTGAATAATGATAATAAATGCAGTACAGATTAAGTAGTTTTAAACCAATATCCAGTTATGCACTGTAAGCTCTAATAATTATTGTTAATATTGAAAAATAAAACATTTAAATCAAACCCATGTTACACTTAAAACAAGCTCACATAAAAAATAATACACCTATTCATTTTAAAATGAATGAAAGATGTTACGAGAATGTAACGCCTTGTTTTATTTAAAATATTTTTGCTGTTCTTTCGTCTTCTGTTTTGATCTATCGAGTTCTGGTGTATCACTAAATACTGGGTAAAATTCATCACTAAACTCTGGCTGATCCGAAAAAATAATAAAACAAATTTTATAATATTTATATATAAATAATTTTTTTCTTTTAAATGCAGAGAATTCATTTAAAATTAATCATGTAAGATAATAAATGTTGAATTAACATTAATTTGATCGTGAAGTATTTGCATTTATTTAGACAGTATGATCAGTCATTCATCTCTGCAAATGATTATAAACTTGTATTCTATTTATTTTATTTACAGTTTAATTCAAAATAGAAAGTATTTTAAAAATTCTACATAAAAAACTTAGTAAATGATAATTTATTATATATTTTCTCCTTTAACACAATAATGTTAAGAAATATAGCCCATGCACTTGATGTAATTTCTGATAATTTTATGCATTCGCGTGACGATTGAACAGGTTCGTAATTTTCAGAATTTGTTTTGTAAAATGTAATATGAATTTGAAAATAAACATGGCATATTATTTAACAGTTTTAATACCTGCTGCAAATTATAAAGAAAGCTAAAAATAGGAAGTAGGTCTAACTAAAAATTTTCGCATATTACAAACAAATTAATAAAAATTTACTACGAACCTGGTAGCGAAAGAATGCTATTCCTGTTAAATGGAATTTTCAGATCTATTCCATATAATCCTAACATGACTTTATTGATCACGAAACGCATAGACCCTGAACATTTTCTTAATGCGTATCCAAGGCAACCACTGAACTGACGATTTATGCTAAATTGAAAAGAAAAAAAAGAGTAATTTTGATCACAGAAATATAGAAATAAAAAAAAAATCTTTGTTTTTCAATTAAATTTATCAGTTTGTTTAAAAGTTAGGATTGTATAAGACTCAGACAGCAAATAAAAGGTTCTAATAGCCGAGTAAATATATTTGTCGCCAATCCTCACTTCATTTATTTGTTATTACCAAATAATAAATAAATATCGGAAAATTTCGCTATATTGTTTGCATGCCAATACTGATATTTATCAACGGAAAACCGAGTTGCAACATAAATATCAGTCATTTTTTATAAATTTACATACACTAGGCTGAACCCCGTTTTTTTTTGTAGCTTAGAGAACGCATAAATTAGAATTTTGGTTCCAAAAGCTTTATAATCAATTAACTGAAAATAAAAAAGAAAATTGTTAATACAGTTTAACTGATACTGACAAAACCCAGTTTTTACTTAAAATGTTAAATACATTTTAAACCAGTTAGAATAAAAATTAAGAAAAAAGTTACCTTTGCCGATGCGCATGAACAAAAAAAGAAGATCGGTGTAATAATGATTTTCGATTTAAAGACTACCGTCCAACCGGAAAAGTGGTAAGTGACGCTGACTTGCGTACCAAAGAGCTCGGATTCGGATCCCGGAGAAGGTGGATGTTTGTAAATGTATAGTGTCTGTGCAACATGGGGACACTCTAAATATACGGCGAGCTTAAAGTCCTCTCGAGAGGTTGGTGATAGGGCAAGCGGGTGGGAGACCCTCGGACCCGTTCCCCCCGAGGGCTCTCCCTCAAAATTGGGGGCGAAACTAAGCTAAAGTCAGGTTGTCACCTATATAGTACTCAGGCTTACTGCAACGATGAATGGCGTTAGCTTGTGCTGGCCATTGTCATCGATCATAGATGTCTATTTTTAAGCTATTCCAATGCTCATAATTTTATTCAATCGTTGAATTAGAATAAACAGTAACTGTAGACTTCGGAATAAAACTGTGTCGAGTCCAAGGGAGATCAGACGCAGGTGCTTATTCTTCAGCAGTAAAACATTTTGCAATCAATAGAAGCAGCACAAAAATTATATATCAAAATAAAGGGAAGGAATACAGTAAACACAAACGTAGCGTCATCTGGCGAGGAATATTTGACTCCACCGACAGAACAGCTCCATCGACAGAGTACTTGAGAATGGTGCTTATCTGATTTTCAGCATGTTTAAACCCTGCTGGTGATTCTACATAATTTACAGTGAATATATAGGTTAGAACAAAACTGTTGTTTTTTTTATGAACAAAACTTTACCACTGTCTTGAAAAACATGCATACTGCATATTTTATAAAACTGGGTTTATTGAAGCTGCATAGTCAGAAAAGCATATGCATGCTCGTAAAACATTGTAGCGTATTCAAAGTACTATTGAGATCCTAACGGTAAATTTGAATTATTCTTGCAACCTCTTTAAAATCAAGAAAGCTACATTCCTGCATTTTTTAATATATTTAATTATGGGTGAGTTCCTTCAGATACTTTTTAGCCGACGCGTGGCAATTCTCAGTGGATGTTTTCCCAAGATGAAGCGCTCTCGTTTTAGGGCACTCAAATATACAGTGGTCAGGGTCACCGACTTCGATACATATGCATCTATCACTGATCAGAAAGCTGAAACTATGCAAATATCTCACTTGTGGACTATGATCTGCTAAAATGTATGTGAATTCAGATGTACCAATACGTAGCTTTCCATTGGTTTTTCGGTACAAAAGTGTATTCTCTTTTGTCTAAGTTAGCATGATCTCAGATCTTTTGAAATTGTTTTATTAGCAGAGCATTTGTAGTTGTCTTCATATGTTATTTAAGGAAATGATATATATTATATATTATATATATATATAGTCCTTGTTTTCAGATTTTGCGCAGTTGCTTTCGCAAATTCGTTTGCTTTTTCATTAGCAAAGACTCCAGTGTGCTTGCAGAGCCACTGAAATTTCGGTCTTATATTACCTGGCAGAGAGAGCAGTAGCTTCTGAACATTGTTCTTTCATTGCCGTCCTTGAATTCAGAACATTGTTCTTTCATTGCCGTCCTTGAATTCAGAACATTGTTCTTTCATTGCCGTCCTTGAATGGCATGCAAGCTAGTAAGTAAAGTTCAGGATGGAATAACCCAATTTTAAAACAGCGCTCTGAAGCCTCTTGTCAGTCTGAAATGTTCTGTCTGGAACCCGGAGTATTGCCATAATACTACATCCAGTCTCTGTGTCGAATGCACGAATTCCAGTACATTGTTCTCCGTGTCGAATGTATGAATTTCAGCGCATTGTTCTCCGTGTCGAATGCTCCAGCACATTGTCTCTATTTAGCCCACAGAAACCACAGCCTATGCCCTGTTACCCCTTCGAATCATCAGATGCATAGCATAGGCCTTTAGAAAAGATAGGGTGCTGAGAGTTTTGTTGTAATATCAAACACAGGCAAATTGTTAATACAAATTGGCAAATGGCATGATAACATCGGTACAATAGGTTTAAAGTCAGGGTAGGGAGAAATGTGGTTCCATGAGTATTATGTGGCTCCATGAGTACGTGGTTCCATGAGTATTATGGCAAGCCACGTAGTTTGTCCTAGAAAACACGCGGAACACATGCAGATATAATTATTACTATTATCCTTGACAGATGTACAGAAGAAAAAGATGATGAGCAGAAATGAATTGTTGAGACATATTTTTAATAATATGGGGACCCTACACAGAGGTCCTGTGATGTGCTGTACATAACGCTCCACACTAATACCAAATTCTAAGCATCCGTTTTGCCCCCCCACACACACACACACTTGACAGCTGTGGTTCTATTCAGGGAGTTGGAGTGTTTGCAATAACTCTATTTGATGTGCAAAATATAATCATGCCAAGTTAGTAAATCATCAGTTGATTCAATCAAGTATTTCAGACGTCTCATTCATTACTTTGATACCCTTTAACAAAACGGGAAAAACTGTTAGAGTTTTGAAAGCCTTAACAATAAGAATGAAACCGGTAGAGTTTTGTTCAAAATTTACGCTAAACAGAAGTTTCTGTTTTTAATAATTTTAAATTTTAGATTCAAGTATTTCTCTTCTTATTTCACTGAATGCTATTAAATCGTTTACCATCTGGTTGGCGTGGTGTGGTGTATTTAATTATGGCAAAGCACACTAGGGCTATCTGCCTAAGAGGAGGGATGCCTTTCGTGGAGGACTTTCTAAGGGAAACTGGCTCGTATACACGTTAAACATGGGGAAAACCACGAAAACGCCCATGCAGCCAGCCTGTTCGCGGGATTCGAACCTCGGACCGAACTACCAGTGTTCAGCGACTTTACCGCTCGGCCGCTGGTGGGCCCATCTGGTTGGCACAAACCTTCATTACGTGCTAACTTCAATCAAAATAAGATACTAATATACTTTAAAAAATGACTATGTTCATTCTTCAAAAGAATGTATTGCTCCATGGGAACATACTAGTTCAAATTCTGTAGATGTGATGCATTCAAAACATAATGCTCCTATAAAGGAAAAAGAAAGTTTTGAGATTTGGTGTAAATTATTGAACATCAATTAAAATTAGTATTATTAACGAAACTGATAGTTTTTCTGAAGACAAAAATACGTATTAAAATCTAAAGATTAAAACTACTAAATTTTGAAAGTGTTAGGAAATTTGCATTTTCTCTCGCGGCTGCGCAGTCCGTAAGAAGCAAAGATCAACACTATAAAGTTTCGCGGCAGAAGCGAAGAAGGTGTCTGTGTGTCCTTCCCGACGTCCTGGTTACCGGCATGGGCAGTAGGCGTAATTCTCTTCAGCATGATGTGAAGATCTGATTTATGGAATCTTGATATGGAAGAGAGCTGTCGAAGATTACAATGGAAATAGAAATCAAATCGAATGTCCCAGACAGTATTAATATGAAGTACTGTATGAAAATGTTGCTGTCAGAAACCTTGACGACATAGCAATCAAGTTAATTATCCGTTATCCAACTCCCATCTTCTCCATGTTATGTTTTTCCTCACGTGTGATAGGTTGACATATACTGTTCCTCGATTTTGTAAAGTTCAAGGAAAGCACCCATTAAAGTTGATGTTTAAGTTACAGCACGTATGCTCTTATTAAGGAACCAAGTTTCATGCTAAGCCAAAACTCTCAACGTTCCCCAATTAAATTTCAACAGAAATTAAATGGGTGAGCATTTTGTTGTATCAAAGGAAGCTAAATATTTCGCTATTTATCATCAATCTTTATTACGTTAAAGCCTCTTTCACCTTTGGGAAATAATATGCTTTTGTCGTCCAAGCTTTACAGAAGCAAAGACATCGTGCATCTCAAGGTTAAATAAATTCGAATGTTCAAAAAATTTTAAGAACAAAATATAAACACAGTTATAGAATTTTAACTAGGGCAACGCTACATGTTAAATTAATCTAGGTTTAGAAAACAAAGGTTCTGTTGCCTCCTAACATTTGCCGCATTTACAATAGCAACATTAGAATCACTTAACTTTAGAAATACTGGACTTACCTAAATGATAATTCTGTTACAGGTGTATCTTTTACAATACCTTCTAGGATGCATGCTAATTCTGGACAACATTCGTTAATTTCATACAGTGAACTTAGTGTTAAGCAACTCTGTATTTGAGATACGTCATCTGCAAAATTTGTAGTCATAAATGAACATACGCAGAATTCATTTTTAGAAAACTAGCATTCAACAGTCTAAAGTAAAGAACTAAATTCTACCTGGCATACAAGTAAAAACATCTGGTTGTGAAGAGCGACGAAGAACTAAAAAATAACAGCATATTAATTTTGATAAAATTACAATTCGCTTAACTTAATAAATATAAAATTAATGGAAACAAATTTTATGGAGCAAAATGTATAGTACTGCTTAAACCTACTTTCTTTAGAATTGAAAAGAGTCACATTCATTGAGTCTTGAACTAGACTAGTAATAATTTTAACGCTTTCAGAATCACAATATTTAAATGCTTGATGGATGCACTTGAAATCAGAACTGAAATACAAATGCTTAGTCTGAGTAACCACAATTTTTTCTTAGCAAATACAGTCGAACCTCTGGTTAGCGGATTATCAGGGCTTTTGCCCATCATCGAGGATTTAAATCTAAATGGAAGCACGCTGGGCTTCTGCTTATAGGATCTGGGCATTCAAAAGCTGATCGTTAATGGGAAGTGTCCGTTAAAGGAAGTTCAACTGTAGTTAAATTACAAGGTGGATACATATAAAAAACTACAGCACTATTTAATAACACATTAACGTAAAATTTAATCTGAAATTAGAGATTTAGATAGTTTACTTACTTAGACAGTTTACTTAACTGTGCATAAAATGGAAAGAAGAAGCTACGAAAAAGTTTGATTTAGAGATGCTCTACGTATATCGAAATCAATTTGCTCAAGTTTCTTGTTAATTAGTGAAAATTAACAAGGTGTAATTTGCAACCTTATTTTGAATTAACTTAAGATGACTTTCACCAGAATAATATCAAAACTGTACAGTATTCTGGGGAAAGTTAAGTTATGGCATCTTTCATCATTTAAGAAGACAATATATTCATATTCATATTCAAGACCATATTTATATTTCACCATTCATTAAGACGTATGATATTTATGTTTCAAATTTAATCAGAAAACTCAGCGGTTGCAAAGAAAAGCTTTGTTACACGACAAAGACAGAACGCAAAAACCGTACCGGGAACCTCTAGGGCCTGCCATATTGGGGTGAATGTGCCCAAGCTTCTGAGAGCCCTTCAGCGGCGGCGCAGACCCCACAGTCCGTGCCCGGCTTTATACAAAGTATGGGACAAGGAATAAAAACGCTTGCAACTACTGAATACGAAGATAAAAACGCTAGGACATCTTTGCCTCCGGGCACCCCTCCATCGGCATCGAATAATTGTCTTCGTGCCTCGCCCACTCTATCAGTCCCCGTCACTGAAACTGAGGAAGCAAAATCCCCAATGGTCGGTGATCTCCGTCCTAGCTCCACAACAGCCAAAGGAACGGAGACGACAGCACCAGTACGGTCCCTGCCAAGCCCGAACCATCCTTAGAATAAACTAGGGCTCTAGTCCTGTGAAGTCAAATTATCTACCCCCGTGGTTGAGACTGCCTAAGTACAGATCCCTAGCCAGTACTTCCCAGGAATTCTCCAGAGTCAATTTCCCCCCTCCAAGGGGGAAGGTACGAAGACAATATCCTTAACAACTATTCACAAAAGAGAGTATCCTGAGATTAAATCCAAAGACTGTAGTGATCGCCACATTAGTACATCATCTCCTCATCATATCCATCTTCGTGATGCATTTTTGTTGGGATACTTCCGCAAATAGCTTCTGCCTTTGTGGCAAATTTTATTTGAAATATTATCTCCAATATTCTCGAAAATGGTCTCTTTGATAATCAGACTTACATTTGTTTCTTTAACAGGAGGAATAATTGTTATTTTTATTCAACTCACTTAAATTCAAGCAAATAATCTCAGTGAATGTGCATTTATGTGTTACAAATCAATACCATTATTATGAAATTTTGAAATATTTCGTAGAATTATAAATATCTTTTCACATCAAACTAAACCTTTTTCGCATCCGCGCAAAATGAAGTAAGATAATGAGTCTGTAAAACTGGAACATTAAAAGAAGAAAATGCCGGTAAGGAAGCTGTGGCTGCAGATACGCAGAAGCAAAAAGAAAGTAAATTTCATGAAGTAATAAAAAAAAAGACCAGAATCTGGAAAAGAAATTGTGTATGATGTGAAAGAAATGAGAAAACAATTTGCATGAATATGCGGGAAAATACAAACATTATAAAAATTTAAAACAACTAATTAAGAATCTTTTAAATTTTGCAGTTTCACATTAATTCCCAATATTTCAATATTTGCTTAGTACTCCGCAGAGTAATTTGACGTAATGTAACTGAGATATGAATTTCAATCCAGAATTAATTCTCAAGTACATGAAAGCAAAGAAATCTGCAAAAATGTAGAGCACATTTCACTTATTATAGCTGTTACTAGCCCAAAGGGGCAATTTGCCCAGAAGGGCTATTGATTTCGTTTTGATATTTTCCGTCGTCCACTACAAAACTGCGTTTCACTTTTCAAATTGTTGCCACCGAATATTAGAGCCTTGCATTATATTTAAGTAAATTAAATAACGAAGAATCTGCATAATGTATGTATGTTCCGCACACTGTGAAAAAACGACGGTACCTAAAGACATCCAATTTTGTATAACGTTGTCCTCAACTCGAATATGGACATCTGGAAGCCCAAATTTGGAATTTGTTTTATTATCTATTTCATATTTCGTAAAACGTTAACGATTTTTTCATTAGTAAACTAACTCAACGATTTCAAAGCGAGCAATGACAACACTGCACGAAAAAAAGAAATTTATCTCCAGTGCGAGAGTGTATCGGAAATTCTTAAGTTATGCTCTTTTTAAATATTTTGTGATATTGCTGTTGAAACTATATTAGATATTTCTGTTTTATGGTTGAAGTGCGAAGAATATATTATTTAATTAATAAAGGTAACACACACAAAATGTTAAAGAAACGTCCCTTTGGGCGTAATAAATAAAAACTGAAAGATTTCAGATTTTTTTATATTTGTATATTTATTTGAATTTTAACTAATTAGTTTACGATATTAACATAACAACTAGGCAAAAAATTGCATCTACGAAACAAATGAAATCAAAATCAATTGAAATTTTAAAAACAGAAAAGAAAACGCATGTACATATTCTTCACGTTATGTCAAAGCAAACATTCGCTTTAAAAAGTTACTTTAGCCACTTTATTCTAGCTCGGTGCAAAATGTACACTGCAAACGAAGAAGAAGGACTAAACTTAATGAAGTTTAATTTTTAAACTTTGTTTGAAATTTTAAATTATTCTTCTGGATGAATTTTAACATTAGAAAGGGCTTTATTTTTAATGGTTTGGTTTATTAGATTATGGCAAAGCACTCGAGGGCTATCTGCCTTGAGGGAGGGATGCCTTCGTGGAGGACTTTTTAAGGGGAACTGGCTCGTATACACGTTACACATGGGGAAAACCACGAAAACACCCATGCAGCCAGCCCGTTCGCGGGATTCGAACCTCGGACCGAACTACCAGTGTTCAGCGACGTTACCGCTCGGCCGCTGATGGGCCTATTTTTAATGTGTTTCCTAATTTTTTTTAATAGCAGTCCGATAACTATGCATATGCAGTACGGTAATTAAGTTATACAATTCGATAGTATAACTTAATTACTTTTAGTACTAATGATTTAAAATTATTCTGAATGTAGCTATAATTATAAAAATTGTTCATAATTAATTTCCAATGATTTGAAGCTAATTGAAATAAACACTTTGAAAAATATACAAACAATAACAGAATATCATGCTATCTGGGGACAGCTTGAAAATTTCGGAGATATTTTGTAACCTCTGTTTTTATTCAATATATAATAAAAGGCATAAATATATAAATCTCAATCTTTCTCTATCATCTTCGGTTGCCATAGCATTACCACATAATAATGTCATAACGTAAACTGTCACTGTCATAATTTAACTACACCATTGTCACAAGATAAAATTGTCATTGTCATATAATTGCCATTATTACCACACAAAATTGTCATTGTTACCACATAAATTGTCGCATAAAATTGTCATTGTTAATGTTGCCATAGCTTTACCACTATTACTATTTAAAAACTACAAACGATGGTATTTCTTCTAGCAATTACGACAAGATAACACGCCGAATAAATACCAATTCAGAAGTCAAACAACAAAAATCAGCGTTATATTTACAAAATTTTCACAGGACTAGTTTCGATGGTTTAACCGAACCACCATCCTCAGCTACAAAACCGCAAATGAACAAGATAGGAAATAATGATTAGATAAGATAAGAAAGCCTGGGCAAGATTAAGCAAGTGGCGCCATCTGTTGGTGAAACCAGAACTAAATTTGTTTTAGTTCTGGTTTCACTAGTCTTGTGAAAATTTTGTAATATAACGCTGATTTTTGTTGTTTGACTTCTGAATTGGTATTTCTTCTAGTGTTAAAAAGGCTTATATTTATTAAATATGGTATTAATAAACTAATATTAATTAATTATATGCTTACGAAAAGCGGACTTGAGGCTCAAAGACAATTTTGCCCAATGCAATAGCGCTAAGTAATCCATACAGTCCAGCAGCACAGTCATTTATTTCGGGTTCTTTCACCATTTCCAAACATTCTTTCAACTTCTCCTCTTTATCATCTAAAAAATATGATAAATAAATTAATATAAATTAACAATGTATTTAAGAATGACAAATAACTTATATTACAAAGATGAACTGTAGTTTTACAGAAATTTAAATGAATATTTAACTAGAAAGAGTTTGTCTTTATTTCTAAATGTTTCCTTTACCATATTAAGTTACAGATAAATTTTCTTAAGTTTTGCAAAACACTTACAATAAATTTTATATTTGTCAAAATTTTAAATATTACTAACATTTAGTTCACTTAAGTCATTTAATTTTGGTTCAAACAAAAAAAAATTGTAAATGTGATAAGTACTTTTTCCGCTTTATACCATGAAGAAAAAAAAAAAAAAAAAAAAAAAAATCGTAGTTTCTTTTTGTTTGTTTGTTTATTTTGTTTTGTTTGTTCGCTAAACGAATATATGTTCATTTCACCATTATATTTCAAAACCATACTGATTCGAATTGTAAGAAGATCGCTTTACCACATTGTATTCTACAATGTTGTATACAAACCACGTGTGGGCAAAATTTGAATTCCACAGTGTTGACGCCAGAGGCGCCATCTATGAAAAATATGTAATATTTGTGTTCTAAAACGATGACGCTGATGTTTTTTATAGCGCCACCTGACGGCCACTTGTATTGCGTTTTTTGAGTGTGTTCTGAGACGCCGCCGAGAGATGTGAACTAACTATGCGGCTTTTTGAGTAATTAATAAATGTTAGTATACAGTCCATATTTGAGTTTTTGTGTAAAGTGATTTATTTAATTATGAGTTTTACTGAGGTATTGACGGGCCCACACAGTTTATCAGAAAATAGTTTAAAAATCAATCTCGAACTTTTGACCACAGTGACAAACATTATGTGTGAACTAATAAAAGTTTATAAGAACATAAAGAGAGGTATGTGTATATATATAAATGAGAAATTACCTGACAAATAAAATATATACTTCACATTTCTCTTGATCACACTCGTAAAAAACTTTCCTGTTTCATTTCCACACGGGATCAGACTCGATGATATACATTTTACGAAAGGGACAAAAGCTCTGAAATAATAAATAATGCATTTTTAGTGGCAAGTAACACCATGGTAGTAATGAATAACAATATAGCAGTATTCTAACCGTGAAATCACAGTACCCTGTAATACACTGGAAAGGATAAAATTCTACTCAGAAAGAATAAATGTAATTATTCGAAAGTGACGAATACCGTTTACCACAAAAATCATTTTTCCTTTATAATAAAAAGTGTTAATGTATCTTCTTCAATGGCGTACCTGGAGAGGTACAAAGAGCCATATTCTGCCCCCAAAACGTTTTCCTGTATCAAAAATTTTATAATTTAATTATTTTGCTCATTAGTATTGAAAGATTGCTTTATCTTCTGGCATCTTTCTGATTGGAAGAAAGCGAATCATAGTTACATATTTAATTTTTAAGTTTCAAGCTTTTATACATAATAATTTTTAAATATACATCTTATTTTGCACTAAATATATTAACTTATATTTAAGGAACTGGTCCACGTGTATTTCACAAAAGTTAATATTAAAGTACACATTATGTCATTTTGTATAGTTAAAATATAAAATATACTGTAGTAAAGCTGCTGAGACAAAAATATGTAAAATTATTCTTCAACTACCATACAAAAATTTACCGGATATAAGCTATGTGAAAGTGAATTTAAAGATTGATACCATAAAACTGCCATAAGTATTATAAAACAATCTAAATACATTTTTCAGAATAAAACAAGTAACAGCTTACATTACATCACCTTCTCTATATCTTAATGAATAAGCTTGGATAGTCGGCAAACAGGCACGAATAGATCGATATAACAAAATTTTCTTGCATTCATCACTGACATCCAAACCATATTTTTCTGAAAATAAAGAACAATTATAAGTAAACAACTCTATAAAATAAACTGTAGTACCCGAGTACCAGCCGAATCCGCTGATACACTAGCAACAATCTGTTGGTCTATTTTTGGATGAACTATGTTTTCAGCTTCAGCATTACTAGATGGAATACCATTGGCGGAATTATTGGAAAATTGGCGATATATCCTGGACGGTCGGAGAACCTTCTGGAACGAATTCTTACCGGTTTAGCCCAGAATGTTCCCGAACACAAGCCGAAAGCTATATAAACCCTGCTGGTCCGCAGTCAGTTAGTGTGTGTCTCTCATCAAGAGTGTGTCTCGTCTAGCGAGTCAATCCTCGAGTTGCCAGCCGGGCAGCGCGTGCCGAGTGGGTCGTCGAATTCATCGCGAGTTGTAGCGTGGAGAGTCTCGAGAGTACGTGGAGTTCCGAGAACGACCAAGCAAAGAAGGGTGTTGTACTCCGGAAAGCTCAGTCGGGTGCTTTGCAGGAATTGCAGGAAGCTGTCTTTCCGCGCCTTTACATTTCGTAACAGTATATTTTCGGCTTCAGCATTACTTTTTGGACAGAGGAAATATGTTTTTTTAAACTTTCCGCCTGTATTATCTAGCAATCTCATCAAATTCCGACTGTGTTCTCCGCATAGTGTTTCTATTTCAATATGAACTTAGTTTCTAATAGTCCTGATCTTACCTACAGCCAGACCAATTTCAGGAATTTTATCGTCGCCATGAGACAAGTGTTACACCTGTCGTTGGCTTAAACCTTGGGTGACAATATGAGTGACAAATATAGGTGACAATATGAGTTTGCCCAGCTTCACTTCAATTTTGAACGAGAATTTCTTCGAGAAAACGGATCCCAGGATCTCCCATCCTATCGCCTATCACTACCATCTGGACAGATCTTTCGTCTGGACAGCATGTGAAATGCTCCCATGCCGCAAAGATATTGTATGCTTACAAATATCAATGACTTCTTCGGCATTCGAATACGAAAATGAGGCTATGGCAGTGCCCTGCTGATAAGAATTTTATAATAAAGAAGACGCAGCCTCCAATGAGGTAATTCTCCTTTCCATTGGCTGATAACATGAAGCGTTACAAGGAGTCTGAGTCATAAAAGTTATTTGCTTTTTAAATAGGTTTAGAATATCCTTAGAGCCCAGACTGTCTAAATACTGGTCTTAATCAGCACATTAAATGACACCGGAAAAGATAATTAAGAAGATAAGAGAGATCCTTGAACCAGTTGCCAGTAAAATCTTTTTGTAATGTTTTCTTCTGTTATTAACTTCTTTTCTCCAACCTACATTTTTCACCTTGTACAGTGCGATTGCTTGAGAATTGAAACTTTCGTGACTTTTCGGCAAAATACCACATGCCTGGGAATAATAAATTGTTCTTACTTCATTTCTTAATAAGTCGAAGACACAAATAAATAAAGGCATCGACCAAAATAAGGAAAAGCACAAGAAATAAAAATTCATATATTTCTAAAAGAAACTGAAGCACCTTTTAATACTGCCGCAACGCTCGTAAAAGAGCTTATTAGTAGCGGTGTAATGGCAGATGACGACTAATATCTTAGTATACACATTATATAGTTACATAACAAATATAAAAAATGCACACTTACATCTCAATAAATTTTCAGCGTTATTATTCATGTACTCATATATCATAATCTTGGTTTGTATTTTGGTTCAGTTAAATTAACTAACTCAGGCAAACGAGACTCTGATGCCACTGTGGAGGATCTTCTTTAAGAGATCTAACTGGAATTTGTGTCATATGTGGGGAAAATATCGGTAACGCTCATCCATTCGCCGGAATTTGAACCCCAACTGAACTACCAGTGTTCAGTAAAAGAAAGTTCTGTTTAAGCTCTTCCCTTTTATCTTTTTATTTTATTTATTTATTTTTATAGACTGGTACTCGGAAATGATAAAAAAAAATATGCAAACAGAATATTTCAACAATACGCAAAAGTAATGTAAAGTAATGTTCTATTCAAACATTTGAGTGAAGGTGAATTAAATATTTTTAAATATTATTACAATAAATAATTTAAACATTTTGAGTGAAGGAACATTTGCCATCGTCAAGGAAGTAATCAAATAAACAAAGATAAAAAATTCATTGGAAGAAATTATTGTCTCTTATTTAAATAAGCTCTAAGGCTCGAAATAAAATGAAGATCGAAGGTTATGTTTTTGCACTTTCCAAAGAAAATTTTCTCCCTCAGTAAAATTTGTTGTAATCTTGTTATCAAAAAGATCTTACGGTATAATAAATAATGACATTCCTAATGAAGCAAAAATCAACAATCTTTCTTTTCTACATTAAATAGAAATCCAAATATTTCTCCGCAAAAATGGTGCATATTTCAAAAACTAAAGAGGGCCCACTTACTCAACGAACGGTACCATCAGCTTTAAAAATCTTTGTTTGAATTCTTCGATTAAAATAATACACAACAATTTAACTAGTAGAATCCCAAACAAATACCACGCTTATTAATTTCTTTTGAAGCACTCGGCAGAACGTAATTCAGATTTAGGATTTTTTTATGAATGATGAATGGAAATTTGTTATGAATATAAAATAAGGCATAGCTATATTTTAATAATTGCGAATAGAAAAGAATCAATCTACTGTCATAAAATTAGACAGGAAGACTTGCTTTCAAAATTCTAAAGAAAGTTTCAGTGAAACGTTTGTAGTTATACTGTTTTTTGATGTAATGGAACGCTAAGATAGTAGAAAAGAAACATAAAAATAAAGTACATGAAAATAATATTTTGATTCCTTTATTTAAAAACAATTTTGTGTTGGTATTCGATTTCTTATTCCACGTAAAAGAAGTGATTCTTCAAGGACAAAACCTGGGTACATTTTAAACATCTAAATAAATTCCCGACAATTATAAGGTATTCCCCCCCCCTCTTCTTTCTGCATGCCTTCGTGGTGTAACGGTAGCACACTCGGCGCGTATTCGAGAGGTTCATGTGGGCATTGCTCATTTTTTGCGTTTCCTTCTTCAAAAATCCTAATCACTATACAACAGCAGAAAGGAGATTTATATAAAGCGTATACCTTGTAGAGTCAATAGGTTATTTTGGAGCAGGAAACACGACAACTAAGTAATGCCTTCGCCGGGACTCGAACTTGGACTTCTCGAATACGCACCTAGTATGCAACCGTTACACTGCGAAGGCACGTTGGAAGCAGAGAGAAAAACCTCCTTTAAAAGAACGACTGGGAATTAGGGAACTCAGTCGCCAAGTCCTGGTGGTGAAGAATTATTTAATTTCCCAACACTTTTTCACTGTAGGATCACTAGGTTTTTGAAAGAGGAGACATGAAAAATGAGCAATGCAGTCTCCAGAACTCGAACCTGGAACTCTCAAATAAGCGCCGAGTGTACTACCTTTACACCCCAAAAGCATGCTGAAGGAGCAAGATAATATCTTATAATCTTTTCAAATATTCGAAAAATGTCTTCTGTTGGCATACCGATGGACTGTTGCGGTTCTGGATTGCTAATGACATTTTCAAACTTGGACTTCGGGAAAACTATATAAATGAGTTGGGGAAAAATCTCCCTAAGTAAAATTTTCTTAATTTTACCTCTTTGGCACGAAAATTAAGGAGAAGCTTGATAGTTAGATAAAGGGATCACAAGACTCAGCACTTCTTACATTTTTGAAGAAATGAAATATAGCCGATTTCTTTTTATAGCAGTCAGTCAATTTTCAAATTTAAACATTTCAAGTTCTATCTCATTTATAACATGGTCAGGAATGTAAGAAAGGAAGCATATAACCAAAGATGGTTATAACTTCTGAATATAATATGATAAAAATACACAATTCTGAAAAAATGTGTTTATAAAACTTACTCGAAACGTCTAGTAGATCACCCATCTTTTTCCACAGTTGTATAATTCTGAATTTTAAGGGTGGTGAGAAAATCAAGTTACTGTCTTCAAATTCTCCTCCAGTAGATTCAGCGCAGTTAACCCACATGTCAGCATACCTTAAAATAAAATATGATAACATATTATAAGCAAATACAGCGTGCCTTAAGTATGTATGGTTGTTATCACTAATTAAATAAATTTCTTACTGCATTGATATAAATTTTAGCAACAACATTTGTTAAGCCAAAAATATTTATTATTTAGGAAGACAGAGAAATCTTCCACACTCGAATTAAAACTGCTAGCCGTTCCTTAAATGATGAAATTTTATCTAATTTACAGAATCTTTAATTAGTATGTAAATTTTAGTTTCATCTTTGAATTTAAAGTTATTTTATGTAAAATCTGATAGAATCTTTAATTTAGTTTTGTAAGCCGTGAATGTATGCAATGTATTACAAGTTCAGCCTTGTATTAGGCGACGTGTGCATGCACTGTGTGTTTTGCGAATTTATTTGTTTATTTTTAAAACTTCCTCTCTTATAAATTTATAAACATGATCAGGAACGATGGAACTGCAGTGTTCATATGAACAAATTGAAGATACATGCAAAAGTAAATTGAGCATTCATACGTTTTATACGACTGGGACAAAGATGGAAATAAAAATTAGACGTTCTGAAAGCGGTGAATCTTTGCTTTAATGACATAAACATAATCGAATTACATAAACAGGTTTACGATATGTTCAGTTTTGAAAAACAAAAATAAAATTAAGGAATTTGTCGAAAATTGTGGAAATATATCTTCAAAGATTGTTTCCAAAAGATACGGCATAATGGATTGAAGATTATGGATTAATGGATTGAAGATTATGGATTAATGGTCAGTACCAAAGCAATGCCCTTTGAGGTTTTCGATTATTCAAGCTAAGGCTCTTAGTTTGCATGAAGACTAGGAAGACTAGATTGAAAGAAGAGATATTAAATTCGCTGGAGAATTTATTGATGTAGATAAAGATACGGCAAAGGACATTATTTCATCATTGTCCAAAATTATTTTAGGTGGAAAATATTACGACGCTAATATTTAAAGCTTGGTTCACTTTTCATTTCGCTTTCATTTCATTTTCAGTGTGCTCTGTGTCTCTGTAAAAAATACGAAATGCTTTCCCTCTCTCAAAAGCTCCATAAATCCTCATCTTTGAAGCCACTCAAATGAAGATATGGTGTAACTGTTTACAGCAGTCATCCGAAAGCAATAAACACAACTGCAAAAAATCTCGCGACTGCGTCATCTGATCCTTTCTTCGATGTCTCAGAGGGGTGGTGGTTTCATACTGAAACCGCAATGAAACATTCAAAATTAAAAGGGTTGCATTACTTTTTTTTTGTGAACTAAGGACATTTCACTACTCATTGATGCCTGCTTGATAAAATATATTGTGGAAAAATTAAAAATTTTTGGGTTTTTTGTTTTTAAAATGGGTCAAAAAGAGTAGTGTGGAAAAGAAGCTATTTTTGAATGATTTGTATCAATTAATGGATGCCCAGAAAGATTTGGTGCTGCCATCTGTTATCAGCTTTAAGTAGTAATTTAATTTTAACAACGGTTTTGAGAAAAAAAAACCAAATTTTCTAAATTAAAATAAAATGTTGAAAATGCGGTTTAATATAGTAAATGTAAAAATGTACAATTTAAAGCATTTCCAGAACACCCAAAATCTCTGGATAATTTATATTCCGGAAGTTAATGCTTGTTTTCAATTCCAATGTTACTTGCCTCATGTATTAAACAGTGATAGCAACATTGAAATAATATTATACAAAGACAACAATCAGGCCATCGAGGTAACTGACAGGGAAGGTGAGCTTATATTGACAGATTTTTGAGAGAACTATAGTGTATAGAACTCAATAAAAAACATTGGAGAATCGTAGACTGAGAAAATGTCAATATTGAAAGAGTTTATGCCCGCAAATGACAAGTAATTTTATAAATTCTAAAGAAAGGCCGGAAACTATCCCAATGAGCCTAATGAATGAATTAAATTTGGACGTCAATAACGAAGATGTTAAAGAGCTGATTGAGTCTCACTCAGTGCCTCTGTCAAATGAAAACTTAGTTAGGCGACAAGAATTAAATTAGAGGCACAGATAAAATGAGAAAGAAGAAGCTGAGGAAATCGTCAAGAATATGACAATCAAAAATATGAATGAAAACTTCATTCACCTTGGTAAACTTTTGACTGTGATGGAAGAATACAATCCCAATGGAGAACGTATATTCCAAGTATGCAGGGCAAATGAAACAGTCGAAAAACGTTATAGAACACCTTATCAAGAAAATAAAAAGAAGGGGTGGTTATCAACTAATTCTTGACAAGTTTATAAAGCAAAACATATGAAAGCGCTAAAACACACATTGTTAACTTATTTGTGTATATTGATAAACTATATGATTAATAAACAAAAAATTTTAAAATATAGTTTTTAATCTTAATTATTAGCCCAAAGGAGCAAGTTGCCCAGAACGGCTATTAATTTCGTTTTGGCATTTTGCTTTTGTTCACTATAAATGCTGTTTCACATTTTAAACTGTTGCCCCCAAATATTATTTGATGAATAAACTCAACGTATTCAAAGCGAGCAGTGGCAACACCGTACGAAAGAAAAGAGCAGCACGCGAGACTATGTATCGTAAATTCTAAAGATATGCTCTTTTTAAATTATGAGCCCAAAGAGCATTAGCCCAGATAGGCTATTAATTTCGTTTTGGCGTTTTCTGTTGATTCACTAAAAGTGGTGTTTCACTTTTCAAATTGTTGTCACCAAATATTAGAGCCCTGCATTATATTTAAAGAAATTAAATAATGAAGATTCTACATGAATGTATGTATATTTCTCGCGTTGTGAAAAAATAACGGTACCTAGAGACATCAAATTTTGAAAAACGTAGTCCTCCACTCAAATATGGGCATCTGGAAGCCCAAATGTGGAATTTGTTTTATTATCTATTTCATAAACCTTTAACGCATTTTTGATTAACAAACTCAACCATTTTAATGCGTTGATTAAGATTAACATCGTTTGCATCTTCAAGCACGGGTATTTTATGTGCAAGGTTTCTTACATTTCTTACTGGTATTATGTTGGTAGAGCAGCAACGGAAAGACGTTACAATGTCTAACGGTATTTTGAGTCGAATGACTTTGAATGTTTGTAGAACTTTTCAAATCCCGTTTTGAATCATCCGTGAAGAACGCTGTTTTGGGCGTAATATAAAATCTAAAAGCTTCTTTTTTTTTTTTTTTTTTTTTGCATCGATCTACTTTTGAACATTCAGCATTCACAATTTTCAGATATCAACTATCAGCGAATGTCAAAGGCCGCCTATTCTATCCAGTTAATCGGATTTTTCAAATACCCGAATGGGTTAAAGTCTCATTTAGTTTGGATATCTGAAGTTATAATTTTCCAGTTGTTTACTTCAGTATAAAAACATATATGTATTTCGCTATCCACTGTTTCGTGGAATTTCTGTTCATTAGAAACTCTTTGCACTTTTGGCAAGATAAAGGAAAAAACGTAAAACGTATAATGTTAAGTAATCTCTTTTCAAATTCATTTGTATTAAATTACTGAAGGAATAGTTTTGTGCGTGTCCTTTAAATGGTAATGAACTTACTGCGATAGCTGAGAAACAGGGCCAGTCTTGACAGTTTTATGACTTTTCATCAATTCCTTTCGAACGCAATCTTCGAACAACAGCTGATTCACATATGAATTACTATACTTGCGCAGCTCATTTGATCCTAAAAATAAGTAAATAATCTTAGGTTAAAGTTCAGAAAAACAATAATGGAATAAATCTTCATCATACGTAATATTTTTACACGTAAAAAATGTGAATTCCTTTTTTTTTTGTCTAGTTCCAGAGGTCGTAGAATTTTGAATTTTATATTTTTGGATCATGAATCATTTATTAAATAAATATTAATGCCTTATTATAAAAATAAAAATATATGTTTCACAATCGCTTTCATCAGTAAGCAATTAAGATGACATTAATAAGATGCCATATTTTTTAAATTAAGACGGATGTTATTAAATGAATTATGAAATACTAAAAGAATGTAAAACTGGCAATAACCTGATTTCATATAAAGTGTCTTTTGCACACATTTTCCGGAAAACTTTTTATAATATTTCCTAAAATATTTCTGTACCTACAAAAAGTTTTTTTTTTCCTCAGTTAATTTTTGCAGTTTGATTCTCCTTTTTTTTTTTCACTCCGTTATTTCGATGATTTTATTTTCGCTATATGTTCCCTTTCTTTCCTTTATTTCTACAAACAGTTGCTGAGCCCTTTTTTTTTCTCTATAGACGACATTGTAAGTTTTATTGCTGTGATTATTTTAACGTATACTATTTCTTAAGCGTTTGATTTGATATATCTTTAATAATTCTCTGAATATGGAATTTACGGGATTAGTTCCTAAATCTCTAGGATTACGTTTAACTTGGCACAACTTTTAAAATTATTTTAATATTAAATGTACGAAATCATAAATCTCTGTTATTTCTTGCACAAACTTTAACAAAGCAGAAAAATTTATTTATGGAATTTCTGAATTTTTCCAACAAGGGCATAACTTTCAACTGTATCGCATATCACGTACGAAAAATGCTGTAAATAAAATAAATCTGTCGAAAAAACGTAAATCTCGAGAACGTTGGCTGCCACACAAACCTATGTTCCCGGCAGTGTATTGAAAACAAACATTCTGTGGAATGTTTATGAAATCTATAGAATGTCTGCTGTTTTGGAGCAATGTATGAAATATCCGAATTATTTTTAATTTTATATACTTTCCCTATGCATATAATGTAATCTCTAAGCTTGAACAGAATGACATTTAGGCAAAGTAATATAGGAGTGCCATGAAAAAGCTTTTTATTCAATAAAAGGTACCTCTAACGCCTTCTTTAATAGGATAAATCGGTTTATTTTTGTCATCTACTAACATCACATCACAGAGATTCAACAACCCCTGTGGTTGTTCTTAGCGTCATCTTGACCTTTCCCTCATTAATTTTCGGTGAGTACTTTGAATAGGAAAATATTATTTTTTTTCGCGATATATTCACCTTTGGTTCACACTTTAGGCAGTTCATCATAGAATGTTCGTTGCTTGTCAACATGCTATGATTCCTTCTCGGACACTACATCTTACACTTTCATTTTCATGCAGCACAGTATGGGTTAGAGCAGGGTTTCTCAGTGGGAGTCATATTAACCCTATGGGGGTCGATGTAATTTTAAAGGCGATCACTGATGATCAAGGTTTCGACTGAGGTCGATAGGCCAGTATGGTGTGTGTAGTGGCCGAAACCGCTACGCAAACCCTGGGTTGTGACACAGGATTGAAATGAACTTCTAACTCAAGTTTTAACAATAACATGAATTTTAATAATACGAAAACCTTAGCAGTTGCATATCTTGACAACATGGGACTTGGGTATATTTAGTCCCTTAATTTCAGAATTTTGTTACAGTAAATGCTCTAACGCATTATACACGAGGAATGATCCTTCTTAGCAGGCCAACATGTCCATAGCTCTAAACAGGAAAGTTCTTTTTCTCTTCTCAGGAAACCACCTTATATATCTCCTTGTGTTTACTTGCGCTGAACTTCCAGGGGTGTGGGGGGGAAGATTCTTTCACTCATACCTAACAAAGGTGTCCATCTCCTGACCCTGATGATAAGACTTCTTTGTCCATTGGAGTGACCTTCGAGGCTGCAACCGGAATTATTAACAAGGGCACGGGATTTCACCACTGATGAAAATTATTGCACTCTGAAATCACCCGTTCTAGACAAAGAACCTTTATGCCACCTTATGACAATGGCATAAACAAGATCGCAGTGATTACAAAAAAAAAATTAATAAAATTTATAATTAACGGTTGATTGATATATCGCAATGGTATTCACACTTTATTGCAGTGCGATCCCATAAAAATGAAAATGACTCCAAAATACAGTTTCTAGTAATATACCATCAATTCAGATATTTTAGAATTTTTATCTATCTTGCGAGAGCCCAAAGTGGTTCGCTACCCACAGCTTGAATACCACTGATATAAAGTATAATTAAAAGGGAACTGATAGTCCAAAATATTTTAATATCTGTTTCCAAGACATTGAAAATTTGAATGCGTCAACGTGACTCACAGAGCCACTGAATTGTGATATGTCTGATCTCGATATTTAAATGCAAGAAAAGTGGATTGCATTAAAGGAGAATGCTCAAGCACAATTCTTATTCAAAACACATAGTCACGCTATGTTTCTAGAGAAACGTACGCTTATTCAAGAGAAACATACCTGTTAGAAACTACTAGATGGTTTCATTGATGCTCGCATAGGATCCACAATAAATCCGTATCATTCCATCGGACACCTTGGTGACGTAGGAACTCGGAATCTTGGGGGGGGGGAACAAGTTAAAAATGGCGTTGTCTTGCGACATGGTTCGCGATATAGTTCGGTGCCAAATGAAGGATTCTGTTCTATCCAGAAACTTCTATTTAATGTTCCTCAAACCCTATTAAACTGGAGATGAGTTATCGCTTAATCTGAAACAAATCATAAGGTGTTGAGAAGGTAACCTTTTTAACTCTTAAATGAACTAAATGGAACTTCTTGTGCAAGAGATGAACTTCCGCTAGGTGACGCAGAACGGGGTCACGTGGCGTCTACCTGAGGTAAACATGTGCATGACCCTCGTTAACCACTATCTAGCGCTTGTTGAAGAGTTTAAGGATTTAGATGAGAAACATGGTCTTACAGGAACCAGCTGTATGTACAATTGCTACAGATTTGGGAAACAGAGGGTTTAACTTTTGTTGTTGTTGCTTATACTCACTTGTCTGACGTAGTCAGCTCATGCCCACGAAATTCTCGTGGCTAGAGCGCAAGATTAAGCATCTCGTTGGTAGCAGCCTTGAGCACCTTACAGGTAACAGTGTGGCTTGGCTCAGTTCCGCCCCCAATTTTGATAGAGAGAACCCCGGGAGAGCACGGGTCTGAGGGTCTTCCACCCCCTTCCCTTCCACCAAACCCACGAGAGGACTTTCAGCTCGCCACATAATTAGAGCACCGCCATGCCGCACCGACACTATACATTTACAAACATCCATGTCTTCTCCGGGATTCGAACCCGGGCCCTTTGGCACGGCAGTCAGCGACATTAACCACTATACCGGTTGGTCGGCGGGTTTAAATTTTAGTGTAGATAACGCAGTCTGAGAGTACACATGAAGTAGACTACTGAAGCTGCTCAAAATAATTAACGGCTCGTATTTTAAACGTCGGCTAGCAAAATGCTAAAGCCGGAAACAAGCAGATCCGACGATAGTAAGTAACAGCAAGACGAAGTTACCAGAAGCTGTAACTAAATTTTCAGACTCTTAGGTTAAATACACAAGCAATTAATTTGTATTTTGGTGAGGACTACGGAAAAAAGTTATAGCAAAAGTAAAAATCGTAATAACTGGTTAATTAACATAAAACCTTTTATGAATAAAGGAAAACCCAACTTCACTTAATTTTCTGACTAAATCTTTTTTCATAAAGTTATTAGACAGGAAAATGATTTAAAGAATTTATTGGGTTTTCAGTTCCCCTTTTCTTCCGGAAATTACAAATTTACTTACTATCAAAAAGTTCATTTAAAACAAATTGGGAAAGTTATGAAAGAAAATCATAAAAGTCTGGGCTAGCAATGTGCCTAAGATATCCTTAATAAAGCAGGTTTTTTAAGTTGGTGAGAATTGAATTTGTGTTTGAGGATTTCTTTTTCCAAAGCTTTTATTTTTATTATTGCTAACTGTGATAAAAATCGCTTATTCCGTAATCTCTTGTAATTTCATCAGCATATTAAAATTTTCTCAGGTAAACATATTTAGTTGATTTATTTAATTTATGATTAATAATTATTTTATTTTAATTCAATTAAAATAAACATATTTTAATTGAAGAACAGCAGATTTGATTCACATAACTTTATACGGATATTATACTAACAAATTTAAAGCTAATACTCATGACGAGCACTTCTCTAGTTGAAGCAAATGTTAACTGCATATTTAATTATGTACATGTTCAAGAATTGCATACCGTTGTAAGAAAATATTTATTATACATAGGAACTAAAAAATTTCAAATAAATTATATCTTTCACTTTAGATGCCCTAAGATTCGAAGATTTGGTTACTACTATACACATTTTTAATACAGAGTCACTTAACTTCATTCAACTCAAAACTTTAAAATACATGCAATTAGTATAAGCATTTAAATAGATACTAATAAAACATTTTTAACATAGACAACTGTTCATTAAGCATGATCATAACATCAACTGCATATTCTTATTACCAACAAGGCAAAAAATATTCCATCAGCAATAATCAACCATAAATACCATCAACAATAAATCAACCAATAAATACCATCAACAATAAATCAACCATAAATACCATCAACAATAAATTAACGATAAATACCATGAACAATAAATCTCCGAAAAGTTCGGAACTACTGCACCGCTATGTCTAGCTCCATTGCCCAACAGCGGCCGAGCGGTAAAGACGCTGAACACTGGTAGTTCGGTCTGAGGTTCGAATCCCGCGAACGAGCTGGCTGCATGGGCGTTTTCGTGGTTTTCCCCATGTGTAACGTGTATACGCCAGTTTCCCTTAGAAAGTCCTCCACGAAAGGCATCGCTCCCTTTAGGCAGATAGCTCTCGTGTGCTTTGCCATAACTGAATAATCCTAATCCATAATCCTAATCCTAGCTCTATCTCGCAATCCTTTAATTTCTTCATTTATAAATAATATTTCAACTTTAACGAAGTAGATCATCCATGCACTCTAAAGGGGCGTTCCCACTGGGGTTTATCTGAGCTAACGGAGACAACTGACATAGCCGACCCATCTCCAAAAGCAGTTTTTCTCATAACGCAGGGAGTTAAAATATCTGAACTACAAGCATATCGGAGCTAGTCGACACATGGAACTGACTCCGTTAGCTCAGATAAATCCCAGTGTGAATGCCCCTTAACATTTACTTAAGATCCTAAATCCAACTTCCATAACCGTTGTTATTACTTCTAGCAAACATCATTCTGTAAAATTCCATAAGCATCTTAAAATATGTGTTGCAAAAATATTCCATAGGACAAAATTTCAATTAATAAATTATAATTCATAATGAATAGTTCAACTTACCACTCTCGCAATACTGTACGGATGAAAGGAATACCGTCACTAAAAGGAAGGCAAACACGAACATTGCTAGGTACTGTTAGCAAATCCGGAATCTGGAACAAACTGAAGTTGACTGCCTTCGATGAGCCCTTTTTATACCCTCTGAGAGGTTAGTTCCCGGAACTATGCCATTTTAGCTGAAATACACCCATTTCCCAGAAACAAACCGCAATTTCTGGTTAATTGGAGCCAAAACTGCTCAGATCTATATAATATTATAGCATATCATTCCTAGAATTAACCGTCAAAAATTAGCTATAACAATCAGGTTTATATATCATGTCATTCCTAAACCTAGCCACTAAGAACTATACTCTGAAATACTTATAAATGGTTTTAATGAAATTAAAATTTTTGCACAGTATTGATACTATTAAAATTAATTCTGCCTATATTTACTTTTCTTTATTAAATATTATCTTCCACAAATCTTAAACAATTTTCTTATATTACTTGATTTAAGATTTTTAGTAGAGAAAACGTCCATTTTACCTATTCATAGAGCATAAATAATGTTATTTTTAAATATAATGCTCCCTTCGGTGTTCCATGATTCGTTTAAAGTAAGTATGTAATTTAAATTTGAAAACATTCCCTTCCACTACAAACTCAATCTAGATCAAATGAAATTTGATCTTAATAAATATTCTTTTAATTCAAATATATAATGGAAATAATTCAGAAAACATACCGTTTAAAAAGTGACAATAAATTTTGAAAACTTCGAAATTTAAAAAACAACAACAACGAATTTAGAAACCTTCGGAGTAATTGAAAGAATATTGTGACCATAATTCTGGAATATCGAAATTTAATTTCTTTCAAGAAAGTTTCGATAGAATTTAAATTAAATACATAGCCATCGTGTTTCTCGTATGACTACTCCTAAGATATTTGGCCCATCAGCGACCGAGCTGTAAGGCCCACCAGCGGCCAAGCGATAAAGTCGCTGAACACTGGTAGTTCGGTCCGAGGTTCAAATCCCGCGAACGGGCTGGCTGCATGGGCGTTTTCGTGGTTTCCCCATGTGTAACGTGTATACGAGCCAGTTTCCCTTAGAAAGTCCTCCACGAAGGCATCCCTCACCTTAGGCAGATAGCCCTCGAGGCTTTGCCATAATCACACACACGTAGACCGAGCTGTAAAGTCGCTAAACACTGGTAGTTTGGTCCGGGTTCATATCTCGGTGAATGGGCTGTCTGAATTGGCATTTTCATGGTTTTCCTCATGTGTAACGTGTACATAAGCCAGTCCCCTGTAGAAAGTCCTCCACGAAGGCATTCCTCCCCTTAGGCAGATAGCCCTCGAGTGTTTTGCCCATAACTAAATAAACCACACCAAACCTAAGATATTCACGAAACGTATAGACATGAGAAAGTACATTTTTACATAGGTAAATAATATTGCTTTTTATATAGGGATGCATATAAGGGAATAGCCATGCGAGAAGATTAAAGTATCATTTCTTTATCAAAGTACTGAAATTAGAAATTAGTTTTTCAATTAAAAATATCACTCATTAATTGGAATTTACAGTCATTAATTGGAAAGATTGAGTCTATGTCATCGTATTTTTCCTTGTTAGATGATTTCCAGAATCCGTTTCTAATAAACATTTTCGGCCTATTTTCGCATATAGAATGAAATCTTTCTAAGATGAGCATATATATTAAAAAAATAAATAAAAAATAAATAAAATATATATTTAAAAAACACAAAAGCTTTCTGTTGAAGTTGAATTTGAATAGATTATTTGATTAATGCAAAGAAAAAAAAAAAAGCTTTCTGTTGAAGTTGAATTTGAATAGATTATTTGATTAAGGCAAAGAAAAAAAAAAGCTTTCTGTTGAAGTTGAATTTGAATAGATTATTTGATTAATGCAAAGAAAAAAAAAAGCTTTCTGTTGAAGTTGAATTGAATAGATTTATTTGATTAATGCAAAGAAAAAAAAAAGCTTTCTGTGAAGTTGAATTTGAAATAGATATTTGATTGCAAGGCAAAGAAAAAAAAAAAGCTTTTGTGAAGTGAATTTCAATAGATTATTTGATTAATGCAAAGAAAAAAAAAAAAGCTTTCTGTTGAAGTTGAATTTCAATAGATTATTTGATTAATGCAGAGTACCAAAAAAAAAAAAAACTATTTTCTAAAAGAACGGATAGCTTTTGTGGAGAATTTTCTAAAGAAAGCTAACTTGTATTCAGATTACACATGGTGGCTTCTAGGAATCTAATAATGTTATATTCACTGCCGATATTTACTTATATTGTAAGAGATACTGATCGTTTTTAGAGAGAGTCACAGCAGAATGGTGATCACCAGAAGAGTGTTCACAGTATTTGCATGCAACATTTTCTATGTTAACTGTTTTTTTGTTTTAGACTTGCTATATAAATCTTTTCTGGCATTTCTCTTTGTGATGAGAGAAAACGGTATTTAGCAAGCATCCTCTCAGTTATAAATTCTATTAAAACCATTTTCAGTTTTCAGTTCACCGTTGAACTCGAACTGGTTAAGGCCTTTCTTTATAGTTATTATATTAAATGCAATAAATCCGCTTTATGTTCAGATTGCGACATTCTGATTTGTCTTATTATTCATGTGAGTATTGTCACTCACTAAACAAAAGTTGTTTATTAGTCCAAAAGAGCAATTTCCCCAGAAGGACTATTAATTTCGTTTTGGCATTTTGCGTTGATTCACTTTTCAAATTGTTGCCACCAAATATTATCACCCTGTATTATATTTAAAAAAAATTAAATAATGAAGAATCTGAATCTGCATAAATGTATGTATGTTTCTCGCATTGTGATGAAACGAAGGTACCTAGAGCCATCGAATTTTGAATAATGTTATCCTCCTGTGAATATGTGCATCTGGAAGCCCAAATTTGAAATTTGGAATTTCATTTTATTATAGATTTCATATTTTGTAAAACTTTAACGAATCTTTGATTAACAAACACTGTACAAAAAAAAAAAAAAAAAAAAAAAAAAAAAAAAAAAAAAATATCTCTCCAGCGCGCGAGACTGTGTATCGGAAATTCTAAAGCTATGCTCATTTTAAAATTATTTTGCGATATTGCTCTTCAACTGAATATTATAGTTTAAGGGCGAAAAGCATGATATTTAATAAAAAAAGATAACACGCAAAATGTTAAAAAAACGCCCTTTTGGACGTAATTTAAAATCTGAAATCTTTCAATTCTTTTTTAACTATTTTTTGTGCGAAATTCTGTCTTGTGTTTTTCCAGTCGACAACTTAAATATTCATTTACTTAAAGAGCTGTTACTGAAGGCATATGTTTTTATTTTTCCCAAAACTTAAAAAATTTCTCTTATTACTTATTACAATATTAATCGACATTCTTCTATGAAAATCTATTTCATTTATCTTATTTTCAGACCTTTTCCTCTTTGCAAAGTTAACAGCATTATCTACAGTTCAATTTCTTTCTTATTAACAAAATCTGTGGATCATTACGCATTCAGGACAGAAGAGAAACACTCCAAAGTAAAACACAAAATTAGCAAAGCAACAATCTTGCGTTATGTGTAGAATTTAGTCAAGGACTCATAAAGTCTCAAAAGTCTTGACTAAAATCTATGCTAAACACATGTTTGTTGCTTTCCTAATTTTATCAGTATGTACTATTTGCAATCGTTAAGACTTAAAGTTGCACTGTAGGGTTTTTCTTTAATTTTCTAATAGTTACTGTTATTCTGCAACAACCCTTCCCTACATATTCTAATTTCACACCTACGTTTCCCTGCCAGAATGAGTTTACAGAATTACGATTTATGTAAATGAGGTAGAAACAAGTATTTAAGCTGACGTCTGGGTCACTTCAATAAGACAAAGTGTCCTTTTGCCCACGTTGTTGCTATTAGTGTAAGCTGTTATACGACAGTACTACGTGCCTGCTATACGTCGGGGATATTTAAATAACGGCCAGCTTATTTAGTTGATTTTGTGCAGCTACGGCTGATTAAATTTATTTAGTGTTAGTTTTATATTTTGAGTTAATGCCTAAGTAGAGGCTTATTTTACGCCCGGGAGGAGACATCTATTCATTCATTTTGAGTTCGAATAAAGGGTGGACTTGTTACTTACGTTAAAAGAAATCAGCGAATAGTTGCTGCACAGTTCTTTAGTTACTTTAGTTTTTTTATGCCTTTAGTAAATCTGAATGCAATATTTTTAGAATTATCAACAATTTTAAAGTTGTTTAAGTGCCGCTAAGCCTTTTTTTATGGCGGCCATTGATTGTTTACATTTGAAACAGCAGACTAGTGGATTTGTTGCCAATCTAGAGAAACTTAGCTTCGCAACAACAAAGATAATGCCTTCATTTATTATTGCGAATTAAATCATGCTTAACCCTTTCTGGAATTTTTTTCGAGGATATAAGTGTTTAAGATTTATTTCGTAATTTTTAATACATATGTTTTGAGTTTTTATGTATTTTTGCTTTGTCGCGAAGGGAGAACTGAATTAATTGAATGAGAAATACTAAATCGTCTGTGAAAAACTGTTTCTCTTTTGTTTTGCTTGCTTAATTTCTTTTATACATCGTTCTAGCTTTATTATAGTATTTGAATAGAACATGTGGCAACGATAAGATAATTCTTCAAACAATATAAATTTGTGCATTCTGAGTTATAATATGAACGAAATATTAAGTGAACCTAGCGCCAGAGTGTCGCTATGGTAAACAAATATAGTGAATTTTAAAGACTGCATTTATTCTATTGTGGTTTATGCGCTGTCGATGAAATAGATTTAATTCAATCCAATACGTTTAAATGAAATGCAAGAAAAATGCGTATAATTTAATATTCCGTACAAGGAAGTCATGTGGGGTACACATCAGATTATTTTCTTTCGTCAAACAAATCCAAAATACTTTACAGGATGATAAATTAGATTTCCTGAAAGTATGTTAGTATGTTATACTCATCAAAATCTACCAGCTAATAAATTAAATTCCTTTGGTTATTCAGAAGTCCCTTATATCCTTTCTTCTCCTCCTTTTCATTTCTATCTCTGAGTTTTTA